AATTGTAGGCATCTATTAATTGAAGGAAAAATGTTTTCATCACATAATAAATACAGTGACATTCCACTGTCTATAATGTCTTGCAAAGGTCAAATTCTGCTTTTAATCTCGTATCAATTGAATTTTTGTTTTCGTTACTATTTAGTCCATGCAAATATTTAGAGATTGTTTCTAATATGTCCATTACTTCGGCTCCAGTTTTTGAAATAAATACTGACGCAAAGAAAATATTAAAATTGTATATATTCAAAGATTCTTCATTGAACCGGTATACCAAATCCCGTAATATATACTAAGTGACATATAAATCCGAACACCCAGTTTAAATGGTTTTATTTTAATAAAAGTTGGTGAATGTATTTATCTTACTGTAAATAACAAGTGAAAAAATTTTCAGCCTTATCAGTTGGACATTCCGGTTTTTATACTGCTTTTTTTTTTAATTCACTAACGCTCTAAAAATAAATATTTCAGCCGCAGTAAAGAATCAACGTTGGCGGATTTTGGTTCTTGACATACTTTACGATCGGTTACGATGCCGTGAGTACGGAGACCTGTACGATTTCGTCAACTTAGTGAGTTTGATAGGGGCCGTATAGTGGGACTTCGGAAAGCTGGACTTTCTTTTCGAGCAATTGCAGTTAGAGTGCAAAGAAGTGTAGACACTGTGGTTAGGTGTTTACCGTCGAATGAGAAGTTTTGGCTTGTTTTCATACCGGCCACACTGGGTCCTCCCTTTAACTCGAGAACACCGACGTAATCGCCTTGAGTGGTGCAGACAACAGTCACTCTGGGATCAGGAATGGAACAGTATTGTCTTTAGTGACGAGTCTCGATTTTGTTTAGGCATGCGCGATGGTCGTGCCAGGGTTAGAAGGCGACGTGGTGAAAGGAGGAATCCACAGTTTTTTGTTGAAAGACATGTTCATCACACTGTTGGAGTTGTGGTTTGGGGTGCTATAGCTTATGGTTCCAGGTCACCTTTAATCTTCATCAGAGGTAACATGAACGCGCAGCGTTATATCCACGAAGTTTAGAACCCCATCTTTTACCCTATCTTGACACCCTGGCAGATCCAACTTTCCAACAAGATAATGCCCGACCACATGTTGCAAGAGTCACAATAGACTTCTTTCAACATAATGATGTCACATTGTTACCATGGCCACCAAGATCTCCCGACTTATCCCCAATTGAGCACGTGTGGGATATGATGGGTAGGAGATTGCTCAATTTGCAACGTCCTCCTCGGACTCTAGAAGCACTTCGAGAGGAGTTGGTGGTTGCCTGGAATGAGATACCACAGGAGGACATTGACCACCTGATCAGAAGCATGCCTATGCGCGTTGGAGAATGCGTAGCACATCAGGGTGCATCCACACATTATTAAAGGTCAAAGGGCTTTAAAGCAGTGCAAACATTTTGAAATTTTTATCATTTACTTATTATGCTTCATTAAGTACTTATACAAAATTTTATTAAAATAAAACCATTTGAACTGGGTGTGCGGATTTATATGTCACTTAGTATATTATCTAGCAAAGGGACATATAGGTTCAGTCTGTAATGATTTTCCGACATGGCCGCCCAAACTAACATAACGCGGATGAGAAAAGAGAATGTTGTTCAAACTTGGAAAGCGCTCTAACATTGTTTCGACGAACGTACGGCGTAGATGGTGGTCTTGCGGTTTCAAATCCTGCACTAATAGAAGTTTATATGGGTCCATTTTAAGGTCTGCTACCAAAATACGCCTTACAGATGTTCTTCTCTTTCGGGATGATAAGTCAAAGTCATGTTCAAGAAGGATGACGTGGGGTTGGGGTTGTTAATGATAGTCCATCATCATTAGAATCAAAATAACATTTATTGCGAATAAGCAAAATAATAAATTATCACTTTAATGAAATAGGTACAGAAGTGTTATAAATAATAAATTAATTGGTCGCCAAGAAATAAATAGGTATGTTTCAACAGTATAAACATGAGGATACGAGTATATTTATGAAATGGAGATTGAAACCTGAAACTGAACTATCTGCTTTCAATAGTTATTTCATTGAACTTAGAAATGCAATCTAGACACATTTTATACCTGCAGTAAATTCCTTTGCCTTTGCGGTTTCCGCTAAGAATGTGTAATTTAGGCGCTCGTAAAAGAACCTCGCAATTTACTTGCGGAAATCGGACTTCTTTAAATTGGTTGAATTTCTGATATGCTGCATATCTCAGCGTCCTTAACAAATGTCTCCAAGGGCACAACCTCCTAAACCCTAAGGGTTGTGAGATAAAAATAGTTGAAATTGAAATATCTTAGTTATATTATATATTATATTTTTTTTTTGATAAAAGCGAGGTTTAGAAGTAACTTTACATCAATTTTTATGACATAGAACGTTCAAAATAACCTATTACCTGAAATTTGAATATTTCTGCGATCAAGGTAAATGACAATATGCAGATTCACGAAACGACGATTTCAGTTTTCCGGTGTAGCTGATTTATCAATTCTGAGCATAAAATTCTTAGATTTTAGAAAAAAAAAACATATGCTGCTTGGCAATATGGCTGTTACGATGGACATTGTGTGTGTCCAAATACAGCATATGGTTTCACATTTTTATGGGGGATACGCTAATCAATGTTAATATATTTATGTCACAAATGTCGCATTTTGTAAAAACTTAGAGTTCTTTTCTCAAAATTAAATCGCTAAATAAATCCAGCTACACCGGAAATCTAAGTGGCTGATGGAACTGTTGTCTCGTGAATGTGCCTATTATCATTTAATTATTATTATTGGAATATTCCAATGTCATGTATTAGGTTATTTTGGTCGTTTTATGTGATGTGAAATTCAACCCCGAAAGAAGAATCATCCGCCACCAAGACAATGCAAGCTCGCACACAGCCCAAAGACAATACTTCGAAAAACAATAAAGTCATTTAAAACTACCTACCGTGTTGTTTTATTTCCATATGCAAAATTTACAAGACATCCCTCATAACATATCAGAAATTCAAGCAATTTAACGGAACTCCGATTTCCATGAGGGCGTTGCGTGGTTATTTGGCCGATAAGCATGTTTGACTTACAATGCTATTTTTCTTTGTCTTCCCCGCGATCGCAACCAAGCCTGAGGTCGAGTCGGGAGACTAGCGACACAGCACTGATACCAGTGGCGTAGCGAGGTGGATGCAGACCCCCAAGCGGCAGGAAGTTTTTGAATTAACAATAAGACATGCTGTACTATACTACAACTATTTAAAACTGTAATGACTCATACGCGTGATCAACACGTGATCAGAGCTCGATCCCGGCTTCCTTCCAGTACAGCCGTATAGCGTACGACATAATATATGTCGTTTCTGTGGCTTTGCGGTGGTCAACAGCACAGACAGAGATGGAAATAATGGCTGATTGTTCTCCGCCGGTAGAACCAATGAAATCGAAGACGCGCCTCGACCGGCAGACTCATAGGCGTCGGCAACGCATTGGAACGTGTTTCGTTGAGCGATCGGATATTGTGTGTTTTTATAAGAATTGTTGTGTGATTGTTATTGTTGTGGTTTCTGTGGTTACTGTTTTGGTTATACTTAACCATGGAGAGTACAAATGGCACGAGTGGAAGTACTGAAAGCCAGGGAACAAGTATACGGCTTCGTAAAGCACTGAAGAGGGACGCGAAAGAAATCGTGATCAACGTTTTCAATTATCTGAACAGAACTATGTCGCAGGGAGATGCACTCGCGCGTTGTGAAAGTATGACAGGCGTTCCAGAGTGGACCATTCGCAGGGTGGTGCATGAAAAGAAGAAAACTGGAGCTACTACTGATCCAAAGTTTAATTTGAAGGGACGAAAGGCCGTTAAATTGGATGACGATAGCAAAATGGCGTTAAGGCGATCCGTACATTCATTCTTCTTTAGGAATGAGATACCAACCCTCAAGGCTGTGCATGCAGCGATCAAGGAAAATGAAATTATACCCCAAATGAGCGTCGAGGTAATGAGGAAATCCCTGCACAAAATTAATTTTCGTTACGAAACGCGTAATCGGAAGTCAGTATTGATAGAGAGACCTGAAATAGTTGCCTGGCGTCGAAAATACCTACGCGAAATGATTGAATATAGGCGACAAAGCAGAAAAATCTATTATTTGGACGAGGCATGGGTAAATGCAGGTCACACAGTTAAAAAAACCTGGATAGACAAAAACGTAGTGAGTAACCGACAAGCAAGCATTGAAGGTTTCTCAACAGGTCTTCGTGGACCGTCAGGGAAAGGTCAAAGATTGATCGTAACTCATATTGGTAGCGATAGTGGCTTTTTAGAAGAGTGTGACTTGATTTTCGTCTCTAAGAAAGGAGGTGATTACCATGACGAAATGAATGCCAGCTGCTTCGGGAGCTGGTTTCACGGGGTGCTTCAGCGAGTTGAGCCCAACTCTGTGATCGTCATGGATAATGCTTCCTACCATAGTCGTCGAGCCGAACGTGTACCGACTATGGGATCTCGAAAAAGTGACATGCAGCAATGGTTGCGCGAAAAAGGAATCCCGTTTGACGATTCATGTGTGAAAGCGGAATTGTATGAAAAAATTAAACAGCACAACATGCGAACATTAGTTACGTGACTGATGAGATGGCCCGTCAATGTGGTGTCACTGTGCTGCGGTTACCGCCCTACCACTGTGAACTGAACCCAATAGAGCTCATCTGGGCTCAAGTGAAGGGTTATATTGCGCGCCATAACACAACCTTCAAATTACCAGACGTTAAGGTTTTACTTGAGACTTCCATACAGCTAGTAACGCCCGAAGCTTGGCAGAATGCTATCCGTCATGTTGTGAAGGAAGAAACAAAAATGTGGCAGCTTGACCACCACATCGACTCCATCATAGAGCCAGTTATAGTCAATTTCAACGAGGAAAGCGATAGCGACAGTTTATTAATAAAGGTAATTCCCAAATTTTTGTCTTACAATATGTTTCAAACCACTCTTTATTAAGCATGTGACAAATCTAGTTCAGCTATGTTAAACATTCATACCCCGCCTATGAACAGCCGACTACTGGTAGTTAAGTGATGTTCACGTGAACATCGATGAGTCATTACAGTTTTAGATAGTTATAGTATAGCTCACGAATTGGTCTCGGGCTTGCTAACGGACTCCTGTCGCTTTCGGGGCATGGTGGAACGGCACCTTTAAGTGCATGTAGATTCGCTGTTAAGCGACACTGATAATATAAAAAGTGTCTGAACGCTGGTACATTTTTTTACGAGTATAAATAAGAATTTGAAAATTAATGATATAAATAGTACAAAGTAATGTTACGAGGGGCACTAGAAAAGAATTCTACCTAGCCATGAAACAGAAGACGTACGATGTTTTTTGATAATTTCATTTTTCAATTCAGGGTGTCTGCGAAAGTTTGGGAAATCTCGGAACTGGAGATACTACAGACCAAAATATGCGAATTGACCTGAGCATAGCCCAGAGGTTGATAGTTTGCGAGTCTAAAGCTAATAGTTTTCGAGATATTTGTTTACCAAATTTCCAGCAGAGGCTTGTATCCTTGTATTTGTACGTTTAAAATACATGCCACTATTTGACATATGCTTGTGCGTTTTAATTGTTGTTTTTTTCATGGCTAGGTAGATTTCTTTTCTAGAATCCCTCGCCTATATACGTCTACACCGCAGTAGACCAAATATTTTGATTTGGATAAGTACGAGTAGTCTGTCAAGCATTATTTTTGTAAAAATGACAATTGGCACGATGCGAAGAAAATTCTTCATGTCGCAATTGGTTTCAATATTTGTTCCAATGCTTCGGCGCCATTTTGCACCTTGGCAGCTAGAATTTTTTCGGCTGTAACCAATTTGGACAGTAAAGGCTTCTCCATTAGGACCTCTGGAATTCGAACGAGCTTGTTTGTCGTTCCTGTAAAATAAAGTCCTGTATCTGAAATCAAAATGAGGAACTTTACAAAGAAATTGATGAATGATATACACATTATAGTGAGAATATACGATGTGAAACAACCAAATGCAATACATTAGTTATCCCGATGACATCGCATATTTTTGAAAAATCAAGGTTTAAGTAAATTTTGGATCCAAATCGTATCTCATTAGGGTCAAGTGGTGCAAAAACGAGACGATTTTTAAATCTTTTAATTTTTTGTCAACAAAAAACCGCACTTTAAGGCTTTGTTATATTGCCCTGTATATAGAAAGTCATGTAGTATACTTCACGTTAAAAAAAGTTCATAATATTCATAATGAAGGGCGTTTTTGTTAAAAAACCGTGTCTCGTTTTTAACCACTATTTAGGCTAAAAATGAGACAGTGAGAGGTTAAAAACAAAACACTGTATTTTCTGGCCTTTTAGTCATTTTACATCAGTGTGGCAAAATATGAGACCCTGGGGAATAAAAACGAGACACACTGCAAGGGTTTTAAAGCGCTTAGTAAGTCAAATAACATAGTTTGGTTTTAAATTGTGACCAAGTTCTTAAAGAAAACTCACATAATTAACTACAAAACTATGTCTATTAAACTAAAAAGAAAACAAATCCAAAAACAAGTTAAATAAATCATACCTAATTCAAAAAAGGGGTAAAACAAGATTTTCAATAGAATTTTAAGAGCTAAAGTAGAAAACTTATTATTCTAACGTATTTTGTACTACATATTATTGAACGACGTATTTTTCAAAGTCGATAGGAAACCAATATTGCTGAGAGATACGACAGGTCTTACTTTCTATTTCTGGCTGGGGAAGTTTCATTTCTGTGTCACTTTTGTCGATGAAGTACTTTTCCTCAATGGGCAGAAAAATAAATTTAAATCATTTGCGCCTCAGATATTTTACTTCTACATCGCTTTCAAAAACTTTAAGGATTTGTGCCACGTGGTAAACTTGCATTTTTGCGTTTTTTTGACTAGTCTATTGCGCTTACAAAAAAATTTAAACCAATCTTTCCCGGGCTTTCCTTCCTTAATTGCTTGTATCTCTGGTTTAGTGAGAGCAAACCCCCATTTAGCCATAATTTTTATCTTGTCACTTAAGTCTACTTCCATTTCTTTGGTTAGAGAAGTTTTTCTTGCCTGTTTACCAAGTGAACGAGTACGTCTTCTCGAAAGAGCAGATTTGTCAATTTTAAACTGTTTAGCTGCATTTCTAAGAGATAAAGTGCCATTATCTATTAGTTTTAGGGCTGTTTCCATGTTCTTTTTGTCGTAGGGGCGCTTTTTGGGAACGGAAACCTTCGGCATTATTATCAAAGGTATAAAAGCTGTCCTGTTTTTACCTGGCAGGTGTCTTGTTTTTAAACTTTGTGGTGTCTCGTTTTTGCACCTGTTATTCACGACGTGCCTACTTGCCAACAAATAAAAATAGACGATATGGATATGGAATATCATAGCCGCATTTGTTATTTTGAAAACGCGATACTTGCCGAGTCTCTACGATCACGTACAGCAGCGCAACAGGAAAAGTTTGTAAATACAATTTAAAAGATTTTTTAAGCAAAATGCACAATCAGATAGTTTTTTTCTCGATGTTTGTGTTTACGTTTATTTATTATTCATTACATATTTCAATTGTATATATGTGGAAGAAATTTGTAACGTATTTTTTACAATGTTATTGTTTTTTTGCATTGGGAAAAATTGAATGTCTTGTTTTTGCACCACTTGACCCTACAGAAAAGATTAATCCAATAATTGAGTAGCCTGAGGGTGGGGATAGCAACTCGTTAACGTTTAACTACGAAGTACGAACGTCTGGTACAGTATTTCAAGTTTTCATTTCATATTCAATAATTTTCTTGGTTACATTGCATTGCTTTCAAGGTTTTATTTTTAATTTTAATGTATCCTCTAAAACATTGCGTAATAGTAATCTGATTGCGATTAAATTCCACGCGATAAATTATGGCCAGCGCTCCCCACAGGATCGGGAACTTCGTCTTATCAATTTTATTCACTCTGATATTGACATCTTTAGCTGTACTCTCAGGCTTTACAAAGCATTTTCTCTATATTGTGATTTTATATAGCGTGTAATTACAGCATATGATTCCTTAACTCATTTTAGGAAGAAAAGTGTATATGAACATATGTCCGAAACCCCTTAACTTTTGAGCTAAAGAGTGAAGAGTTTTAAGAAAAATTTTTAATATCATAACTTTAATACTGTTCTCGATATTTTCATGAAATTTGTCATGCATGTACTAAACACCAATAGGCATTTTCTGATGTAGACTATTTTTTTAATATTTCTACCAGTGACGTCCGTACAGAATCTATATCGGAGATTTACAAAAAATATAGTAGGCCATCCGAAAATAAATTTTCAAATCTTAATTTATTTTGCAAGCTCTATACTTTTTTCGTCGTGTAAAAAATAAAAGCCATTTTGGCTATTTTAATCAATGGACTTCACTAATATTTTAGCGATTTTGCAATGCATGAAAATTAAAAAACAAGTTTGCAACAAGTTTTGACAATTTCTATCAAATGAACTATACAGGGTGTTCCTTAATGATATTTAAGGGTGTGTATCTACATGAAAAATTAATGTTAGTTTGGTTTATTATCCAAAAATGTTTCGTTACAAAAGCTCGGGGTGTTGAAGTTTTAGTAAAAAAAATGGAAATTCATTAATATTTTCAGAACCGCTTCGATATTTCTCTGATATTTAGTACGAAGTGAAAGTTAATAAAGTTGAATATTTTTCAATGCAAGAATAATTTTTAGCTTTAACAGTGGTGTGCGTACGGGTATTGACTTCGATATTTTTTAAGAAAAAAAAAATAATACGTCAATGGTTTTTTGACAAATAAAAATTATTTTTCAATTTCCCGTTCAATTTAAAACAAATGGTCTCTCTTGAATTGTTTCCTTCGATGCGCCATTTTTGAGTAAAAAATAAAAAGCGTTTTATTGTCTAACTTGCAATATTATTATTAATTTATACTAAGTGACATATAAATCCGAACACCCAGTTTAAATGGTTTTGCTTTAATAAAAGTTGGTGAATGTATTTATCTTAGGTACTGTAAATAACAAGTCAAAAAATTTTCAGCCTTATCAGTTGGACATTCCGGTTTTTATACTGCTTTTTTTTAATTCACTAACGCTCTAAAAATGAATATTTCAGCCGCAGTAAAGAATCAACGTTGGCGGATTTTGGTTCTTGACATCCTTTACGATCGGTTACGATGCCTAGAGTACGGAGACCTGTACGATTTCGTCAACTTAGTGAGTTTGATAGGGGCCGTATAGTGGGACTTCGGGAAGCTGGACTTTCTTTTCGGGCAATTGCAGTTAGAGTGCAAAGAAGTGTAGACACTGTGGTTAGGTGTTGTCAGGCATGGCTTCGAGAAGGCCGTACGCAAAGAGCAAGGGGCACTGGACGCCGCCGTAGAACAACAGACCGTGAAGATCGCCGCCTAAGATTATTGGCCTTAAGGGACCGTTTCTCCACTACCAGGTCCATTGCAAATGAATGGTTTGCAGAACACGGAAGACCTATTGGCATGCGAAGTGTTTACCGACGATTGAGAAGTTTTGTCTTGTTTTCATACCGGCCACACTGGGTCCTCCCTTTAACTCGAGAACACCGACGTAATCGCCTTGAGTGGTGCAGACAACTGTCACTCTGGGATCAGGAATGGAACAGTATTGTCTTTAGTGACGAGTCTCGATTTTGTTTAGGCATGCACGATGGTCGTGCCAGGGTTAGAAGGCGACGTGGTGAAAGGAGGAATCCACAGTTTTTTGTTGAAAGACATGTTCATCACACTGTTGGTGTTATGGTTTGGCGTGCTATAGCTTATGGCTCCAGGTCACCTTTAATCTTCATCAGAGGTAACATGAACGCGCAGCGTTATATCCACGAAGTTCTAGAACCCCATCTTTTACCCTATCTTGACACCCTGGCAGATCCAACTTTCCAACAAGATAATACCCGACCACATGTTGCAAGAGTCATAATAGACTTCTTTCAACATAATGATTTCACATTGTTACCATGGCCACCAAGATCTCCCGACTTATCCCCAATTGAGCACGTGTGGGATATGATGGGTAGGAGATTGCTCAATTTGCAACGTCCTCCTCAGACTCTAGAAGCACTTCGAGAGGAGTTGGTGGTTGCCTGGAATGAGATACCACAGGAGGACATTGACCGCCTGATCAGAAGCATGCCTAGGCGCGTTGGAGAATGCGTAGCACATCAGGGTGCATCCACACATTATTAAAGGTCAAAGGGCTTTAAATCAGTGCAATCATTTTGAAATTTTTATCATTTACTTATTATGCTTCATCAAGTACTTATTTTATTAAAATAAAACCATTTAAACTGGGTGTTCGGATTTATATGTCACTTAGTATAATTGTAAAAATCAAACACATTAGGAGTAATGAACAACAGCAACTGACAACAGAGAGATAACATTAAAACCAAATAAATGATTACAAAAATTGTTAAAAATGTCCTCCCTTTCAAAAATCCCACGAGTATTTCTTATGGTTCGGTAAGACAGTAAAATTTTCTGCCTTAGTTCCTCCACAGTTTGAACCGGTGTAGTATACGCAAGTCTTGAGGGGCCCCCCACAAAAAGAAGTCTAAACTATTAAAATCAAGGACCTGGGAGGTCAACATTGAGTTACCCCGTATCCAATCCAGCGATTGGTAAGCGCTTCATTTAGAAATCCCCTGGTAATCTCAATAAAAGAGGTAGATCCTTGAGCAGAATTGGCAAATCGTTTTCAAGAAAGTGACGATGGGATATAGACGGTCTTATGAGAAAATCTCCAACTATTCCAGCCCACACATTCGCGAAAAAACGCTCCTGATGATGTGCCTCCGTAATTGCGTATGGGTTTTCTTCAGCTCATACATGATTATTATGGAAATTTCCAACGAAATTGCGGAAAAAAGTAGCTTCATCAATAAAGAGTACTGTGATATCAAATAAAGGGTATTCAGCAAGTTTTTATAAAAACCATCGGCAGAAATTTAAACGCAATAGAAAATCACTCGGCAGTAGTGCTTGAACCTTTTGAATATGATAGGGGTATAGCAAATTAACATCGTCATACGATTTTAAAGACAAAATAGGGCACCAGCCTACTAATTTAAAATAATTTCGTTATACCACAAATCAAGCAACTGGTTTTTATTTTTTTACGCGAAAACCGTATTGCAAAATAAATGGGGATTTCAAAAATATCTTTTTATAGCAATAGCCTACCATTTTTTTTAAAAAAGTCTCCCGACGGACGCCACTGGTAGAAATATTAAGAATATTATACACCCAAAAATGCTTATTCGTACTTAGTAGGTGCATGTCAAATTTCAAGAAAATATCTTGAGCAGTATCAAACTTATGATAAGAAAACGAACTTTTTCTTAAAATTTTAACACTCTGTAGCTCAAAAGCTAAGAGGTTTAGGACATACGTTCATATAAACTCAATTGAATTACACCTTGTGGAATCATTTAGCCACAATTGTGAGATTCCATCCATACATTTGGGTAAGCATTACTCATACATACCATCATCTTCTCTCCTCAACGTTTTACTTTTCCTTTTTCGAGACTTCTTGCAACCCGAAATTACGTTTCCTGGTAATGGCACTACTTTTCCACCCTCAGTCTCAATGCCGATTGGTGTAACGCCGACGTCACTATTCGGTGCTGTTTCTTGAATTTTTCCAATTCCCTCTGCAACTTGGCCCACAGCATCTGCTACTTCAGCTAGAGGCGGAAGTGTCCCATTCTCCAATGAGTCAGCCTGTCCGGCGTCTAATATCTCCGCTATTTCTTTCAAAACATCTTTTCCTATGTTGGGGTTATTGATCAAGTCCTCAACATTGTCTGTCTCTATTAAAGTATTGAGCACATCAGTGTAGTTATCCAATTTTGTAATATCAATAGGGATCTTCTCGGTGTTTTTTTCTGTCAGCAGTGCGACGTCTGCGTCTTGACCAAACATCGGGCTTAAGTTATCCAATTTACCCTGCTGTATGTTCAGTTGTTGTGCTATCTCTTTCAAAGCAGCTGTTGTAATTATAGGGTTCTTCACCAAATCATCAATGCTGTCCGTCTTCATGATAGCATTTATTATGTCCGAATAGTCTTTCTCTGCAATACCTGCACCGAGAGATTGCGGTACTTTTTCTGGTTTGGTTTCCGGTACAGCTACAGCGAATAATTGATCTTGTACTGCTTCATCTTTCAACAAACCTTCTATCTGAGCCATTGCGTCAGAATAGGCTTTCTCTGATGCAACACCTGCACCAAGAGATTGCGGTACTTTTTCTGGTTTGGTTTCCGGTACAGCTACAGCGCCTAATTGATCTTGTACTGCTCCATCTTTCAACAAACCTTCTATCTGAGTCATTGCGTCAGAATAGGCTTTCTCTGATGCAACACCTGCACCAAGAGATTGCGGTACTTTTTCTAGTTTGGTTTCCGGTACAGCTACAGGGTTTAATTGATCTTGTACTGCTTCATCTTTCAACAAGCCTTCTATCTGAGTCATTGCGTCAGAATAGGCTTTCGCTGATGCAACACCTGCACCAAGAGATTGCGGTACTTTTTCTGGTTTGGTTTCCGGTACAGCTACAGCGTTTAATTGATCTTGTACTGCTTCATCTTTCAACAGGCCTTCTATCTGAGTCAAAATTCTGTCAGCTGGTTCCTCGGGCGTGTCAATAACTGCAGTAGCTTGTTGTGGTACAATATCCTTAGTCAGATCTTCTAATTCTTTCAAGATCTCGCTAGGTGAAACAACAGATGTTTCTGGTTTTAAGTTAGTTATCCCATCTTCCACTATTGGAGTAGCAGGTGTTTCGTCTTTTAGTAGATCTTCTAGTTGTTTCAAGATATCACCAGTTTGATCGACTCCTTTCGTAGCATCAGGTGCGGGAACTGGTAGATCTATTGGATTAAAGTTAGTAGTATCTACTTTCTGGTCAAGCTCTTTAGCAGAGCTGGCTATAGATGCTGCTAGTTCATCCAAATTAGCAGGATTTGCAGCGCTGTCCCAATCATCTTCACCTGTCGGTGATGCTATTGAGGCTAAGTTTGATATCGGACGAGTCTGATACGTAGGGAAAGTTTGAAGTACTGATTGTTGTATTGGCGGTGAGTACATAGATGAGGCTACTAGTGCAGGATTCAGTAGTGGTGCTGGAGATTGGTAGGCGGAACGACCGAATTCTTTATTGATGTAATTCACTTGTGGGCTAGAGTATCCGTATGGGCTAGGTCTCGGCTGATAGGTGTATCTGTAAGAAGGATACGATTGAAATAATTCGGCAGTTATGACGATTTACTACGCGATTTAAGAAAAAGGAACATTCGTCGGAAAAGCAAGTGTTGAATAGAAAATGTTCATCGTTATAACTCGTTCACTCATATCTTCACAAAATTGTAATCACCGATCAAAATAGTCTTCATTAAGTTCTTGTGCCAGGTGAATTTTATACGGATGAAAACTATGGGCCTTTAGAATCCGTTGGACAGTACGTCGACCAACACCACACAGTCTCCAGTTTGCGGGTACTTAACGTAGGATCTACATAAACTTGCCCTAAAACCCCACTTCTATTGCTTCGTTCCTTATGGGGTTTTCAATGTTGCGCTTTTTATTGGCGACTGACAAAGTTTCCCGAAATTTAGCTACAAGTTCTAGAACATATTTTGGATGCAGGGTACTGTTCCCATGTCGCTCATTAAATATTTCTGCTGTTCTATTAGCGCACTGATTATTTCCGAAAAATATTTCGATAATTTCAACTCTTTCTGGTGTGGAATATACCATGGTTAATTTATCTAATAAAGCGTTACAAGTTATTTTAGCAACAAAGTTTGGTCGAATCAATCGCAAACTAAACTCTGGGCGCTGAAGAAAGAAATTAAACGTAAACAGTGATCAGCACGTGAACAGATCCCTCGAAAGCATCCACGGATATACTCCAGTCACTTTAGGTCTAAACATCCTCGGCAGTGTATTTCTAGTGAATCCGCAGACCCTTTTTCGTGTCATCTTGAGACTAGAAAAAGGATGACTGTTAAAATAAGTTACCTTGATCTTTCATGAGCTCCCAGTACAAAACACCATCGATATATTTTTGATGTAGGAACAACAAATTGGTTTAGAAAACATCCACTTTGAACCTAAATTGACTGGAGTAACATCGATCTACAGACAAATTCAAGGTCACTAGCAGTCGTCGGCGCTCTACGAATCTGCACAGGTTTGGACTTGTAAACGTGATTGTAGATGACACGACAGGCATCTAACAGTTAATTCACGCACAGGATTGCATTGCATACGCATTACGCATTCAGTAGCGTATACTCGTTTTTCGCGAGTGGAACGTTTTGTTTATATATTGCCTAAGATACGATGTCTGACACAGATACAGCCGACGAAGTGGTTGACATCAGCGCAACCCCACCCAAAAAAAGGGCTAAGAAGCTACATTTAAGTGCAAATGAAAAACAAATAATATTAAATATATACAAAAACCAAATTCAAGAAAAACCCGATTTGGTCGTGGACGAAGTTATATGTAAGGTAGCACATATTTCTGGAGTATGTCGGTCCAGTGTTTATAGGATCATTAAGGAATATAGGAGCACTCACTCACTTTCTGAGCCAAAACCGTATCCTGCAAGAAAACGGATAACGGACGGAGTAGATGACTTTGACAGAACTGCCATCAGGAGGAAAGTGCATAATTTTTTCTTCCGAAATGAGATACCTACAGTAGATAAGATATTAAGGTTAGTTAATGTTGATGAGGATCTTCCATCATTTAAAAGAACCACATTCCGAAAACTTTTGAAGGAACTTAATTTTCGATTCTTGAAACGGGGAAGAAACAGTATGTTAATAGAGAAAGAAGAAATTGTTGTGTGGAGAAGGGAATACCTTAGGAAGATTCGGAAGTTTCGCGATGAAAAAAGAAAAATTTACTATTTGGACGAAACGTGGGTGAATGCTGGACATACTCAAGCGAAAGTTTGGGTCGACAAATCAGTAACATCATCTAGGCAGGCTTTTCTAGACGGTCTTTCGGCTGGATTGAAAAATCCTGCAGGTAAGCTCCTTCATCTATCCGGCAATTTAATTTTGATAAATTCGGGCAAATAATATGCTGTGATAGCAGATAATGTGTGATATTCTCCAAAAATGGTGCATTCGCAGTGTAGTCATTAGGAAAAAACTTCGACCCACTTTTAAGCGTTATTTTGAAATTTATTATCATTTTTGGGCGCAGTCAATTTGCTTTGAATGGGTTTTGAGAAGTTGCAAACTTCAATTTTCTACGTTTTTCAGTTTTTGATCAGCATTCCGTGACTCTTAAATTCAGCTAAATGAACTCAATTGCCTCATTCCTTCAAATTTAATCAATCCATAGTGTAAGGAATAATTTATTTCCAGGAAAAGGCAAACGGCTGATCATTTGTCACGTAGGTAGTGAAGACGGCTTTGTTCCCGAAGCACTGTGGGCCTTTGAATCAAAAAAGACAGGGGACTATCATGAGGAGATGGATGGCAATTCCTTTGAAAATTGGTTCTCCAAAATGTTACTAAAGCTGGAGAATAACGCTGTTATTGTACTGGATAATGCCCCGTACCATTCTAGAAAAATAGAAAAAATTCCCACAATGGCAACTAAAAAAGCAAACATACAACAATGGCAGGCCTCAAAACAGATCGATTTTGATGAAACAATGGTCAAGGGTGAATTGATAAGTATAGTCAATAGACATAAATACAAATACGATTTTAAAATGATCGACGAAATGGCCAAAAAACAAAATAAAACTGTCTTGAGACTGCCACCCTACCATTGTGAGCTGAACCCTATTGAGCTGATTTGGGCCAACATGAAGCAATACGTGGCGTCGAATAATAATACTTATAAATTTTCTGATGTTAAAAATCTCTTTCACATCGCAGTCAATAGAGTTACGGCAGAGGAATGGAAAAACTGTATCCGCCACGTTCGGGAGAAGGTTGAGGTCAAAATGTGGGATTTGGACAATGTCATCGATACCCAAATTGAACCTCTAATAATTCATTTAAACGATTCAGAAGATTCAAGTTCCTCTTCTGAATGAGTGCGCGCAGCTTACTTGCTAATAACTAAAAAGTGTAGTTAACTCATTTGTGAATCTCTAACTGAAATTTACTGTAAAAGATAATAATTATCTTGTATGAAATTTTTGATGACTACCCATAATATCTTGATGCGGTCCTGTAATGTCTCCTGCGCCTAAACACTCACTCACGAGCAATATGCGTGTATTTGTTTGGGTTTAGTTTCTTTCTTCAGCGCCTAGAGTATATGTACTAAATTCCTATTTAAAATAAGTACGAGTTATTTCCTTATTTTTCTTCAAGAAATAACTTTTTGCCACAAAAAAACGCTCCAATAGCCATTTTCAACAACAAAATGATAAACAAACCATGGGCGTAGTGAAGAAAAGCAAGTAAATTCTTTTAGTCAAATTTCTTCTGAAAGTAGTACAAACTAATCTGATGTACCTATTAAAGTCTACTTTAAGCTTTAAATCAATAAATATTCAAAACTACTGAACTGAAGCTCATGTAATCAAATTAAATTGCATTGTTATCTATCGTTCATACTTGTGCCAAGTTTCGAGTTAATAAAACGTTTGTAAATTGGTGAACATTATGCTCAAAGATTCGATTACAGACATACAGGCGACAAAACGAAAATTGTTGAAAAGTGGCGGTGATGCTAAGTACTTGTCGGATCGCCCTCGTAAACGATAAATTAATCAAGTTAATATACTAAGTGACATAAATCCGAACACCCAGTTTAAATGGTTTTATTTTAATAAAACTTTGTATAAGTACTTAATGAAGCATAATAAGTAAATGATAAAAATTTCAAAATGATTGCACTGCTTTAAACCCCTTTGACCTTTAATAATGTGTGGATGCACCCTGATGTGCTACGCATTCTCCAACGCGCCTAGGCACGCTTCTGATCAGGTGGTCAATGTCCTCCTGTGGTATCTCATTCCAGGCAACCACCAACTCCTCTCGAAGTGCTTCTAGAGTCTGAGGAGGACGTTGCAAATTGAGCAATCTCCTACCCATCATATCCCACACGTGCTCAATTGGGGATAAGTCGGGAGATCTTGGTGGTCATGGTAACAATGTGACATCATTATGTTGAAAGAAGTCTATTGTGACTCTTGCAACATGTGGTCGGGCATTATCTTGTTGGAAAGTTGGATCTGCCAGGGTGTCAAGATAGGGTAAAAGTTGGGGTTCTAAAACTTCGCGGATATAACGCAGCGCCTTCATGTTACCTCTGATGAAGATTAAAGGTGAACTGGAACCATAAGCTATAGCACCCCAAACCATAACTCCAACAGTGTGATGAACATGTCTTTCAACAAAAAACTGTGGATTCCTCCTTTCACCACGTCGCCTTCTAACCCTGGCACGACCATCGTGCATGCCTAAACAAAATCGAGACTCGTCACTAAAGACAATACTGTTCCATTCCTGATCCCAGAGTGCACGTTGTCTGCACCACTCAAGGCGATTACGTCGGTGTTCTCGAGTTAAAGGGAGGACCCAGTGTGGCCGGTATGAAAACAAGCCAAAACTTCTCATTCGTCGGTAAACACTTCGCATGCCAATAGGTCTTCCGTGTTCTGCAAACCATTCATTTGCAATAGACCTGGTAGTGGAGAAACGGTCCCTTAAGGCCAATAATCTTAGGCGGCGATCTTGTTCTACGGCGGCGCCCAGTGCCCCTTGCTCTTTGCGTACGGCCTTCTCGAAGCCATGCCTGACAACGCCTAACCGCAGTGTCTACACTTCTTTGCACTCTAACTGCAATTGCCCGAAAAGAAAGTCCAGCTTCCCGAAGTCCCACTATACGGCCCCTATCAAACTCACTGAGTTGACGAAATCGTACAGGTCTCCGTACTCTAGGCATCGTAACCGATCGTAAAGGATGTCAAGAACCAAAATCCGCCAACGTTGATTCTTTACTGCGGCTGAAATATTCATTTTTAGAGCGTTAGTGAATTAAAAAAAGCAGTATAAAAACCGGAATGTCCAACTGATAAGGCTGAAAATTTTTTCACTTGTTATTTACAGTAAGATAAATACATTCACCAACTTTTAGTAAAATAAAACCATGTTTTAGATATTATAATTTCCATCAAATCTCAAGCAACTGGTTGTGATGGAATTAACATAGGAATGATCAATTTGTGTATTCCTGAAGTGTTACCTCATCTAACACATATCGTCAATTTTTGTTTAGAAAAAGGAGTATTTTCAAGTTTGTGGAAAGAGGCTGTTATAACTCCTCTGGCTAAGAATAATAATCCTACAGAATATTCGGATTTGAGACCCATTAGTATATTGTGTGCCTTGTCAAAGATATTGGAAAAAATTGTTTATATGCAATTGGTAAAATATTTTGAAGAGTACAACATATTTCCAAATTGTCAGTGTGGTTTCCGTAGTGGTCACAGCACAACATCTGCATTATTACACGTAACTGATGAGATTATCTCTAACTTAGACAATCATATTTACACTGTGCTGGTGTTGTTAGATTTCTCAAAGGCATTTGATACGGTTAACCACGAAATGCTTCTATCCAAATTAAAATACTACGGATTATCTGACGTTCCTCTTTGCTTTTTTAAATCATACTTAAATAATCGCAAGCAACGAATAAGAACAAGCCAAGGAGTTTCTCTTAGTGCCGATGTTGCTTCTGGTGTTCCTCAGGGTTCCGTGGTTGGTCCTTTACTAAATATAGTTTATACTTTTGACTTGCATACTGTATTACAGTTTTGTAGTATTCATACTTACGCAGACGATACACAATTGACGTTCACTTTTGACTCTACTAATGTGGATCAAGCTTCGTATAAAATAAATTTAGATCTGGTAAATATAACTGACTATTGCAAGGCTAACTGTTTGAAGCTCAATCCTACCAAGAGTTTTGCGGTGTTGTTTTGTCCCAAAACCAGCTATGAGCATTTTGAAAGGATGATTGATTTGAGGGTAAATAATGACCATATTCCACTCGTCACGCATGCAAAAAGTCTAGGTGTTACTTTAGACGTAAATCTTAGATTTCATCACCACGTCAGTAATATATCTAAAGCTACATATGCAAGCCTAAGACTCCTATACTCCAATCGTTCTATTCTCAATTTCAAGACTAGAAAGAAATTGGTGGAAAGTTTAGTTATGTCTAAGCTGCTTCACTGTTTTATACTGTTTTATCCTTGTCTTGACTCCATAACAAAAACCAGATTGCAGAAAATTCAAAATTGTTGTTGTCGTTTTGTTTTCGGCCTTCGTAGATATAGCCATGTTACATCCAAGATCTGTGAGCTGGGGTGGCTGAAGCTCAATAATCTTTTCAAGTTTCATATGTTGGTTTTTGTACATAAAACAGTCGTTACCAAGAGACCTATTTACCTTGCAAATAAGTTAGTTCCGCGTAGGAATTTAATTTCAAGAAGGTTACGTCATGATGAACAGTTCAATATTCCTCTTCACTACACCTCATTATATCAGAGATCTTTCACGTATAATGCTGTTGAGCTTTACAATTCAGTCAGTGCGGCTAACAAACAAGAAAGTTTACTCACTTTTAAGAAATCAGTTGGAAAACAGCTATTGGAGATGCAATCGTCTCTCAGTGTTTGAGTTGTTGGTTTGTTTTATTTTTATGACACTTTATTATTATTATTATTATTATATTAATATTTCAAGTGTGCATTTGTTTCTTTTTCTTATTATTACTATCGTTTGTTTGTGTATCGAGTTTAACTGTGTTACTCTTTCGTACACAGTGAGGTTAAGTGTAAGAGTAGCCATTTGGCTAAAGTTCGCCTCACTGATGTATGCTGATTAATAAAGACATTTATTATTATTATTATTATTTAAACTGGGTGTTCGGATTTATATGTCACTTAGTATAGTTGGTAACTTTACCTGTTAGGTGTCCCATATTGATACGCTACCCCGGCCGGATGCTGATACATGTACCCTGACGACGTCGGTACAGGTTGATCCAACATGTGGATGACGCGTCTCGTGTCTTCCACCAGGTACCTCCCCAGCTGCTTCTCGTCATCTCCCAAATATTGCGGCAGCGGTGGCGGTGGTCTCAATTTCCTCCTAGGATCTTCTGGGGTCACCACAACATCCGGCAACACTTGCGGTCGTCTTCCCGAGGGAATATTCTCCAACTCGAATACCGGTTTCGGCCGATCGACGATAGGAATTCCGATTTCGTCGGAATCCATCGCGTAGAAGTCATCTTTGGATTTTATCCTGTCCGGATCGAAGTAGTTGATGTTGAACTGTCTTAACAGGTTTTCCTTCGGTTTGACGTCATCTTCCCAGAATAACGGGGTAAATCTGGGATTCAGCTTTGTCTTACATTCCGGTTTGGTTTCCTTCGTTTGATTGAACGGTTTTTCGCTGGCATCGCAGACCTCGTCGGTGGTCGCAAAGTGGCATGTCGCAATAGAATATAGTAGGATCAAGAGACACTGTTTTACCTTACACATTTTTACATGGAGTGATTATACTTTTTACACGAGCTACGTGCGTATAATTGTGTTTATGAAATTGTACGAAAGCTTTTTCATCAGAATATACGTGAACGTGATTGAATTTGATGGAATTCTTTCTATATTTTGTAAACTTAATCTTTGATCGGTAAAAACGCATTGGCTAGAATTGAAAATGTTCATGGAAAAGCAAGCAGGGGTTATTACCCTGTATAAACCATAATATGACTTAAAATGACAAGTAAATATATACTAAGTGACATATAAATCGGAACACCCAGTTTAAATGGTTTTATTTTAATAAAATTTTGTATAAGTACTTAATGAAGCATAATAAGTAAATGATAAAAATTTCAAAATGATTGCACTGCTTTAAAGCCCTTTGACCTTTAATAATGTGTGGATGCACCATGATGTGCTACGCATTCTCCAACGCGCCTAGGCATGCTTCTGATCAGGTGGTCAATGTCCTCCTGTGGTATCTCATTCCAGACAACCACCCACTCCTCTCGAAGTGCTTCTAGAGTCTGAGGAGGACGTTGCAAATTGAGCAATCTCCTACCCATCATATCCCACACGTGCTCAATTGGGGATAAGTCGCGAGATCTTGGTGGCCATGGTAACAATGTGACATCATTATGTTGAAAGAAGTCTATTGTGACTCTTGCAACATGTGGTCGGGCATTATCTTGTTGGAAAGTTGGATCTGCCAGGGTGTCAAGATAGGGTAAAAGATGGGGTTCTAGAACTTCGTGGATATAACGCTGCGCGTTCATGTTACCTCTGATGAAGATTAAAAGTGTCCTGGAACCATAACCTATAGCACCCCAAACCATAACTCCAACAGTGTGATGAACATGTCTTTCAACAAAAACTGTGGATTCCTCCTTTCACCACGTCGCCTTCTAACCCTGGCACGACCATCGTGCATGCCTAAACAAAATCGAGACTCGTCACTAAAGACAATACTGTTCCATTCCTGATCCCAGAGTGACCGTTGACTGCACCACTCAAGGCGATTACGTCGGTGTTCTCGAGTTAAAGGGAGGACCCAGTGTGGCCGGTATGAAAACAAGCCAAAACTTCTCATTCGTCGGTAAACACTTCGCATGCCAATAGGTCTTCCGCGTTCTGCAAACCATTCATTTGCAATGGACCTGGTAGTGGAGAAACGGTCCCTTAAGGCCAATAATCTTTGGCGGCGATCTTCACGGTCTGTTGTTCTACGGCGGCGTCCAGTGCCCCTTGCTCTTTGCGTACGGCCTTCTCGAAGCCATGCCTGACAACACCTAACCACAGTGTCTACACTTCTTTGCACTCTAACTGCAATTGCCAGAAAAGAAGGTCCAGCTTCCCGATGTCCCACTATACGGCCGCTATCAAACTCACTAAGTTGACGAAATCGTACAGGTCTCCGTACTCTAGGCATCGTAACCGATCGTAAAGGATGTCAAGAACCAAAATCCGCCAACGTTGATTCTTTGCTGCGGCTGAAATATTCATTTTTAGAGCGTCTGTGAATTAAAAAAAAGCAGTATAAAAACCGGAATGTCCAACTGATAAGGCTGAAAATTATTTCACTTGTTATTTACAGTAAGATAAATATAGTCAACGCCAAACAAAGTGGCGTGCACGTCATGACGATAAAAATTCCCCGACCTAATGCCTAGGTTTCTATCACAAACAATTGCTCTATTGCAGTTTCATATTAATGTGATATATAAATTGTAAAATGGTCATTACTCTCTTATTATGGTTAATAGTCATATAAACATTGTTATTAAAATATCACATAAGTTGCTTTCTGATAAATTTAGACGCATTATGCGAAATAAAATGTTTTGCAAACGCTCCAATCACTTATCGACATGTAAACGCACTAAACCGATTTCGCAGCGTTGACACATTGTCACCTTGAAACTTATTTAAACTGGGAACTGACATTTGTATTAATTTTGACACTGAATCAATTTGTGGCATTTCAAATCTTTATAAATCCTTTGGCCCCGCATACTGTAAATCAACAACTGTTTGTTTCAAAACAAAATTATTCATTTTACGAGTAGATAAAGGCAATTTTGGTATACAAAGATGCCCAAACAGTTAAATAGTCGTTGTAAGGAACTCGTGGCCTCGTTAATGCACTACTTTGAGCAAGAAAGGGACAACAACGGGCCTTTGTTGCCTTTAAATGCTGTTCAAGAGGTAGGTTACTAATAATTATATGTAATGTATATTAATAATAGTGAAATTTTATTTAATTTTTTGTAGCGTGTTGCTGCTGCTTTAAAAATTAGTTTAAGGACAGTTAGTCGTATTTCCGAGGGTGTGAAAAGTGATGCAAATTTAGAATCGCCCAAGAAAAAGCGGAGTTATATTAAACGTGTAACCAACACAGCGACATTGGATACAAGTGCCATTCGAGAAGTGATCTATAATATGTATCACAAAAGTAAGATCTTATTATAATAACTTATCAGAAATTTGCATTAATTTGTTAACTAAATTATAATGTCATATTACACATGGTTTCAGAAGAACAAGTTACGATACAAACTTTATGGTCTCGATTAAGAGATAGGGCATTATTTGATGGTAGTGCCACGTCTTTAAGGCGGTTGCTTAGAGATCTTGGATTTAAGTGGCTTAAGGACAATCCGCGACGAGGGCTCATGGAACTACCAAGTATAGCTTTGAAAAGAGTGGAATTTCTAAGGCAATACAATCAAGCCAAGGTTGAGGCCTTATACCAGTTTGTCTTCCTCGATGAAACTTGGATATTTCAAAATGGGACCATAGGTCGCTCTTGGCAAAATGGAAACCAAAAAAGCGTGAAAGCTATTAAAACAGATGGTAAAAGGTATGTACTTTTACACAATTTGCACTATAAAATTTAAAACTAATATATTTTAGATACATTATATTACATGCTGGAAATGAAAATGGGTTTATTGAGGGTAGTGAAGCGATATTTTCTTCGAAAACAAAATTGAGCGATTACCATGGAGAGATGAACCAGGACAATTTTTTGAAATGGTTTCAACATCAGTTATTAGAAAAATTGGAGAGTCCATCTATGATTATACTGGATAACGCCCCTTATCACAGCATGATATTGAACAAAGTGCCCAACAATGCATGGACAAAAAAAATATCCAAGACTGGTTGACAAATCAAAACATACCATTTTTAAACACAATGTTTAAAACAGAGCTATTGAGTATTGTTGCTCGGTACATAATGCTTCTTAATTATATATATTTTGGTCGACAGTTTATATTTCTTTTGTTTATTCCTATTCTTAAAATAACTGCTTTTTTAGAAACAAACCACCTAAAATATACGTGATTGATGAATTGGCGGAACAACATGGGCACAAAGTTCTTCGTCTGCCTCCTTACCATTGTATATTTAACCCTATTGAGTTAATTTGGGGCATAGCAAAAGGTTACTATAACAGACATATTGGTAGAGATGGTAACAGTGAAAAAGACTGTTTGGATATGTGGAACGAGGCTCTACAAACGGTTACCCCAGACATGTGGAAAAATAGTGTTCGACATACTGAGCAAGAAATTTTTAAATGGTATGAAAGAGAACGAATTTTTGATCGACCAGACATCGAACCTTTAATAATCAACTTTGAGAGTGATGAAGATTCAGATTCAGACAGCGCTGAAGAAAGAAACTCCGACTAACTTTATTGTACAGAAAAAGCTTACACCAGTAGCTTACCTAATTTTAGAATGCATTTTTCTGTATGAATTCTGTAAAATAAATACCATGCACAAAATTTGGAGGACCCCATTTGGATTTTTATTCAGTACCTTTAAGCTATCAATTAAATATGGTAGTTTCATAGTGTCATCTGACCAATAATTGTCATACTTAATGATTATGCAAGTACAGATCTATAATTTTATTATACTATTATTTTTGTTCTCATTTGAGGTTAATATTGCTTATAAACCTAGATATGTAAATAATAAATTTTATTATTTTACAAAAAGTTTGGCAACAATGTAAATTTTTCAACACACCCACCTTGATGACGTGCACGCCACTTTGTTTGGCGTTGACTATACATTCACCAACTTTTATTAAAATAAAACCATTTAAACTGGGTGTTCGGATTTATATATCACTTAGTATACATCAGTTTTCAATTTTGTTTAATAATAATTATCGGCTAAAATTTGAATTTTGCATTTTTTTTACTATGGCAAGTAAATCGTTTATCTATAGACTACAAAGAAGTGGTCCCAGGATACTGCCCTGCGGATCAACTAATGTATTTATAATTTTTGATGAAATAATGTTTCGTAACTTACATCCTCTTTGACAAATAATTTTTAACCAGTCTAAAACACTTCCTGATATACCATATGCCTGAAATTTGCTTAACAAAATATCCCTTTTCGATTGTTTTAAATGCTCTCTTAAAAAAAATACTGCCATGACATCTTATTCTGGTTTCCAAGATAGCCTGTGTCAAAAATTAAATAAAAAACGTGACTTTTGACAGAGAACAAATAATACTGATAAAATTTGTTCGAAACGATTCTAGAAATATTTACGCAAAAATGCGTGTTTATTTATTTCGATTTTCACTCAATGATAACTGTATTCCAAAATCCGATGGATTACACTCGAGGTTATTCCATCTCTGTGTCGCTGGTGCACAAACTGACCTCTTCCGATCTATTGCAAAGGCTCAAGAATAAAGGGATGGAGCATGCTGATCATACTGGATGACCAAAGGACTAATAATATCTGCAAACGAAAAAGAAAGACTGTATAAAATCATGAAATATTTACCCACGAAAGAAAATATAGATCATTATAATCAGTATAAAAACAAATTTATAGAACTTTTGAGAAAAGCAAAAAAAAATTACTATATAAAACAATTGAATAATAATTCACATGACTCTAAACACCTATGGTCCACTGTCAATGATATATTCAATAAGTCATCCTATTCAAAAAACAATATTAATGAAATAAAAACAAAAACAGGACAGAAAACAGACAATATTCAGCAAATATGTGATGAGTTCATAGAATTTTTCACGAATATAGGAGGAAACTTAGCAAATAATATCAAACAAAATGCTGATATTCATCTGCATGAAACAAGACTGAATAATTCATTTGTATTAACTGAAGTAGACTATCAGGATGTTTTCAATGCCATTATGACTCTAAAAAATAAAAAAAGCCCTGGAGTTGACGAAATTAGAGCTGGACATCTAAAGATACTGGCCAAACAAATAACAGAACCACTTGCTTATATCATTAACAAATCCTTCCAATCTGGAGTATTTCCATCAGCTTTCAAGACAGCAATCATCATACCTATCTATAAATCTAATGATAATACGGACGTCACTAACTATCGACCTATTTCACTTATATCAAGTTTAGCTAAAGTTTTTGAGAAATTACTCCTTAATAAAATGATTAATTTTCTTAATAAATTCAAAATTCCAAATTCAAATCAATATGGTTTTATAGCGGGCAAATCTACAACAGATGGGGTATTAAGTATAGTAGATGAAATAACCCAAAATATAGATGAAAAAGTACCATCGATATGCGTATTTGTGGACTTACAAAAAGCGTTTGACACAGTTAACCACAATATACTCTTGGAAATCTTAGAAAGAATAGGTTTTCGTGGAAAGATGTATACTTTAATGGAAAATTATTTATCAAATAGACCGCAATCAGTAAAATTATTAAACTCGTATAGTAAAGAAATGTTTGTTAAATGTGGTGTTCCACAAGGTACAATTTTGGGTCCTCTGTTATTCAATATTTATTTAAACGATATATTCAAAATTAACAGTACTGGTAAAATAGTCAGTTTTGCAGACGATACTGCTATACTCTATAAAGGTAAGGATTGGAACGACTTAAAAGATATTATCCAAAATGACTTTTGCAAAATTATTCAGTGGTTTAATAACCGAAAATTAACAACTAACTTTACTAAAACTCATTTTTTACCATTTTCATCACTATCTAATCATCTACCAAAATATAACCACCTTCGGTTTAAGGTAAATGATAAAAATATAAAAATCAATAGAGTTAATGATACAAAATATTTAGGAATTTATCTAGATCCCCACTTGAGATGGGATGTACATATTTCTCACATACTAAAGAAAATTAGATTCATAAAATAAAATTTCTAACCGGTATATTAACTGAATATTATCTACGAATAATATATCAAGCTTTAGTCGAGCCACACATAACATGTGGTATAGTAGTGTGGGGTGCTGCATGCACGACATACTTTAACGATTTAGATGTACTTCAAAGAAGAATTTTAAAATCAATGTTAGGCAAATCAAAATTATACCCAACTAATGACTTATATAATGATGCACAAGTATATGATACTAAACAACTTTACTTCTTACATACCATCACTCATTATCACAAAACTATTAGTGAACACGACATAATTAAACATAATCATAAAACCAGATATAAATTACGCGCAAAAAATGTTCCTAAACCAAACAAATCCCTAATGAAACGATGTCACCTGTATATAGCTCCAAAATTCTACGAACATTTACCAAATAATTTAAAACAATTACGCAATACATTAGGCTTCAAAAAAAAATTAAAAAAATTTATTAACACGATTGGGAGAAATCAAATTAATAAAATAATCTCAAATATTACACAATAAATGCTCTACCATTCTTACCAATAATTTCTTTTTTCTCTCTATTTTATTATATTTTGGAATTCAACATACATATGATCCATGCACAGGCGTTGTCCTCCTATGGATATATTATATTTATTTACTCGTTTCATGTTCCCTGTATTTTAGAGTAAATAAATATTATTATTATTATTATACTAGAGCTTTAATTGAGTACAAGTAGTACAGGCAAGGTAATACGTTCAAAAAAAGGTGTATCCTCTAAGTAGAGAAAATTGTATTTTTAATAACTGAAAAAGATTATTTACATCCATTTTTCAAAGTTGATATTATGTTTTCGCTTATGTGTTGGAGAAAAAGTATTTGAAACAAAGGCTTAACTATACATTTTTCAAGTCAAACTGTCTGCAGGATAAAGGCTATTATACAGGGTGACTTTGAAGTTGAGTCATTAATTTTCAGATAATGATTGTAGAAGGAAGATAAACCAGAATATGTGTGTAAAAATAAAAAAAAATTAAAAAAAAATTTTTACCTTGTTTTATAAAGTATCCTCCCGACAAGTATTTCAGTGCGGACCTGTATTTGATCGTGAGGTCCCCTGTGAGGTCTTAAGTCACCTGATTCACGAGCTCGTTGTACTACATTAACAAAGGCACGAGGGGTTGGTTGCACTCGATTGGGAAACCGATCCGCATAAACATGTGCCATTTTTTATTTCGTTTGAGCCACGCAACAGACACTATTCACACGCTAACCGATAGACACTGACTGTATGTATAACTGAACTCAATAAAATACTTAATTGCAAAAACATCGTTCCAAATTCTTTCGCTTTTTTGTTTCCGATGCGATGAACCGGTAAGGCGGATTATATCCGTTGTTGCCAAACACGAGTACGTGATATTATTATTGAGACAGGGCGGTACTCAAACTTCCAAAGGGCTATAACTTTGTTACTTTAATTTTACCAGAAAAATGGTAAAGGAAAAAAACATTTCTTTTGATCAGATCTACTCACTGTTAAAATAAATGACTCAACTTCGAAGTCACCCTGTATATCATCTGATGGAAGTCTTAATTCCAACGCAAATAGTAGTAGTATTCGTAGTAGTAGAAAGATTTATTTAGCACATTTGGCTACATAAACAGAATAATTGTAAACAACTTAGAATTAGTAAATTCAAGCCGTATGATGTATGATGTAAATGCTGGACAACCTATAATTGTAGATTTAACAAGTGATTTCTCAATTTTACTTTAAATTTTGTCAAAGTTTTCTGGTCTTTTATCTCTGTGTATAATTTATTATATTCAATCAACCCTTGATGGAATACAGATTTGTAGCATTTGTTATACTTTTTGGTCATTAAATGGAAGACATCTTTATTTCTGGTATTATGTAAATGATGGTCGACATTTGATGATGTTAAATTAGTTAGACTTGATGGAAATATATTATTTTTTACTTTATAAATGAATATCATTACAAGATATTTGATAAAAATTTTTACATTGAGCCATTTTAATTTGCTAAGCATTTGCCTAATTGGAGTATATTTATCTTTATTCAGTATTATTCTCATGCACTTATTTTGTAAAATTTGCAGTCTTTCAAAAATGGAATTATTTGCTAAATATAGAATAGTCGAACAGTACAAGAAATTTGGAAGAATGATGTTATTAAAGATAATTTTTCTGCTATATGAACTCAGACATCCAGAAACTCTCGGTAAATATCCCACTTTACTACTAATCTTATTTATAACTTTTTCATAATGAATATCAAAAATTAATCGAGAGTCAACAAAAACTCCCAGGTATTTAAAATTTTCTACGAATTCAATATCTTCACCATCAATATTCAGTTGAACATTTGTACATTGTTTTTTTCCGATTAACAAGGCTTTCGTTTTACTTGCATTTAATTTTAGTCTGTTAGATGCTAACCATTTTGAGACAAATTTCAAGTCTTCATTTATATAAGAGATACCAGTCTGAATATTTTTAGTACTTATATAAATTATAGTGTCATTGGCGAAAATCTGAATTTTGCATTTTTTGACTATGGCAGGTAAATCGTTTATGTATAAAATAAAAAGAAGTGGTCCCAGGATACTGCCCTGTGGAACACTCAACGTATTTTCAATTTTTGATGAAATAGTATCATTAACTTTTGTAACTTGCATCCTCTTTGACAAATAATTTTTTAACCAGTCTAAAACATTTCCTGATATACGATATGTCTGAAATTTACTTAACAAAATATTCCTTTTCGATTTTTTCAAATGCTCTCTTAAAAAAAATACTGCCATGACAACTTATTCTGGTTTCCAAGATACCCTGTGTCAAAAATAAAAAATAAACGTGACTTTTGACAGAAAAAATAATATCTACTGATAATACTTTTTGGAAACGTTTCAACAAATATTTTCGCAAAAATGCATGTTTATTTCGATTTTCACTCAATGATAGCTGCATTCCAAGATCCTTAACGGTCTTTGTCAAGAAGTCACTGGATCTGGCAACCTTTAGAATACATATCAGAATACTGAAATCTTGATCTGAAGCACATTATTATCATCAGTGAAAAAACTATCTCAAAAGTACTGTTAAATTCCCAAAATTAAACCGTTCCCAACAATAAAGAGAAGGAACGATTATTTTGTAATATTTGACCCACATAATTAATGTGTGTATATTACTTTATTTACAAATATAAACATATTGCATACATCATTTGAATTAGCAGATAATGTATCAGGAATATCGTTTGCAATTAATGTGACCTTGTAAATCGTCTACGTGCATACCTAATGACCTGATATACTTACTACCACTAAATTCATGGCATGTTCTATTAAAAATATATAAACTATTCATTATCGAGGCAAATATAAATATTATTGGCATGAACATCAAACAAAACAAATGTAATTTCAAAATATGGCAATGATAAACAAATTCACCTTTTCCAAAATTGCGAATTTTGAACAAGAATCTGATTTTTCGTCGCTCTCAAGAGCGCTAGAGGTCCCAAAGTGAAAAATATTGAAACATTTATCAAAACCGAAAACATGATCGCGATCCATAGTATTGAAATATATCAGTCTGTAACAATTTTCAAAAAAAAAATTAAGTGCTCACTTAAATTTTCACTGCTTATTTATTCTTATACATACGTACTTTTTTCTATCACGTATCGTTTTTTAAGTAAGATATTTAACAATAATTGTTTCCTTATTCAATTGAATATATTGCGAGTAAAATCTACAAAGCTCATCATCATTATACAGGGTGGCGTATCGAAAACGAAACAGACGCATTTACTGGCAGATCAGTTTTTTTGGAAAAACGCTCAGACCCGTCGATTTTGTTTTCGAGGGGGACACAAGTTTGGAAAAAAATTACGTTAACACGTGCAGCCCCCTGAGCGGGGGTGACACCAACCCTAAAATCTTAAATGGAAAGGGGGGTCGAGTGATACCTTATTTTAAAGGTCTTTCAATTCCCGTTATAATGATGTAAAATACATGAGCTTCAGTTCAGTAGTTTTGAAGATTTATTGAGCTTTTATCAGCTGCAGCTGATACAAATTTGATTGATAGTGTCTCTAACTCTTATAGCGATAGACGCCATACACCGGATGCACCTCTGTTTGCTTTTAAACTCCTTACTCAGCAAGACCTCGTCAATATAATCTCTCACATTAAGTCTACGGCATGTGGCTCTGATGGTCTAACTTTAAATATGGTTTGCTTATGTTTGCCTGATACCATAGACCATATAACTCACATTATTAATGTCTGTCTCGAAACAGGTTACTTTCCTGCCAGTTGGAAAAATGGTATTATTATTCCAATAGCTAAAACTAATCATCCAGAACAATATTCGGATCTCAGGCCAATTACCTTATTATGCTTTCTATCAAAAATACTCGAAAGAACTGTCTACTCACAACTAGTGGAGTTTTTCGAACAAAACCACTTATTTCCTCTACATCAGTCAGGTTTCAGAGCTGGTTACAGCACTACTTCGTCTTTATTACATCTTACTGATTCCATCATTCACAAGTTAGATAATCACATCAACACCGTCTTGGTACTGTTAGATTTCTCGAAAGCCTTTGATATGGTCAATCACCAGATACTACTGAGTAAGTTATCTCATTATGGAATGTCAGATATAGTTCTAAGGTTCTTTGAGTCATACTTGCTAAATCGTCAACAAACAGTGAAAACTGATCAGGGAATTTCCTCCTCTGAGTCAGTTCCTTCAGGAGTTCCTCAGGGCTCAGTATTAGGTCCCTTACTATATCTGATTTATACGATCGATCTGCAAGACTGTTTAGTCCACTGTAGTATGCAAACTTATGCAGATGATACTCAGTTAGTGTTTGGTTTCGATCCATCAAAGGTTGATAAAGTTTCTTTTAAAGTTAATTTAGATTTGGCTAACATCGGTGATTACTGTAACAAACACTGCTTGAAGATCAATCCTAATAAAACTACTGCAATGTTGTACTGTTCGAAGAACTCCTACCGTGAAATGAAGCAGAGGATTTGTGTTTTTTTGGATGAGACACTCTTCCCTTTTGTGGATTACGCCAAGAATCTCGGTGTTACCCTTGACTTAAATATGAGATTCGATCGGCATGTCTCTTTCTTATCTAGAGTAACGTTTTTGCGTTTGAAACTCCTCTATTCTAATCGATACATCTTGAATTTTAAAACCCGAAAAAAGTTTGCTAAAAGTCTTGTGTTGTCTGTCATTTCTTACTCTCTTGTTCTGTATTACCCATGTTTAGACTACGTCCACAAAAGGAAACTCCAGAAAATTCAGAACAGCTGTTGTAAGTTTATTTTTGGATTGCGCAAGTTTAGTCGCATCTCAGATAAAATCAAAGAACTCAACTGGTTGCGAATTGATAAGTTATTTTTATATCTTTTGACCGTCTTCACGCATAAAGTTCTATTATCTAACAGCCCAACTTACCTCGCTAGCAAATTAGTTCACGGAGGTAGTTTTGTTACCAGAGCTCTTAGATTTAATGCTAATTTTAACATGCCCCCTCGGTCTTTGAAAGAAGTTACACCTATAATGCTGTCAAGCATTACAATGCAGTCAACAGTGGCTATCGATCCAAACTGGTTGTTGTTGTTGGCATTATTATTATTATTATTATTATTATTATTATTATCTTTTTCTTCCACAGACGTATCTGTCTGGTAATAAAGGATAGACCAGATATCAACCAGATATCAAAGAGACTATCCAAGCACCTTCCTTAGTATATGCGCTGTTCCTAGTAGTGCCGTTTTTTGAATTTGGTAGAGTGCTGGTTTACCGGGTATTGAGTCACAATTTCCGTGGAAGGTGTTGGTGATAGTTCCTAATGCACCGACAACGACAGGAGTTATCCAAGCTTTCACATGCCACATCCTCTGTATTTCTATCTGGAGATCTCTGTACTTAGATATCTTTTCATTTTCTTTCGATTTTACATTGGAATCGTCGGGAACCGCTATATCAATTAGTTGACATGTTTTCTCCTTTCTGTTATGAATTATAATGTCAGGTCGGTTTGCTTTTATTGTTCGATCCGTTATCACCGGCACATCCCACATAATACATACATCAGTGGTGTCATTCTTGATGTTGGTGACACTCTGAATTTCATGCTGATAATATTTATCTGTAACTGGAATACCAAACGAGTCACATATTTTCCAGTGAACGTAACTAGCTACATTGTTATGTCTAGCGGTATACTCTGAAGGGGCTAGTACTTGGCAACCTGCTACTATATGGCTGATGTGTTCGTCGGACTGCCCGCATATTCTGCATTTACTGTCTATACTTTGTTTTAGTATATACTTTTGGTGGTACCTTGTATTTAATGCTTGATCTTGTGCAGATACTATCAGAGCTTCTGTTTCCGCTTTCAGCGTAGAGCTTCTCAACCAGCTGACACTTCCACGTTTATCTACCTCTGTTCTCTCGAGTTGTCGGAAGAACTGTCCGTGCAATGGTTTCGAGGCTACTTTTGCTAGTCTGCCACTTTCAGCGACGTTCTTGATCTTGTCGATTGAGTTTCTGTTGGAGTCTTCGCCTCCTAGACGTTCCGACATAATCTTCTTCATCTCTTTCTGGATGGAGTATTTGCAAAGGCCATTGTCCCATTGTTTCACTATTTTTGACAGTTTGTCCTTCCCTTGGGTTATATATTCCCCGAGACCAACCATAGATGTTTCATATCGAGCTTCAATTTCTACCATTCCGCGTCCTCCATTGCGCCTCTTTACATATAACCTGTCCACGTCAGCCTTGGGATGGTGTATGTGTGCCATTGTCAGCAGCTTCCTGGTTTTCCGGTCAATTCTCAGAATATCTGACTTCAGCCAATTGACAATTCCAAAGCTGCAACTTAGTACAGGCACAGCGAAAGAGTTGATTGCAGATATTTTATTTTTGGAGCATAATTCTGTCTTAAGAATCAGGCGCACACGACGATAATACTCCCTCGATATTCTGGATTTGGCATGTTCATCTTCGATTCCATCTGCTTCTTCAATGCCTAGATATTTATAGGTTTCTTCAGGCTCCATGTTCATTATTGTTGTTGCTTTATCTAGAATTATATTCTGTGCCTTAGTGAGTTTACCCCTTTTGAATATTGCTGTTGCATACTTATCCAGTCCAAATTGCATATTTATATCATCCGAGAATGTTTTCGCTGTCATTAAAGCGCGACGCAAATCGTTCTCATTTTTGGCAAATAATTTCAGATCATCCATGTATAACAGATGATTAACTGTATTGTTTGCGTCTATAACAAAATCAGTTTTTTCTCTGTTAAGCATACTGGTCAGTGGAATTAGTGACATGCAAAACAGTAGGGGGGAGAGAGAATCGCCTTGAAATATACCTCGCTGAACGCCTATATGTCCGGTTTTTATGCATCCCTTAGTGTGATATAGATGCATTTCGGTTTTCCATGTTTTCATTGAGCATTCTATGTACCTTTGTATAGTTGGACAAACTCGATATAGTTGCAGTACTTTCATAATCCATTCATGCGGTAGACTATCAAACGCTTTACGGTAGTCGATCCAGGCCATGCATAAGTTTTTCCTTCGTGTTTTTGCCACACTGACTACCATTTTGCTGACTAAAAGATGATCTTTACACCCTCTTGTTCCTTTCCTATTATTATTATTATTATTATTATTATTATTATTATTATTATTATTATTATTATTTAAAGCTTAAAGTAGACTTTAATAGGTACATAAGATTAGTTTGTACTACTTTCAGAAGAAATTGGAAAAAAAGAATTTACTTAATAAGTAAATGCTTTTCTTCACTACGCCCATGGTTTGTTTATCATTTTGTTGTTGAAAATAGCTATTGGAGCGTTTTTTTGTGGCAAAAAAGTTATTTCTTGAAGAAAGATAAGGAAATATCTCGTACTTATTTTAAATAGGAATTTAGTAGATAGTTTGCAATTGATTTGATCAAACTTTGTTGATAAAATAATATATATATATATATAATAATAATAACGCTTTATTACATAAATTAACCATGGTATATTCCACAGCAGAAAGAGTTGAAATTATCGAAATATTTTTCGGAAATAATCAGTGCGCTAATAGAACAGCAGAAATATTTAATCAGCGACATGAGAACAGTAACGTGCATCGAAAATATGTTCTAGAACCTGTAGCTAAATTTCGGGAAACTGGGTCAGTCGCCAATAATAAACGCGACATTGAAAATCCCATAGGGAACGTGCAATAGAAGTGGGGGTTTTAGGAGTTTATGTAGATCCTACGTTAAGTACCCGCAAATTGGAGACTGTGTGTGGTGTTAGTCGACATACTGTCCAACGGATTCTAAAGGCCCATAGTTTTCATCCGTATAAAATTCACCTGGTCAAGAACTTAATGAAGACGATTTTGATCGGCGATTACAATTTTTTGAAGACATGTGTGAGCGAATTATAAACGACGGACACTTTCTATTCAACACTTGCTTTTCCGACGAATGTTCCTTTTCTTAAATGGCGTATTAAATCGTCATAACTGCCGATATTGGTCAGATTCTAATCCCAGAATTTATCATGAGGTTCACACACAGCATCATTTAGTTGGTCCTTTTTTCTTACCTGGAAATTTGACCTTTGAAATGTATTCGGAATTACTGGAAGACGCCATAGATCCTGCATTAACAGCCATAATTGAAAATCAGAATGATCGGCGGTACATTGCGAATAGGTTGATGTTCCAACAGGATGGTGCCTCACCACATTACGCATTACGTGTTCGACAATATTTAGATCAGATGTTTCCAGATCGATGGACTGATAGAAGAGGTGCGATTGAATGGCCCCCAAGATCGCCAGATTTATCACCTTTGGATTTCTTTATGTGGGGTCATTTAAAAAGCAAAATCTATGCTACTCAGCCAACATCATTAGAAGACCTGCGACAAAGAATTGTGAATGAGTGCCTTCAAATTACTCCTCAAATATTGCAAAATGTGCGGCAACGCTTTGAGCAAAATCTTTATTATTGCATGGAGAGTCATGGTGGCCATTTTCAACATTTATTTGCCTAACGGGACAGTTCATTCTTCATTTTTAAATTACTTTGCTGCCAAATGTATTGATCTCCACTAATGATGTATTAGTTTTATTTAAGCTTTAAATCAATAAATCTTCAATACTACTAGACTGAAGTACATTAATTATATATCATTATAAAGGGAATTGAAAGACCTTTAAAATAAGGTATCACTCGACCCCCCTTTCGATTTAAGATTTTAGGGGTGGTGTCACCCCCGCTTAGGGGGCTGCGCGTGCTAACGTGATTTTTTGCCAAACTTGTGTCCCCCTCGAAAACAAAATAGACGGGTCTGAGCGTTTTTCAAAAAAAAAACTGAGCTGCCAGTAAATGCGTCTGTTTCGTTTTCGATGCGCCACCCTGTATACTTACACACATTAAAGTATGAATATCACGTAAAAATTATATACATATTGTACATAAAAACAAAGAAAAATGTATTGTTTTGCTTTCCACGCCTATTTCGAAAATCAGATATTCTGTTTTTTGGATGTTATACGACATGTACATCACGAAAGATCGTACATTGAACGTCAGTAATCACATGGTGATCTGACGAAAAATTCTCAAGGTGACGATAAATCACCTTTTCGGCGAGTTTAGAAGGAGCTGACAGCAGACTAACGGGATGGTAATCCTGAGCGGATTGCGAACATAATTTCCAAAAATAAAAACAAAATAAATGTTTTTATAGATTATCCAAATTTGGTTGGTGTAAGGAGAGGGGTATCATATCCGACCGGAGTCTGGACGCTGTCAGAGAAATTGTTGCATCGCTGAGGTCAAGTAAGTAAGTATACTTTATCTGAAGTCACTTGAAACACTGTGAAATACCGGGTGCGTTTTATATATCTATATTTAACACGCTCTGTTGCTGCAAAAATCGCCAAATTTCGCAGCAAATATCCCCCGTATAAGATCAAAGGCAGTTTCACCGGTCCACGTGGAGTAAAGCACGCCTATGCGTGGACATAGCCAATGAGAAAGCGTGTATTTCAGAGCTCCGAACAAGTGCAGGTGGCTACTGAAAGTTGAAACAGTTTAGCCAGTGCCGTGTAGCGGTGAATAAACGTGTTTTCTTTAGTCTGTCCGTGTTTTTTCATAGATTTTATTAGTTTGTGTGTTTGTGACTTTTGAATACTCAGTTTACTTGTTGATTTAATTGTTGTGTTGATTGTTCTTGTGTGTCCTAAATATGGCTCTTTGGAGACCTTGGGAAAATGCTCCAAGCCACGAGGAGATGGTTGATGAACCTGTGCAGGCAGAATTCTTTCATAAAGATTTAGAGGAAGAGACCCAAAGAGTAATCCTAAATATGTATGATTGTCTGAAAAACGAAAATCCAGATTCCTCGCAAAATCAAATTTTAAACAGAATTTGTATCCTGACAAAAATCAGTCGGTCTACCATTTATCGGGTTATAAAAAGGGGAGATGTAGTCAACCATTCCTTCCACAGAAAGCGCATAGGGCAAAAATTAAAAAGAATAGACGTGGGTTTTCAGGAAGATATTCGTCGTATAATATACGGATTTTATAAAGAAAATTTGGTGCCCACGTTGGAAATGATACGGGATAAATTAAAAGATTATCCTGAAGATTTTTATAATTACAAATGCTTAGACTCACTGCACTGTATTGTAAAACTGTGTGGTTTTCAATACAAAAAATTAGATAAAAGAATGGTGATTATGGAGTCGTCTCGAATCGTTGAATTGCGCCAAGAATTTTTGCACAAAGTTAAAATCTATAGAGAGCAGAAAAGAAATCTGATTTACCTGGATGAAACGTGGTATGATACCCATGATGTTGTGCAGTACGGCTGGGTTGACGACAGCAACAAGTGCATTTTAAATGCACCATGCAACCGTGGGAAACGAATCATTATTCTCCATGCTGGCAGTGAAAATGGATTTATACCTAATGCCTTGCTGTTATCTGCCAAAAATATCAAAGAATCATGTGCCGACTATCATGAAGACATGACCTCCGACTTATTTGAAAAGTGGATAGAGCAGCAGTTAATACCAAACATTTCCCCAAATTCAGTGATTATTATGGACAATGCGCCATACCATTCCCGACAGAAAAACAAAACTCCGAATACAGGCACAAAAAAACAAGACATTATTGATTTTATGAAGGATAAGGGAATGGAAATACCACAAAAATCAACCAAAGCCATATTATTGGATCTTATTAAAAGACAAAAATTTGAAAAAGAGTATGTTGTTGACAATCTGCTTCAGCAAAATGGCCATGAAGTATTACGTCTACCTCCCTATTACTGCATTTTTAACCCGATTGAGTTGGTCTGGGCTGCTTTAAAAAAAAAGTAAGAAAACATAATCAGACCCCTCAATTAAGTGAATCGCTATTGGCCACAATAAGAGATGCAGTATCTCATATTGCTGCCACAGACCTATAGAAGCAGTGTTCTAGGCATATTATTGAAAAAGAAAATGAATATTGTGTTTTGCCTCCTGTAAATCCCGTTGTAATTCTTCTACAAGATGACTCTAGCGACAGCTCCAAAGGCGAGGATGATATATAAATACCTATAATGTAAGTCTTTATATACCTTCTTATATACCTACCTGCTATGTAAATATTTGCCTATGTCAAACGTTGGAATTCTGTAATTTTTCCATTTCTTAACTTTCAGTCAACATAAATTAAACTCCCAATATAAGTATTTTTTATCCCAAATCAAAAAAATAAGAAGATAGTAAAATTCATTTATTGTGATATAAAAACATTATTAGTATCGTTCTAAATAAATGCCGCACGCCTATGATACGTCATGAAATTACAAAGGACGCGCCGACCAAAGGTTTTTATGCTATTTCAAGTGACTTCAGATACACCATAAATACGTATGTGTTTGATGTTTGTATACGAGGGATGTCTTTTAAGTTATGCATATAGAAACATAGCAGACCACGCGGATCGAACGTCAGTACTGAATCTTAACCTCACTCTTTAGTAAACTTAAATTCAAAGTTTCACAACAATACGTGCGGTGTTCTCACTACAGTGAATTTTTAAGTGTGTTTTATTCGCCGATATATCAAATGATACCTGTTTTTTTACAGTGTGTATCAAATTTTGCGCAAGATTTGAATTGACACAAAATCATTGTATGACGAAAATCGACTTCGAATGTTTTTTATTGGCACTTTTTACTTCAAATATTCAGTTTAATTAGTTTGATATTATCTTGTTGTTGCACAGAATGAAAGTTTCACTCCTTAAGGTTATTTTAGTGCAAAAAACAATTTTAAAACAATGTTACATGACACCATTATCCACTTGTGTCTTCAATTGAAGGAACGACTGATGATACGACCCTTACTATCAATTCGAGCACATAAGATGCAGCTAGTTTTTTACCAATTTTTTTTCATTCAGTCTGTTTCCTGTGACAGCTTTCTAAAATTTTATAATAGCCTATTTTCAGACGTACATATCCTAGGACATGGATGGTTGTTCCGAGCTGGTGCGGCAGTACACCACGGTGTGGTGGAGGAAATTTTGAGAGCCATCGAAAAAGGCCATTCAAACCATATCAGGGGAATGTTGCAAGCTGGATGGCGGTTGGAAGCTTCGCAAGCGCTCTATATATTCTTGACAAGATTACAGCAACCACTGATACCCCATTCGATACAATCTTTAGTGTTAGGTAAGACACGTGTGGCCTATAAAATTCTGCATTTTAGCACGCTTTTATAAGCTTGGCCGGTATGTATACAGGGTGTCCCAGAAGTCGACGTCAAGCCGAAACCGGATGATAGGCAAAGTCATAACAGCTATCAGAAGAATATTTAAAAAAATTGTATGTATGTGTTTTGGAAATTATAGGTCTTTGAAAAAGATATAGAAATTTCACACCCTACGGCAGTCTGTCAACTCCTGTTACTACAAATATTAACTTTTTTTGGATTTTATTTTTACAATGTAATGATGAATAATGCATCTTCAAACTGGTGTCTCAACCTTACCGCCAAACTTTTCTCGTTCAGGAAAAATTGCCACTTATTTCCCAACCAAGTATTCCAAAGTAAAACTTTGCTCAACTTTAACTGGCTGTACTGGAAAAAAATGTACTACGAGAGTTTGGCAAGTAACCTTAAAAGTTGGCGCATTTAATAATGATTCCAAAATGGTATAACACTTAGAAGATTACTCGTTAACTTATGCACAATTTTTATTTGAAAAAAAACTGATGAAAATTTTTCAAAATTTCCTAATTAAACAGCGATTATGAAAACGCACAAGGACCCTTAAGGATAACTGTTTGCACAACAGTGGGCGTCAAAATGCTGCTGATGATGATTTAACTTTACAGCAAATGCTCAAACTGTTTTCCTTCAGCCGCAATACACGCTCGACATCTTCTTAAAATAGATCAGTTTATTAAACGAGCGAATCCACGGTTATTAACAAACTCAGCTGCTTCCAATAGTCTTTGCCGTAGCTCAGCTACATTTTGAATCGGCTTGAAATACACTTGTTCTTTTACAGTTCCCCAGTAAAAAAATCTAAAGGATTCAAATCAGGTGACGGCGTTGACGGATCCGTCAGAATTGTGTGTCCTGTGCCGATATGGGGAATTTTGAGATATTAATTTAGACTCATTTGTCATTTGCAGAAGCCAAACGTAAAACACGTTACCCTTCCGTCGCTCCATCTTATTTGATTTCTTTCACTTCTTTTCTCGCGATATAATCATATGCTTTTCTTTATAGATGATAATGGTAACGTTCCACCAGAAATTATAGCAACGGACGTGTTAGGTCTCTTGAAACAAGAACTGTCCGAAAATCATTTGGCGCTGACATCGTTACTTTTAAATCTGCTGGACAACGTCATAAAAGTATCTCCGGCAGATGAGTTGAGAGGCAATACACTTCCGACGTCCATGTTACCATTATTTTTTAACGTACAGGTATGTACATTGAAGTTTTTTTCGCGAGATCCCGCAGCGAATGGAGCGAGAACAGTGGGAATTTCTCCCTCATCTCGAACTTTTGGCAGTTCCAAGTTAGACCGGGAGTGGTTAGATGGCAAAATGTTTGTTTTAAGCTCATTGATAAACTTAGCTGCCTTCTTTGAATCCGAAATAAAATGACCGATCGTTTTTTGTGCAATGTACACATATATCAAAAAATCAACCATTTGGTATGACCAGTGCGGTTCCTATATCTACGATGACCTTCCCCCTCATCACGTAAAATCAGTTGGACCTGTTCCTCCATTTATGATTCAATGATTTAACTCAATTTTCGGCACTGCAAAGACTCAACTGAGTTGTATGGGGTTGTCCAAAACGAACGCAGGAAAGTAAACGCATATTAAAACAAGAAAGATTGATATTCAAATCAAGTTGGGTACTTTATTTTGAAGGTTCATTTATACGATTTATGTATGAAAAATAATATCGCTCAAATGTTCACCACGACTGGATTTACAGACGTCCACGCGATGGTCGAAATTTTCAATGACATTTTGCAACATGGTCGGTTCTATGGCATTTATCTCGGCAATGATGTTGTTTTTGAGTTCTTGAAGGATGGCTGGTTTGTTGACGTAGACTTTGCTTTTCAAATATCCCCATAAAAAGAAGTCCAAGGGAGTCAAATCGCACGATCTTGGTGGCCATGGCACATTTCCTCTGCGCGAATCACGCGATCACCGAAGAAGGACTGCAATCGATGGATATTGACGTTGGTTGTGTGGCATGTTGCACCGTCTTGTTGGAAATAAACACCGTCCATATCCATTCCTTCAAGTTGCGGCAAAAAATAGTCCTCTATCATCACGGGATATCGCTCAGAATTGACGGTAACGGCGTCCCCGGCCGCATTTTCGAAAAAGTAAGGTCCGATGATGCCTTTTGACCACAATGCACACCACACAGTCACTTTTTGAGGATGCATCGGCTGCTCTTGATACTCACGGGGATTTTCGTTCGCCCAGATGCGGTAGTGTTGCTTGTTTACCGTCCCATGCAAAGTGAAATGCGCTTCGTCGCTCAACATGATTTTTGATGAAAAATTGGCATCAATTTTACGGTGTTCAAGGAGCCAATCTGAGAACGTTCGGCGCGAAAAATGGTCGCAGCTCTTCCGTCAATTGGATCTTGTAGGCGTGTACATTCAAATCCTTGTGGAGAATACGGAGCAAACTGGTTCTCGAGATGCCCAATTCTTGGGATCGACGCGTTGTTGATTGTTTCGGATCGTCTCTCACACTCTCCTTCACAACAGCAATATTTTCCCGTGTGCGAACGCTCCTTGGCCGGCAAGAGTCTGGCAGATTTGCCACAGAACCTGTTGCCTCGAATTTACGCACCAGACGACCGACGGTTGTTTCGTTTGGGCGGTTGTTGCGACCGAAATGTTCACGAAGCGCGCGAAACGTGTTTTTTATTTTTGCACCATTTTTGTAGTGCTCTTGAATAACTTTAATGCGGTCTTCAATCGAATACGACTCCATAGCGATCAATGGTAAACATTCAACTAACAAAATGACATGTCGGTGACAGAAAACAAAGATGGCGTCTATGTCAAATTGACGTTTACTTTCCTGCGTCCCTATTGGACAACCCTTTGTTTTTTAAATGACATTGACATAAGAGCTGTCACCCGCTAGTATGTCACCGATGTTAGGCGGTTAACCGTACCACGTGTTTTGCGACATTTGGATGACGTCACATCCGTCTACCCCTATTCCCGTTTTTTGAGAAACTTTGAGTATCAGTTCCGGGTACTGCACTGTGCTACACCGTGGACACGCGAAAAAATCCTTATTGTATGATATAATAAAAAAAATATATTCTGTAATTGAAAATATTGATGAATATCCTCACTGGCGTATAAATAAAAAAGTCCATATTGGAAATTGAAAGGGTCAACAACATCAGTTATCAATCTCAATTTGCTCCACTTGTAACATCATTTTCACGTGATTGTGCTGCCTGGGTAGCGGAGCGAGTTTGGAGAACGTATACCTTATTTCACGAGTATCCATCACCCTTTGACGTCTACTGAGGTGAACAGCTGATCAGCAAGTGACATTTTTGTGTTAGTCTGCAACGTTGACTATAATGAATCGGGTGTAAATCTAGCAAAAATTTGTTTGTAGCGTTTTGTTTTTTGTATGAATATTTCTAAATAAAACAGCTTTTACCAAGTACGAAATGAATCTATACCGTACAAAAAATCAAAACAAGATTCGGCTCTGTCCACCTGGCATTGACGGATCCGTTAGAAATATGTGTCATTTGCCGATATGGGGAATTTTGAAATATTACCAGAGAACCAGGTGTTCATTGTACCGTAATGGATACTCGTATGTATATAGATGACGTCAATTGACATCATTTTGGTACTTTTCCAACCGAACTAATGAATGTACTTAACCTTACTTTTGCAGAATCGTCACATAAGCGAATGGAGGCGAATAGCGACGATCTTCGTGGAAGTGATTCGGCACGCTAGTCAGGCGCTGGACCCGTGTTTCGCATGCGACCAGAACAATGTTCGTACGTTTGACACTCAGTTCAAATGATATGCGTTAGGTGCAATCAATTTGGCAGGCTTAGAGAATAAACTAACATATTGGCAACGCGGCAGATTGCACGACCTCCTGCGTCACCGTCGCTAGACAATAATCAAATCCAAGCGGATAACCAAAATTTCCGTATTATGTACCGCGGTTATAATATGGTTCAAGATGACACACGGGATGGTGACGTCAGTTACTCGAATCGCTTGAACGCATTGGTTTTAACCGCGGTTTTGTTGCAAGTTGTTTATTTTAGAAAAGCGCGTATATAATCTCTGATTATTTTTATTATCACTTAATAATCGGTGCTTTTTCGTCTACAACTGTATATGGAAAGTTTAAATAAGAAACCTTTCATAATATTCATGGGAGACATGTTTTTTCAGATTTTTTTTTTAATGATGGAACCATGGCTTTGTAGCTATGATAACTTTCAATTCTCTAAATTTTTCCGCATGTCAAAGAAAACATTTATTGATTCAGCAGAAATGATGAAAAAAGAAATTAGCAAAACCGTATACAGGTGGATATCTAGTGAGTTTATATGGCCATATTTTCATATTTTTGTGGTTTATGGCTACACAGGATACTTTGTTAAGCATAGGAACTACATTTAAAGTGTCCCCAACAACCGTAATGAGTATAACTAATAAGGTGCTCCACATTATGGTAAAACTGAAGTCAGCCTCTATCAATTTTCTCAAAAATGAAGCTGAAGTACAATAACAATATCCAATACCCGGCAAAATTTCAACTTGTCACATTTCAAATAATAACCAGAAATATAAAACTACTCTTGAGTTGGGTAAATACCACAATTTTGCGGTGATAACTATGACATATAACAGCTGATTCGTGACGTCACGGATCTTATAACCAAACTGATAACTACAATCGCTTGAACGGATTGGTAAATACCAAGCCAAAATGGTAAATACCATTTCCATTTGGTTATCCGCTTGAATTTGGTTAATAATCAAAATCACAGCCGACGTCAACTACGAGCCGTGAACAAAGAAATCTGGCAACGTAGGTGGTAGTGTTACTCCCGCCGCTGCTTGCTGCATCGATGCAACTCGTGCTCAAAACGCTGAGAAAACATAACCTTTTCAATTTGTGATTTGGGAATCCCAGAGGCTGTAATTAAGAGATAAGCTTGTTTTCTAAGCTTCAAAGTGTGTGTATGTGTTCAAAGTGATCGGTGACTATAATATATGAGAAATAGACTCCAGTTGTAGTGCTTCTGTGCTTTAAAAATAAACTAAGAAGTGTGTATGTGGCTGTTCGCGCCTCGGGACGCTAAGGATTTCAACTATTGAAAACGTGCAAATTCAGGTTGTATTTTTCTTTTTTCATTTATCAAGTATTTGACGCAGACAATATGCCTCGTTGTTGCTGTGTTCCTTTATGCAATGCAAACTATAATTCTGCTTTGAAAACAGAAAGCTATGTTTCAACTTTTCGCTTCCCAAGTACCGAAAGTCTGAAAAACAAATGGCTTATGGCAATTCCCAGAAAAAATTGGACACCTTCAAATCCAAGCGAATAACCAACATTTCTGTTTTATGTACCGCGGTTATAGTATGGTTTAACATGACATAACACACGGTTTGATGACGTCAGTTACTCGAATCGCTTAAACGCGTTGGGTTTAACCGCGGTTTTGTTGCAAGTTGTTTATTTTAGAAATGTGCGCATATAATTTCTGACTATTTTTATTATCACTTCATTATCGGTGCTTTTTGTCTGCAACAGTGTATGGAAGGTTTAAAAAAGAAACCTTTCATAATATTAATGGCAGAAATGTTTTTTCTGACAAAAATGATGGAACCATGGCTTTATAGCTATGATAATTTTCAATTCTCTAAACTTTTCCGCATGTTAAAGAAAACATTAATTTATTGATTTAGCAGAAATGATAGGAAAAAGCGATGAAAAGAAGATATTAGCAAAACCGTATACAGGTGGACATTATCCAGTGAGTTTATATGACCATATTTTAATATTCTTGTGGTATTTGGCTACACAGGATACTTTTTTAAGCGTAGGAACTAGATTTAAGGTATCCCCAACAACAGTAATGAGTATAACTAATAAGGTGCTCAACTTTATGCTACAAATAATAACCAGAAATATAAAACTACTCAGGACTTGGGTAAATACCACAGTTCTACGGTGATAACTATGACATATAACAGCTGATTCATGACGTCACGGATCTTATAACCAAACTAATAACCACACTCGCTTGAACGGATCGGTAAATACCAATCCAAAATGGTAAATACCATTTTCATTTGGTTATTCGCTTGAATTTGATTTATGTGGTAATAACCTTCGCTCTTCAGCCGGCTTCTATCTCTTCCTAACATGTGTTGATACACACTTCTCGCTCGTACACATTGAACTCAAGCCGTCAGACAAATTTGGTTTTCCCTGTATATCTGGTACTTCCTGAATACTCCCTTCCAAGCTTTTATCACAACCATCACGTGCACTTTGCTCGTGTAATTTTCTTCCCTGGACCAAAAACACTTAATCTTATATTATCCCACCTTTTCATCGCACTTTTCATAAGCATGTGCTCGTGCTCGTGCTCACCAACACTCATATGAGTTTAACCTTTTTTTTTCTAGTTTTCATGTAAAGAACATATGACGTTACACAAAAAACTATGCGTACATAAAGGCAGATTGGATACGTATGAGTGAGGGAGATGGATGTCCGAGTATGAAAGTAATTCCTGCTGTTTTAGAGTGATCCCCCAAAAACCGCAAAAAAATTATAGTTGTACAACGCCTATGCCTGCCCAACGTGTATCGTCTGAACTCAGTTTAAGTCTTTTTTATTTAGGGCCGTACCGTCAGTCGTCCCTACAATTGTAGGACGCCTTGACTTTCATAGTATTTTCTCTCCTTCGGAAAGGCTGGGATATTTCTAGATTTCTTCTGTTCCGTGTCAGCGTCAGTGCTCTCCTTTGTGAGGCTAAGTTTCCTTTTTGAATTGTAGGAAATTTCACGCTGATGGAACAGCTAATAAAAATCAAAAGCATGAACAAATTGATACAAATAGATATCTGCAACATAACCTCAAAATAGAGCGCGTTTTTGGAGGACTGGAAAACTATGAAAATCAAAGAGGCCATAAAGGCGTCCTCAATGGCAGGAACGACGAAACGTTTTTATCTGGTTTTGTATTCAAAAACAGCCAAAAAGAGAGCCTACATAATGACCGGCTTCACTAATATAAAAAATATCTGAAAAAGGAACGTTGTTACTGTTATCTTAAAACTGCCGAAAGGCATAAACCACTAAAGTTTTCATCAAAAATAAATGTTGTCTTTGTAGCAGTTCTTCGCCTATTTGTATACCAAAAACTAATATTTACTGTAGATCGACTGATATAGGATTGTCCTCTGATACCGACTCATCAGAGGCCGATATATCGGCATGATCGGCCGTTTGTTCTATTCCGTACACAACCGAGTGGCGTCATATGGTATAATCAACTATCAAAACAATAACGGAATCAATGACGCAATTTGTGCGGTATGTAGAAAATCTGGCATCTCTTTCAATACAATATTAAGCTAAGCCTCTAGCAAAATAATGAACTCAATATGAGGCCATTTTATTAAAGTGGCACATCCCTTTTTTTTAGATTTTTTCACAACAGCCTGTTTGGAGCAGTATTCTAATTCCTTTTCATCTGATAATTTCATGGTGTGTATAGAGATGACTAAAGAACAATGTTTCCATTTTTGTTTATCAAAAAAGCATTTTTTGTGCATTTTTTCTTCAATCGGAACTTGTTAACAAATATAGGTACAGCTCTGAAATTGTGTGTAAATATTCCTCTTTTATAGAAGAATGAAACGAGTGATTACTTTTGTTCTTATCACTTTTCCTTTTTGAAAAATCTTTGATTTTCTTGAAGCCTCGTCTCGCAGCAAAAAAAGCAAAGATTTTTCGAAAATAGAAAAGTGATAAGAACAAAAGTAATCACTCGTTTCATTCTTCCATAACCATTCACACACAATTTCAGAGCTGTACTTATATTTGTTAACAAGTTCCGATTGACGAAAAAATGTACAATAAAATGCACAAAAAATGCATTTTTTGTCAAAAAAAATTTAAACCTTAAAACCTACTCAGCGTGAAATTATCAGATGAAAAGGATTTAGAATACTGCTGCAAACAGAAAGTTGAAAAGAAATTTTAAAAAAGGGACATGCCACCTTAATGCAACGTCGCTGGATAGCTCGTCAAAAAAAAAGGCCATTTTTCTGGAAAAAGATAGTAACAATTAGAAAAGTGCAGAAACGGTTGACCATTTTTGAATTACACATTATTTAAAAAAAATGCTTGAAGAAATTTAATCTGGGTTACGGTGGTTAAAAACTCAGAAATTATAATCTTTGAGGATCTAAATTAAAGTCAATACCTTTCTCTACAAGTCCCTGGAGAGTATTTGGAAATTAGTTTGAAGCGGTGATTTCAACCTTGCTTTTCAGGTCCAAATTGGTGAACTTTTGATTTTCGCAAAGTGTACGTCATATCGTTTGCCTTCAACGGTATTTTCTTTTCAGCAATGTCGAATGACGTCAACAGCAGTGAGCTTATAGAGGGATTTAACCAACTTATATCTGAACCCGTCGACTTATTTGGAAATGCAGCCACTAGGCGATACCTGGCTCCAGCGGGTAAGCAGCGTTGTTGAATTTTTGAGGGAAAAAGGAATCACTATAGATCTTTGCAGGTTTCCGGGGAGACTGCTACCACATGGAAGTTTATCATAGGAACAACCATAGACAGTAAAAGTAGGTATAAGCAGAATATTTTTATTACAAAGTGTAATTCATACAAAAAATATATCACATCCACATCACAAATGGATTCATTTTTCTTTAACAATAACTTAAAACATACGGTTGATTTGATGAATAAAGTAAATGGTAAGTCCTTTAAACATAAAAAACAAAAAGTGTTAGCCTAAGCTAACAAACATGAAATAACTAACTAAAATTCTTCATATACAACAGAAAAAACGATTGGAAATATCGATCTTTGACACAAAGGATAAATATTAATGCTGTTGCATTTATTCCAAGATCTCTTCATTGACATTTACGAAAAGCGCGTAAACGAAATTAAGCCACTAACACACATGATTTTTGTGGTTGCATAGTGAAGATTGGACGATCTTCCAAACATCTAGACGGGTTTCGAAGAGATACAAAGCTGTTCACACTGAAACCACATTCGAACCTCTCTTACACCGCGTCAAAGCGGACGATTTTTATGTAATTTTTTTTCAACATAAAAAAAAATAATTTCCAAAAGAAACGTTTCGCCAAATACCTTGTTGATCTACAGGTATGCAATTAAGAGGAATTTTTTTCTCGAAAACTATGCAATTACGAAAAAAATAAATAAGATAAAAAAGGTTGAATTTATACTTGCTTGATCCAAAGAATTTGAAAATGTTAATCAAGTTAGGCCTAAATTAGCACCACCGCCAAATTACAACAAAATTAGGTAAAGGATATTCAAGATACTTTCGAAAAACCTTTTTTTAAATTCTAACACCCTGTATCTTGAGAACGAAGAATTTATAGACATGTGTATGAAGGTTTTACTTTAAAATTGCTCAAGAATCGCCTGTTCAATTTATGATACATACTTAACACCCTGTACTCAGGCATTTATGACTCACTGACCAATAGGTGTAAATGAGATTTGAATAGAGTAGTTTGAGTATCAAGTGTCCGGCTATGAATCGACGCCCCTCTAACTGTTTAAATAGTTCGCCAGAAGAAAAAGTTGTATACAGGGTGCCCCAATATTCCATGGGTATATAAGTACCAGGTATTTTTAGACTCAAAATAAGTCGATAGGGAGGATTTACCTCTATGCAAAAGTGCTTTGTTTGTCAGTTAGAAGCCGACAGTTTTCTTTTTAAAACACATTTTTTTAGATATTTTTGGAACCGATAGTCAGATTTGAATGAAATTTGAAACACGTGTTTTAGTAAGCGTCCTAATATTTCACTTTTACAAAAAAAAAAAGATTCGAGAGGGTGAGAAGGAAAACTACTTCTGAAAATATATTGGGTGTTCTATTTAAGAAAATACAACTATTCGAAAGCACTTTTTGTATGCAAAACAAATATTACCTGAGAAACTTCGTATCAGACCGTGTAACTTTTATATACAACTTATTCTTCTAGAAGGTCATATAAAAGTTAGAGAGGTCAACTTTTATTCCGGCGATCTGTTCATATTATGAATGCACGAAATTCGCGATGACCTAACTGAGAGTTTCGCTTGGTTTTGTATCGGCATTTTGCAATAGACAGACTGAACCGGCAGCATTATTGACTGAACACTGGCTACCTGTTTTGGTCACAAATGTCAGTGTGCTCCATCAGTAGCCTGACAGCCAGATTGATAGAGCTTCCTTGAGCTTGAGGCTTCCTTAGAAACAGTGGAACAGTGGCGAGGAACGTTCAAGGGAGGATTTAAATTCTCATTTCACAGTAGGCCATCACAAGCTGTCATCGATGTAAGAAACATTTTTCTTTGCTAACCGTTTTTATTTAGCAATTGATGATAAAATTGGGACGATTTGGTTCAATCGTGCTAAATATCTATAAACAATGCAAAATAATATTGTGTTTGCTTCCTGGAATTACAGCCTAATCACAGAAAAGTCAAGAACTGAATATAGGCAACCAGTTGCACCGAACTGCTTTGCTGCTATCTGTTTTTATTTTCAATGGAATGACCCTTTTTATTGTGTCTAGTTCTAGTATATCCTACAGTATATTCAGATAAGAGATAGACCGGATGTAAACAAAACGTTCGGGTGATTTTCACGCTAACGCCGCCGTCTCGACGTAAAACGGGAGCCCTCATTGGTCAATTCGCAATTAAATGCCTATGCCGAGCGGCAGAGCAGTCGTATCAAGGCAGAGTCACATTCAGGTTCAGACGTGTTACGTATGTCGTGTGCATCATTGCAATTTGATATTTCTTTGGACGTTTTCGTTTGTTATCTTATTAAGTTGTTGAGTTTGTCGTTGTTATTGTTATACCTTGTTATTGATTGTTATTGTTATCAACTGCTTGCGCAAAATGCCCAGTAGTACAGATACTGCCGATGAAGTTGTAAACTCCTGTAGTCCACCTAGGAAACGCTCTAAAAAAAGACACCTGAGTGCAGAAATGAAAGAGGTCATTTTGAATATATATAAGATCGAGCGTGAGGAGAACGAGGCATCAACCATCAAAGAAATTGTTGTGAAGGTTTCTCACAAAGTTGGGGTGTGTCGCGCATCAGTGTTTAATGTGTTAAGACAATACAAAAAAATCACACCTTTTCTGAGCCAATGACCAGTAAACATCGCAAAAGTATTGTTAAATCATTGGATGAAGCTGATAAGCATGCGATTAGGAGGAAAGTGCATGAATTCTTCTTTAGGAATGAAATACCTACTATAAATAAAGTACTGCAGGAGGTAAATGGAGACACAACGTTGCCAAATTTCAAACGATCAACTTTCCATGCGTTACTGAAGCATTTAAATTTCAAATGGAAAAAACGGGGTCGTAATAGTTTACTACTGGATAGAGAAGAAATTGTGCTATGGAGGAGGGATTATTTAACAAAAATTGGGAAATATAGAAATCAAAACAGGAAGATTTATTACCTTGATGAAACGTGGGTAAACGCAGGACACACTACAAGTAAAGTATGGGTTGATGATTCTGTAACTTCATCCAGGAGGGCCTTTCTAGATGGACTGTCCGCCGGATTAAAAAATCCAGCAGGTAAATACGAGTAATAGACAACAATCGGATGTTTTTCAAACCTTGGGAACAAGGTTCTAAACATTAATTCCAGGGGGCAGATAAAACATATTACAAGTAACAAAACTTTTATAACTTTCGATAAAATGCGTGGATGTTTTATTGTCATTTTCATTTGTTAGAACTTTTTTAAGCCATGTTTTTATGTGTTTTCGATATTTCAATAATTTTTTAATATAATCTTAAAATATGTCGAATATTATAAACTTAAAAAAAGTTACTAAGTTTTATATTGTGTACCGTTCCTAATATTTCTAATCATTTTAATTCATACTTTAAGCTTTATAAAGTTATAATTTGTTAATATTAATATTTGCGCGTATTTCAGGTTCCTGATCATTCATCTTTTAAAGGTTTATAACTTTAAATTAAATTGTGAAGCGCTGAGTAATCATACGACGTTCAATATTCTTTCTTTCAATATGACTAAATAATCCCAATTATAGCAATCTGATACTCATGTCTGAATGTTTTTTCGCTGAATGTGATGAAAACATTTGAAAAAGGTTCGCTTATTGAAATAAATCTACACCAGTTAGTACTTCGATTTCCAGGTAAAGTCTCATTATCTGCCATATTGGCAGTGAGGATGGATTTGTTGTTGACGGTCTGGGGTGCTTTTAGTCTAAGAAAACTGGAGATTACCACGAGGAAATGAATGGCGAATCGTTTGAACAGTGGTTTTCAAAAAATTTACCGAACTTAGAGGAAAACGCAGTAATTGTGTTGGATAATGCGCCTTATCATTCTCGAAGAATGGAGAAGGTCCCAACAACGGCTTCAAGGAAAGTTGATTTTCAAAATTGGCTCCGCTCGAAAAATATCAACTTTGAAGAAGCAATACTGAAAGTACAATTATTAAGAATTGTCAAGGATCACAAGGCGGAATATCAAAAATACGCCATTGACGAAATGGCAGCAAGTCAAAATAAAACTGTGCTCCGTTTACCTCCATACCATTGCGAGCTCAATCCCATTGAGCTCATATGGGCAGAGGTTAAAAATTATATAGCTAAGCACAATACAACTTTTAAATTTTGTGACCTCAAAGGACTTTTCAAAGAAGCACTAGAATTAATAACAGCGCAAAAATGGGAAAACTGTATTATGCACGTGAAAGACAAAGTTGAAAAGAGAATGTGGGAACTGGACAATATTTTAGAGGAACAAGTCGAGCCATTCATTATTGACGTTGGTGCTTCAGGCAGTAGCGATGATGAAAGCTCATCAAGCTCATCTTTCCAATAAAAGATGTCGTTCATCAAATTCGGTAAGTTATAAGTAATTATAAAGCTACTGTATTTTTTAATTAATTATTGACATTTTTGAACCCATTTTGGCAAAACCTATTCAAGAATCTACTTTCTGACAATGTTCAACCATGCACATTTTTTTACGTTTTGATCGTTTTAATTTGGTTACATATTTACCTAGAAATCAAAAAATATACTAATCAATATTCTAAAAGCAATTTTAAGAGATATACGATTATTTTTAATTTAGGCTAATTTAAACGCCATTTTAAGATTATATTCGACTGTATTTCACCAAACATCAGGCGGCATCCGAAGCTGGAAATCGAAGCGAAAATTTTGAAACCCTTATGAATATTTACATCATTATATATTTCTTACCCCACCCCCACATGATCCTATATCCATCACCAATCGTATACACATCGAATTGTGCTAATTTACTACAAAGTTACGCAAAGCAGCATCTACTATCTAAAATATGTACTGCGTGACTCTTAATACGTCCCTGCCGAATGTTACAGCGTTTGATGATCACGTGGTCTTGTTTATGTCCGGTCTATCTCTTATCTGAATATACCGTATAGTTAAAATCACGAAAAATGACTATTACGTAATACCATAAATTGTACTGAAGTAATCAATGGACGTACATCGATGATAAAATCGCGATGCCAGGAACATAATGCATATTTATTATGATTTTGTGAAGTTAGGTTATTTCACTGATTATTTTTATTTTCATTTTATATCATGGTTTTGAGTGATACCTTAATAATAATTTTATTGGGGAGTTTTTGTTTTGAAAAACAAATTATGAGTAGAATACCTTATGTCAGGAGCAAAGTATTATTCGAAAACAACCTAACCTGCTTTAACATAACCTTACCATTGATCTTTCAAATCGATCATGCAACATGAAAATATAGACTCTTTATCGGATACAAATGTGTAGGCCATACTTTTTTTAATATGTCTTATAAAGGGTTGTCCAATAGGGACGCAGAAAAGTAAACGTCAATTTGACATAGACGCCATCTTTGTTTTCTGTCACCGACATGTCATTTTGTTAGTTGAATGTTTAGGTACCATTGATCGCTATGGAGTCGTATTCGATTGAAGGCCGCATTAAAGTTATTCAAGAGCACTACAAAAATGGTGCAAAAATAAAAAACACGTTTCGCGCGCTTCGTGAACATTTCGGTCGCAACAACCGCCCAAACGAAACAGCCATCGGTCGTCTGGTGCGTAAATTCGAGGCAACAGGTTCTGTGGCAAATCTGCCAGGCTCTGGCCGGCCAAGGAGCGTTCGCACACCGGAAAATATTGCTGTTGTGAAGGAGAGTGTGAGAGACGATCCGAAACAATCAACAACGCGTCGATCCCAAGAATTGGGCATTTCGAGAACCAGTTTGCTCCGCATTCTCCACAAGGATTTGAATGTACACGCCTAAAAGATCCAATTGACGCAAGAGCTGCGTCGGGCCAACCATTTTTCGCGCCGAACGTTCTCAGATTGGCTCCTTGAACACTGCCAAATTGATGCCAATTTTTCATCAAAAATCATGTTCCGCGACGAAGCGCATTTCACTTTGAATGGGACGGTAAACAAGCAAAACTGCCGCATCTGGGCGAACGAAAATCCCCGTGAGTATCAAGAGCAGCCGATGCATCCTCAAAAAGTGACTGTGTGGTGTGCATTGTGGACAAAAGGCATCATCGGACCTTACTTTTTCGAAAATGCGGCCGGGGACGCCGTTACCGTCAATTCTGAGCGATATCACGTGATGATAGAGGACTATTTTTTGCCGCAACTTGAAGGAATGGATATGGACGATGTTTATTTCCAACAAGACGGTGCAACATGCCACACAACCGAGGTCAATATCCATCGATTGCAGTCCTTCTTCGGTGATCGCGGGATTTCGCGCAAGAGGAAATGTGCCATGGCCATCAAGATCGTGCTATTTGACTCCCTTGGACTTCTTTTTATGGGGATATTTGAAAAGCAAAGTCTACGTCAACAAACCAGCCACCCTCCAAGAACTCAAAAACAACATCATTGCCGAGATAAATGCCATAGAACCGACCATGTTGCAAAATGTCATTGAAAATTTCGACGATCACGTGGACGTCTGTAAATCCAGTCGTGGTGAACATTTGAGCGATACTATTTTTCATACATAAATGGTATAAATGAACCTTCAAAATAAAGTACCAAACTTGATTTGAATATCAATCTTTCTTGTTTTAATATGCGTTTACTTTCCTGCTTCCGTTTTGGACAACCCCATATATCAATTATTTCCCCTTCTGTGAACTTTCAATTTTATTAATTTGCGAAATGTGATCAAAAAATATCTACCAAGGCATCTTCTCATCGCTCAACTTCTTTTCTTCCATAAACAAACATAATAATGTACAACAATAAAAAATTTGGGTGTAAAATATGTTTTTAATGTCATCTACAAACTGCAACCAGCAGAGCAGTTCAGTACAACTGGTTGCCTATATTCAATTTTTGGCTTCTCTGTAATTGCTCTGTAATTCGATGAAGCAAACATTATTGTTTTGCATTGTTTATTGATATTTGGTACAAATATCCAAATCGTCCCAATTTTATCTTAAAAATGCTAAATATAGATACGGCCAGCAAAGTAAAATCTTTCTGACATCGATGACAGTTTGTGATAACTGTTACAGCCTACTGTGAAATGAAAATTTAAATCAAGGAAGCGTCATAATGTCACTTGTTTCCAAGGAAGCCTCAAGGAAGGTCAATAAATCTGACTCTAAGTGAACGAGACTCTCACTCCATGAGATTCCAAATGTTATACGAGGTTTGTCAGTAAAATATATAATATAAAACATACGGGGCGTCGTGTCAAGGCGTTGTGGAGGGGGGGCCCTCTATTCTATGCTCAGTTCGGAGCGCTCTGCGAGTAAGTAGGATTTATGTATGCTTGTTGAAAGTAACTATTTTCACTATCGTCGATCGAGAAACAGCGCATCTCTATCAAGTTTCTTTCAAAGCTAGGCAAGAATGGTCGTGAGATTTTTGAGTGTTTGGAACAAATTTACGAAGAAAATTCTCTGAAGGAACCAATCGCCAACAGGTCGCCCCTTCACATCGAGCTCTGAGGAAAATGTTGAACGAATTCGAGGCTGCGTTCTTAAAGACCGTCTATTGACAGAACGATAGCTGAGGAACTGTCAATCCCCAAAACAATCGTCCACGAAATTCTGACGGAAAAAACTTGAAATGAAAAAATTGCGCGCGAAAATCGTTCCAATCTCTTGAATCTAAAACAGATAGCAAGGAGGGTTGCTTGCTGGTTGGAAGCAGAGGAAATGGGGGACTCAACCGGGTCATCACTGGAGACGAATCTTGGTTCTACTAATTCGATGTAAAGCTGCAATCTCAAAGCATGGAGTGAGAGCAAGCAGAGAACCGAGAACAAAAAACACGAAAAAATCAAGGTCCAATGTGATTGTTTTCTTCGATTCTCGGGGCATTGTTCACCAGGAATTGACCAGACAGTGAACGGAAATTTCTACATTGAGTTTTGCGTCGTTTCAGGGCTCGTGTGGCCCGAGTTCGACCGGATTTGGCAGTGAGTCAGGTGGATCCTTCATCACGACAACGCGCCTGCTCACACTAGTGCGTGAGATTTTGGTCCGAAGTTCAATCACCGTGCCTTATTCACTCGATTTAGCCCTTTGCCACTTTTTCCTGTTCCCAAAATACAAAATGGTGCTTCGGGAGTGGCACTTGGGGGATGTAGAATACATCAAGGCAGAAACGACACGGCAAATGAAGAGCCTCACAAAGAAGAAGAATATCAACAGAGGAAACGACGTTGGCGGAAGTGCATCTTGTCTCAGGGGGTACTTTGAAGGAGACCATATTGAAATACCTGAACAATTGTAAAACAATCATTCCACTTCTATACGTACTTTCCGGACATTTCATAAAAATATAACAGAAAATACTTCAACATTTCTCTCTACATTATATTTGGAGTCTAACATTCGAGGTCGTCCCCATACCGTTTTTTTCAGAAAATAATTTTTTGTTAAGAATAAACTATTTCTTGAGATTCAATAAACATGCACACAACATGAAAAGTCTTACCTTGTTAAGTCGCATGCGTAAACCAAAGGAATGATCATTTAACTTTATAACCAGCTTATCCTGTACGATTGATAAATAAACTTTTTAATACAACAAAATAACAACTAGTCATATATCAATCATTCATTTGATGGCATATGGCACTATATTCTACTTCATATGGGTGATGATTTTACCCTATGGCGAATCTAGTAAAGCATAGTCTATCGAGCTATCAAATTCACCCCCAACAGACTCCAAGGTGTCTGTACCAGAATCAGCCGAAGCGTTCGTAGCTATCTTCTGTTTTTTCTCCAGTGGTTCCTCTGCGTACTGAGACGGTTCCATCCCATTAATCTTCAAAACCTCATCTTTAACCCTTGCGACTGCACGTTTCTTTTTCTGTGATTCCCCTGCGAACTGAGACGGTTCTATCCCGTTAACCTTCAACACCTCATCGCCATTTAATCTACCAACTGGACAAGTTGGAGGAATGTTTAGCTCGCCAGTTTCTGTGTAATCGTGTTCGCTGTCAACTATCGTTTTAACTACACCTTTAACCCTTACGACTGCACGTTTCATTTTCTGTGATTCCCCTGCGAACTGAGACGGTTCTATTCCGTTAACCTTCAACACCTCATCGCCATTTAATCTACCAACTGGACAAGTTGGAGGAATGTTTAGCTCGCCAATTTCTGTGTAATCGTGTTCGCTGTCAACTATCGTTTTAACTACACCTTTAACCCTTACGACTGCACGTTTCATTTTCTGTGATTCCCCTGCGAACTGAGACGGTTCTATCCCGTTAACCGTCAACACCTCATCGCCATTTAATCTACCAACTGGACAAGTTGGAGGAATATTTAGCTCGCCAGTTTCTGTGTAATCGTGTTCGCTGTCAACTATCGTTTTGACTACACCTTTATAAGCTGTTTCCATATGCTCTATGAACTCGGACAACTGGTCGCGACGTGCCTCCTCTTCGGAAGATTTGCTTTCCGAGTCGCAGTCTAGATCTATAGTCTCCACTTTCGCATTATCATCGACTGTATTTTGAGTAGGAATGTCATCATAAGCTTCTTTCAACTTATCTATAAACTGAGTCAACGTATTATCTTCCGGTTCAGAGTTTGAAGCTGTCGAGTTATTCTTCCCATTCACATTATCGTTATTCTGATCAGCTAGATATTTGGATGAGATTGTATCGTATTCAAAATCTTCAAAGTCCGTATATTGTATTCCAAGTCGTTTTAGGTGTTCTCTTACTTTAACATAGTTGACGACCGGTTTGATCTCGTCGTATGTGATTCTCTCTGGGCAATTGATTTTGACGTTAAAGTACATGTCCGTTCCTACAAACACGAAAAATGCATGTACTAGATGTATACAGAGAGAATCAAATGTCTCTGGCGACTTGAGTTCAACATGTACCAGAGAGCAGTGCAAAAAGTGTGTATCAACACATGTTAGAAAGAGATAGAAGCCGGCTGAAAAACGAAGGTCATCACTACGTTGTCTAGCAACGGTAACGCAGAAGGCCGTGCAATCTGCCGCGTTACACCAGAAAATGTTCAAGCAGACTTCTACAATAGTTTAGGTTACTGTCAAGCCCAAGAAGGAGGTGTGTTCGAACAATTGATTCAATATTTTGCTTTCACTTTGATTAGAATTATTTCAATTTTGAAGCGGCTGTTGTTGTTGTTTAAGATTTATTTAGCATGATTGCTGCAGTTACATTCTTCTAAAAAACTAAACAATTACATAACATACAGACATTCAGAAAAAAAAATTGCATCTCTAACAATTTTCATTCTCCATGAAATATTCCTTTAATTTTCTTTTAAATATCTTTAAATTACAATTAGACTTTATATCATTATTTACTTTATTAAATTCAAGTAATCCTTTCTGAAATATTGATTTGCTAGTTGTATTACTATTGCAATTTTGTAAATGAAAATGTATATTTCCTCTTGTATAATAATTGTGGTAATGATTATTCAATTCTATGTAGTGTTCTAAATATTCTGGCAAAAGATGATTTTTTATTTTAAATATAAAAATAAGAACCAAATATGATATGAAATTTTTTATATTCAACCATTGCATTGCTTGTAACATAGATTTTAATTTGGTGTACTTATTTTTATTTAATATTATTCTCATAGCTTTATTTTGCAAGACTTGTAAGTTTGAGAGTTCATCTTCATTGGCAGTGAACAAGATAGCTGACAATAGTAAATGCGGTAGAATAATTGTATTATAAACTATTTTCTTGGAATAGGTAGCAAGACTATGAGAAATAAAAGTAATTTGTTTTTTTGGCAATTTTTGAAATAATGTATTCATAGTGATCCTCAAACTTTACTTTACTATCAATATATATATATATATATATATACAGGGTTATCCAAATTAAGTGTCCACCATTAGTAACTTTGTTATTAGTGAAAATACAAAGTTGTTTGAATTAGCAAACTAGTAGCATTTTTAACGCTGGTAAAAATGAGAAATAAAAAAAAACAATTGAGAGTCGTTATTTTGATTTTTTTCAGTAAAATAACATTTTTTTAAATGGAAACCCCTGTATATTATATTTTTTTCTGTTAAAGCATCAAATTTTAAACAAAAAAGTTCATAATGACTTTTCCGCTAAAGTCAAAAATAAAGTCAAAATAACGATAAATATTTTTAATTATTTGCAGTATTATAATATTAAGACGGCTATGAAAACAACATGGCGTTCGCGATTTGACAGCATTAAGATAAGCGACAAATTGTTAAACTGGACATACTCGCAACTAGAAGGCTTTGGAAAACAATGATAAAATCAAATAATGTCAAACATTAGTGTAAATACTTGTTTATAAGCTTTATTGTGTCATTAATTTAAAGAAAAATGTTCTCCCATGAAGAAAAGTGTGATATGTTAGAATGCTATTTAGTGTGCAGAAAATCCTGCTTGAGAGCAAGAGAATACTACAGTGAATTATATCCCGCTCGCATTCAACCGTATGAACGATATTTTCTGAGACTTTATCGAAAATTTAGGGGCAACGAAAATGTTTTTGCTAAAACAAGGGCAAAAAAAGAATTCATAATAAGCGAGGCCACGGAAATTGCAGTTATTGGATATTTTGAAGCTTATCGTGAGAATTCAATAGCAGATATTCTCAAGGACTCTAATTTCAGTTATGGTACTGTTCAAAGGATTTTAAAAAAATACAAATTTATTCCGTATAAGTACCGACCAGTTCAAACGCTTTTGGCAGGGGATCCAGAGAGAAGACTTGTTTTTTGCCATTGGTATCTTAGCTTCTGTCGCCAAAATGTAAATAACTTTCGTTACCTTTTATGGACAGATGAATCAAATTTTTCAAATTCTGGAATGTTTAATAGAAAAAACCACCATTATTGGTCAAGAGAAAATCTTTTGTTAGTACATCCAAGAGGCTCACAAGTCCGTTTCAGTTTCAACGTTTGGTGCGGTATAATTGGTTCAAAAATTGTTGGCCCGTTCTTTTATGAGGGAACCCTAACTGGTGAAAGATATGTGGAATTTATGTCAGAAATTCTGACTAATTTCTTAAACGAATTGGATCTTATAAGTAGACATCATCTGCATTTTCAGCAAGATGGCGCACCTGCCCACAACTCCAGAGGTACTTATCATTTTCTAAGTACTACTTTTAATGATCAGTGGATAGGAACAAATGGCCCAATACAGTGGCCTCCCAGATCACCAGATCTAAACCCACTTGATTACTTCTTGTGGGGTTACTTAAAGAACCAAATTTACAAGCGAAGGTACGATAACCTTGACGCGTTAAAGACTGCAGTTAGGGAAAAGATAACCCAGATAGATGGTAGGACCATACTTAAGACAGTTCGAGCAGTTGAAAAACGTGCCCAAAAATGTATTGAAGAACAAGGTGGTGTTTTCGAGCATCTTCTTTAAAAAAAATTGTTATTGTATGTTGTAAGAAGTTGATGTTGAAAATAAAGTTTGTCGATACAATTTAATTGTTTCAGATTGGAGGCCATAACGTCAACAATTTGTAACCTAGGAGAAAAGTTATTGTAAGCTTTTTTGTTTAAAATTTGATGCTTTAACAGAAAAAAATATAATATACAGGGGTTTCCATTTAAAAAAATGTTATTTTACTGAAAAAAATCAAAATAACGACTCTCAATTGTTTTTTTTTATTTCTCATTTTTACCAGCGTTAAAAATGCTACTAGTTTGCTAATTCAAACAACTTTGTGTTTTCACTAATAACAAAGTTACTAATGGTGGACACTTAATTTGGATAACCCTGTATATATATATAACAAAAAATAGGATGATTATTTTCTCTTTATATATATATACCTAAATATTTAATTGATTCAACATTTTCAATTATTTCTCTATTTATCCTAACTGTGATAGTATTTTCATTTAGGTATTTCCCTATTAGCATACATTTTGTTTAAGAAGTATTCAATTTTAGTTTATTTAGATTTAACAAATTTATAATTTTTTCTAAGTTAGAATTTAGCATTTTTAAAGCAGTGTCTATATTTTCATCTGATATGTATACTAAGTGAAATATAAATCCGAACACCCAGTTTAAATGGTATTATTTTGATAAAAGTTGGTGAATGTATTTATCTTACTGTAAATAACAAGTGAAAAAATTTTCAGCCTTATCAGTTGGACATTCCGGTTTTTATACTGCTTTTTTTTAATTCACTAACGCTCTAAAAATGAATATTTCAGCCGCAGTAAAGAGTCAACGATGGCGGATTTTGGTTCTTGACATCCTTTACGATCGGTTACGATGACTAGAGTACGGAGACCTGTACGATTTCGTCAACTTAGTGAGTTTGATAGGGGCCGTATAGTGGGACTTCGGGAAGCTGGACTTTCTTTCCGGGCAATTGCAGTTAGAGTGCAAAGATGTGTAGACAGTGTGGTTAGGTGTTGTCAGGCATGGCTTCGAGAAGGCCGTACGCAAAGAGCAAGGGGCACTGGACGCCGCCGTAGAACAACAGACCGTGAAGATCGCCGCCTAAGATTATTGGCCTTAAGGGACCGTTTCTCCACTACCAGGTCCATTGCAAATGAATGGTTTGCAGAACACGGAAGACCTATTGGCATGCGAAGTGTTTACCGACGAATGAGAAGTTTTGGCTTGTTTTCATACCGGCCACACTGGGTCCTCCCTTTAACTCGAGAACACCGACGTAATCACCTTGAGTGGTGCAGACAACGATCGCTCTGGGATCAGGAATGGAACAGTATTGTCTTTAGTGACGAGTCTCGATTTTGTTTAGGCATGCACGATGGTCGTGCCAGGGTTAAGAAGGCGACGTGGTGAAAGGAGGAATCCACAGTTTTTTGTTGAAAGACATGTTCATCACACTGTTGGAGTTATGGTTTGGGGTGCTATAGCTTATGGTTCCAGGTCACCTTTAATCTTCATCAGAGGTAACATGAACGCGCAGCGTTATATCCACGAAGTTCTAGAACCCCATCTTTTACCACGGCCACCAAGATCTCCCGACTTATCCCCAATTGAGCACGTGTGGGATATGATGGGTAGGAGATTGCTCAATTTGCAACGTCCTCCTCAGACTCTAGAAGCACTTCGAGAGGAGTTGGTGGTTGCCTGGAATGAGATACCACAGGAGGACATTGACCACCTGATCAGAAGCATGCCTAGGCGCGTTGGAGAATGCGTAGCACATCAGGGTGCATCCACACATTATTAAAGGTCAAAGGTCTTTAAAGCAGTGCAATCATTTTGAAATTTTTATCATTTACTTATTATGCTTCATTAAGTACTTATACAAAATTTTATTAAAATAAAACCATTTAAACTGGGTGTTCGGATTTATATGTCACTTAGTATATATACCTAAATATTTAATTGATTCAACATTTTCAATTATTTCTCTATTTATCCTAACTGTGATAGTATTTTCATTTAGGTATTTCCTTATTAGCATACATTTTGTTTTAGAAGTATTCGATTTTAGTTTATTTACATTTAACAAATTTATGATTTTTGCCAAGTTAGAATTTAGCATTTTTAAAGCAGTGCCTATATTTTCATCTGATATGTATATTAATGTATCATCTGCAAATATCTGAAGTTTACAATAATCTAAAATACAACAAATGTCATTAATGTATAAAATAAATAGTAGTGGACCTAGTTTACTACCTTGTGGTATACCAACAGAAATATTTTTTGATCTTGATAATGTAGACCAATTTTGGTTTTTTGACTTTTGTCAATTAGATAGTTTTGTAGAATTTTGAATACAGATCCTTTAAATCCGTAGTGATGCAATGTTTCAATTAATTTTAGAATTATCTTTGATTTCCACCGATGGTGATAAAATCAACACATCCTGGAATGTACGAAATGCGGTGTTGCCCAGCGAACCAATGATGCAATGTTGCAGAATTTGTGTCGATCCTGAATTTCCATTTCGAGCTAGAACGGAGCGCCGTTAGGACCGATCCGGAATCAATCCTTAACAGATTCACATTCACAATTCAAAAAGTTGTACGCTCAAAATAAAACCATTATTTGGGCGTAGAGAATAAACTAACGCGTATTTTCAACAGGCATCTTAGTTCAAGGAACTGGTGCGACGTATTGGCAACGCGGCAGATTGCTGCGTCAGCTTTTGCTAGGCAACGCGGTGATGAGCTTCGCTATCCAGCCGGCTTCTATCTCTTTCTAACATATGTGTCTATACATACTTCTCTCTCGTACACACCGAACTCAAGCCGTCAGACAAATTTGGTTTTCAGTTTAGAGGAAAGTAATCGCGAGAATTTTTTTTATTCCAATCGGTATACTTGAGGCTTTGGTTGTTTGAAAAAAAAATATGAGAAATTTTTCAATACCGTCAAGGGAAGAAAAAACAATCCGTCAATCACAGTGTTTCTCTTTAATACCGCCTACCATTATACAGGGTGTAAACGTTATGATAGTCAGTATTTCAAAAATTCTAACAAATTTGGGCTATTTAAAAAGAGCTATTCTTGGGCTACAAATGCTGTAATATTTGAAGTTTTGTTAGTTTCAAATGTGGCCGCTAAAGAGCTGTTTTCGACAGATATGATTAATTTTCTCAAAAAAATAAATAAATGTATTGGTTTGATTTTCTAATGAAAAAGTAGCTAAACATTTTTTTTTTCACCAGAATAAAATCACCCTTTTTGAAAATACAGCAGACGCTCGATAACGTAAACACGGGATAATGAAAACTTGCGCTAATGTAAACACAAACTTCGTTCTATAGGATCAAACGGAACGCGCGATAACGTAACCAATGTGTACGCTCGATAACGTAAACAACTGAATGTAGGGGATTCACCTCTGAGATAAAATACGACAAACTCGGTCAGTCGTATGATCGTTTAGGATACGTTTATACGTACGTATGTATTTCATTTTTGAACTTAAGTGAATACATTGCACGCGTTAATATATTTTACGACTATGGCATCCACAACCTATAAAAGAAAGTGTTTAAAGTTGAGTGAGAAAGTGAAAATCATAGACGAAGTTTGCACTAGGTGCGGGAGTGACACAGCAAAAAATATGGAGTATCGAAAGCAACAATCTGTAAAATTATTAAGCGTATGAAAACTCAAATTTTACAAAGAACGTGCAATACATTTGGAGGTCCGGGAAAAAGAAAAACTTTAAAAAATGCGAAGGCACCTAAAATGGAAAATTCCCTGTATAAGTGGTTTTTAAAACAACGGGAAAATCATGTCCCAGTTAGTGGCGCAGTACTTAAACAGAGAGCGAGACTGTTAAATGAAAAGCTGAAAGAAACTGAAAATTTCGTAGCTAGTGATGGCTGGCTACAACGATTCAAAACAAGATATGGAATTCGACTGCTGTCTATATCTGGTGAAAAATTATCAGCACAACCACAATTAGTGCAACCATTCGAAGAAAAATTGATGAAAACAATTACCGAGCTAGATTTAAGAATGGAACAAATTTACAACGCAGATGAAGGTGGCCTTTATTGGAAAATGTTACCAGAGAAAACCTATTGCTGCATCATTTGAAAAATCTGCCCCGGGAAGAAAGCCGGAGAAACAACGAATAACGTTTCTAGCCTGCACTAATGCTAATGGTTCACACAAAATAAAGCCACTGGTAATGGGGAAAGCAAAAAATCCGCGCTCATTTAAAAATGTTAATATCCCTGTTAATTATGACTGTTTCAAAACCGCTTGGATGACTAGCAGTATATTCCTGAAATGGTTCCACAGGTGCTTTGTCCCTCAGGTATGACAATCAATTATCACAAATGCTCTATTCATAATTTGAAGATGTGTTTTCAATTTGTAGGTAAAAGGTTTCCTAAAACAACAGAAGCTTCCAATAAAAGCGTTGTTACTATTGGAAAATGCACCAAGTCATCATCCCGAGCAACAACTGAGGAGCAGGGATGGGTCAATTTTCATCATGTACATGCCGCCCAACGTAACACCGTTAATTCAACCGATGGACCAGAATATAATAAGACTCACCAAACTATACTATAGGAAGTTTCTACTTTTGTCTGTCTTATCAAAGAATCCTGGAAACTTATCCGATGCTTTAAAAAAAGTAACATTACGAGAAGCTGTTTTAGATTTACATATGGCCTGGAATGAACTTAACCAGCAAACTATTCAAAAATGTTGGAACAATCTCTTTTGCACCAATAATGAAGATGATGAAGAAGACGATGTCACCTTAAGCGTAATTAGAGAACGTTTGCGATCCAATAATGATAATGTTATTAGTGTGTCATTGGATGTTGTTGATTTATTGAAAACAGTGAATCCCAACATTGTTTGTACTCCTGCTGATATTAATTTATGGAACGAAGATAAGCAGACGAATGATGCTGATAAAGAGGAGGATATGGACAGTGAGGATGATGAGAACGATCCCATTGAAGTCAGAAGTGTAGTGACTGAAGCGCAAGCAATACAAGTTTTTAACCAAGCTTTAGATTGGGCTGAAAGAAAAGAAGTTTCATACACGGATATTTTAGTTCTTCGTAAATTACGGGCGCAGGCATTGGAAGACAATGCTAAGCGCAAATTTACGCAGACAAAAATTGTTAATTATTTTTCTTCTAATTAAAAAAATACTTATCGCTGTTAGAATATTTGTTTATTTTGTTATAAATAGTATGTATTAAACGTTTCTTTTAATAAATCAAATAATATATAAATCACGTTCGCTAATGTAAACATTTCGACAATGTGAACCACACTTGGATTAAATTAGTTTACATTATCGAGCGTCTGCTGTATTACTAAATATCGCTAGCAAGTAAGACATATTTTTTGTTTGAATGCAAATACAACATACCTCCTTTCTTTATTGCTTCGAGTATTATCCCAATGTTGTCCATTGATACAAAATTAGACAACCTGATGGGATAGCCCCACAGCATACAGTCATATATGTGAGTCTTTATCGTCGCCGGGCTCAAAAACCTACAAAGAAAAACGAATTAGTACGATTGAATAATACAATTATTTGTGCAAGACCAAAAAACTGAAAAACAAGAATTTCATTCTCTTTGAATGAAAAAAAAAATGCATTCTACCGTTACCTTTTCTCCGCTATCTCTTCAAAATTTAGTCCAGAACTAAAGTGCTCGTATGATGCAACTGTTGAATTGGTTAGACGTTTTGTATGCGGCAACGGATGTGACTTCAATATTTCTGTGAGATCTGTCCTCAGGAACGCGTTTGCGTTAGGCGTAACAGTGTTCCTATTCAGGAATTTATCCGCAAACGCTGCTGTTACTTTCAGAAACATGGGACCGTACTTCTCCAGCTTGGCCTGTGTGAATTCGTTTACTGCAAAAGATAATTGAATTATTTACGATTCGTCGAGTAATTTCAATACAAAAAGTTCATATAAACCTAGGTCTGCAAAGTATTCGTTCTCAAGATAAATATCTTAAATATCCTTTACCTAATTTTGTTGTAATTTGGCGGGGATATTTATAACATTAGGGAAGCGTTTTAGCTCTAACTTGATTAAATCTATTAAGTCCAGTGACCAGTGGCGTAGCTACCTTGGGTGGCAACCGGTGCGGAAGTTGGTGGTGTCACCCCAAGTCAAAAGCAAATTTTATATGATTTATAAACGTCATGGATCATTTAATATTTATATTTAAAATATTGAACAAATAACAAAACACAATAAAAACTAAGACAAACAATATTTTTATCTTACAATTAAAATATCTTCTTTTTAGCTTTGACAGAATGATTTCGTCAGAATTTATATTTTGTATTGCCTCGTGTTCGATGGCTAATATGACAAGACTGTTAAGACGCGATCGGGTCGTTGTTGCCCGCAAATAGTTTTTATTAATTATAGTCTACTGAAACTCCTTTCACATGAAGCTACGTACAGGCAAACCATCACGAACAATTTTAGTGTAATCATAAGATTCTCTAAAATCCCATGGGTGCGCTTTTTTTTACCTATAAGTTTATGTGTTACCATGCGAGTCAAAAGTCATGTGTTATGCATAAATGAACTGTCAAAGGTATGCCATTTATAGTCATGGATGCGTTTACAACACAACAACGCATTTTGGTTATCCAAACTTATTACGAAAACGGTCGAAATATAAAAAATACTTTTCGCAAACTTCGGCCGACATGGACGCCCTACAGAGCCTGGAATTCGTTGGATTGTTAATCGTTTTGAGGAAACTGGTTCAGTTGAAGGTCGTAGACCATACCAACATGCTCGTCCAGCTCGTACTCGTCAAAACATAACCGCAGTGAGTGAAAGTGTGCGAGAAGATAAAACCACCTCGACTACACACTGTTCGCAACATTTGGGAATTAGTGAGACCACTTTACGCCGGATTTTACACATTGACTTACACCTCCATCCATACAAAATCCAACTAATACGAGAATTGAAGCCGAAAGACCATCAACAGCGGCGCGTTTTTGTTGATTGGATGCTGGAAAGAGATGACGGATTTTCGGCCAATGATAAGGCTCATTTTCACCTCAATGGGTACGAAAATAAGCAAAATTGCAGATTCTGGGGGGCTGAAAATCCACGCCAATATCATGAACAACCTCTCCATCCTGAAAAAGTGACTGTTTGGTGCGGATTATGGGCTGGTGGCATCGTTGGACCATTCTTCTTTGAAGATGCTGAAGAAAAGGCCATTACGGTCAACGGGAAACGTTATCGCGGCATGTTAACAGACTTTTTGTGGCCACAATTGGATCGTATTGGTGCCGACGATCTTTGGTTTCATCCAGACGGAGCAACGGCTCACACATCTCGCCAAACAATCGCCTTATTCCACACGAAATTTCAAGACAGCATAATTTCACGAAATTCAGATGTCAGTTGTCCCCCGAGACCGTGCGATTTAACACCTCTTGACTATTTTCTCTGGGGATTTTTGAAAGGAAAAGTGTATGCGAATGGTCCCCGGACAATTCAAGACCTAAAGCGCAATATTCGGGATGAAATTGCAGCCATAGACCCGATTATTCTGGGAAAAGTCATTGAAAATTTTGATGTTCGGATGTTGGCCCGCGGTGGTCACATGACTGATGTTATTTTTCATACATAAATGGCATAAACCAACCTTCATTTATCAATCAAAAAAATCGATTTCACCTCGTAAAAACCGTGTTGATTTTTCAAATAGAAAAAAAGAAATAGATGACGCACCCTGTACAATAAAATTTGAAAAATCTAGAGATACCCCAATCAGAAATTGTAACAGTAGCTGCTTTTAAGTGTCTTCACAGTCTTGGTATCTGTTTCTGAGACCTCATCATAAAAATCAGTAAATTTGGATGTAGCTTATTTCAGTTCTTCAGTATTTGCCAAAAGCAAACTGCTTGTTTGTACGATCTCAAACAATGAAGCAAGGTCTTGAAGAGACTTCAATCTTGTCTGGAGTTCAAATCTGCCACCGTCGCCCCTCCCCCCCGCCTTCCCCCCGTTGCTACGCCACTGCCAGTGACGTCTCGAGTGGGATCTGAACGAATATTTGTGACAAAAAATGTACGCCACTGACTTTTGTGCAATTTTATTATGTTGTTTGGATTATAGAAATACCACATGTTTGACTCTTGAATTTTTTTCGTATTTTGCTTGGTTTTATATAATTTGTATTACCAATTATGGATCAACAACAACAAATACAAAATAAAATTAACCTATCTGATAATAAAAAGGCTCTTAAATCTTCGAAAACACATCAACAATCGCCTTATGGCACACGAAATTTCAAGACAGCATAATTTAACGAAATTCAGATGTCAGTTGGCCCCCGAGACCGTGCGATTTAACACCTCTTGACTATTTTCTTTCGGGATTTTTGAAAGGAAAAGTGTATGCGAATGGTCCCCGGACAATTCAAGACCTAAAGCGCAATATTCGGGCTAAAATTGCGGCCATAGACCCGATTATTCTGGGAAAAGTCATTGAAAATTTAGATGTTCGGGTGTTGGCCCGCGGTGGTCACATGACTGATGTTATTTTTCATACATAAATGGCATAAACCAACCTTCATTTATCAATCAAAAAAATCGATTTCACCTCGTAAAAAGCGTGTTGATTTTTCAAATAGAAAAAAAGAAATAGATGACGCACCCCTGTACAATAAAATTTGAAAAATCTAGAGATACCCCAATCAGAAATTGTAACAGTAGCTGCTTTTAAGTGTCTTCACAGTCTTGATATCTGTTTCTGAGACCTCATCATAAAATCAGTAAATTTGGATGTAGCTTATTTCAGTTCTTCAGTATTTGCCAAAAGCAAACTGCTTGTTTGTACGATCTCAAACAATGAAGCAAGGTCTTGAAGAGACTTCAATCTTGTCTGGAGTTCAACTCTGACACCGCCCCCCCTTGCTACGCTACTGCCAGTGACGTCTCGAGTGGGATCTAAACGAATATTTGTGACAAAAAATGTACGCCACTGACTTTTCTGCAATTTTTATTATATTCTTTGGATTAAGCACATAGAAATACCACATGTTTAACTCTTGAACTTTTTTCGTATTTTGCTTGGTTTTATACAATTTTTATTACCAATTATGGATCAACAACAACAAATACTAAATAAAATTAACCTATCTAATAATAAAAAGGCTCTTAAATCTTCGAAAACGCTTTATATCTATAGTCGGTGTTTAGGACCTATTGATAAGTTAACAGCGGGTATACAGGGTGTCCGCAAAGTTGGGGTTTTCCTTTTCAGAAACAACTACCCTTGAAATAAAAAAGGTAATGAAACGAGGGCGACCAAGTAAAAAAAATAAAGGAAAAAGTTGACGAGAAGGGCTAAGTACGTCTCTGCCCGAAATCATACCGCTCCAACAGAAAATGAAATCAGCTGATGCGCTACCGAGCAGACGCACCATGCCAGCCCAAACATTCACCGAAAATGTTTCTTGAAAATGTGCCCGACGGACAGCGTGCGGATTTTCTACTGGCCAAACATGAGTGTTGCGAAAGTTATTCACCCCATTACGCGTGAATGTAGATTCGTCTGTCACCAATATGCACTTCAAAAAGTCCGGATTATTGTCATGTTGATGCAACAACCACACACAAAACCGCACTCTTGCTGGAAAATCGTCAGGTTGAAGGGCTTGTACACGTTGGACGTGAAACCGATACAGCCCCTCTTCACGCAGCGTTTGCCACACTTTAGTTTTTGATACTTGCACTTCTCTAGCCACGTCTCTAGTGCTTGTTGAGGGATTCTCGTCTGCGCGATTACCTCTACACGCGTGACCGTAACCGTCGGTTGAAGGTTGCATACTGACCTGACACACTGGCCCCGACCCAGTTCTGTCGTCGGGTTGAGCTAGTGTCCTAGTACCAGTCGGGAATATCGCGGGTCGCGGCTACAGGACGGTATTCAGATATTTTTGATGTTGCAGAGCCCTTTATCTCGGTTCCCTTAAGACATTGGTGTATATGGTACTAAGAAAAATTGCGTATGTTTTCAAGATCTACACGTCGTGTAAAGGAAAACCCCAACTTTGCGGACACCCTGTAGGTATTCACATGTACTTAGTAATATATCTGATGATTGGAAATTATTTATTAGGTTATTTTTAGCAAAATTGCAATATGATTCGAACGACTTTGAGGCCGCAACAATAGGAAGGTTCGACATTTTTCGTATTTCTCTTATTTTAATTAACATCGAGGGATTTTGTTATAAAAACGGTCAAAGAAATTTTAGTGCAAAATATTAATATTTACGTCGACGTAAAGCATTTTAAAATCAAGGATCCACACGAGGCTGTACGCGAGACTAGACCGCGTGACGTCAGTAGCCAGACACGTGCTGTCGCCCTCATAGAGTACTTGTATCTCGTATTGTCTTGTATACGGAGTGAAGCGTATACGAATACGAATTTATATAAACTGTGGCCGACGTTTGTGTACTTTATTTATTTGTGCTAGCACAATAATGCTCCAAGGTTATCAGAAAGCTGATTCGCGAAATTTACTCCATGTGAATGTGGAAAAGGTGTACGAGTTTTTGGCAAATAATGCAAATTTAAATGAACCTCACAGCAGCGGTGTTAAAGTAGTTCGGTAAGTACCTATGAAGCTATTTTTTTTGTTTAGCACCAATGGGTAGCATTTTTTTCTATTTCTCCGCAAAAATTGCTCCTGCTTTGCTTTCGTCTATTGAAAACTAATAATATTAAGACACAATAATGCCTGCTCGTGACAAGGCTATTTATCTGTGCTTTTTTCTTCCTAGGTCACTGATCAACAGCCAAAAAATATCCTAAATAAAATCAACAAAATATTACTATTTTTAATGTGCTAAAACCGGAATGAAACTTATTTTTTCAATATTAGTTCAAGTTTTAGAGATACGGTAATTATATGTGTTCCTGCTGTACAGTGTTAATATACTGTAATTCACAAGAATGCACGTGCTACATTTTTATATTCGGCAAGGAAAGATGACGTAATCGGCATGATTGTGTTACGTTATACATACGTGTACATTATATTGTTTTATATTAGCCATTTTTTCCTCAGTTGGCTGACAGCGTTCATGCAAGATGTCTCGAAAGTGTGTAAACAATCCAGATCAGTTTTGTTACGTGTGTGGTGATGTGACTTTTGCGTCTCAGAGACGGTCTATTACTCCACGAATAACAAAGGCATATCAGCTTTATTTCGGTTGTAAACTAGGTGAGGCACCCCACATCTGCTGTAATACATGTGCTTCAAGTCTGAGGAGCTGGTTAAATGGCAAAAAACGGTCTATGCGCTTTGCTGTCCCAATGGTTTGGAGAGAGCCTACATATCATATTAATGATTGTTACTTTTGCATGGTACCTTGTGTTGGACAAGCCACAGTCCAAGAAAAAAAAATCGGTTATTAAATACCCAAACATACCATCTGCGATGAGATCTGTGCCTCACAGTGACGAAAATCCTATTCCAAAACCCCCAGAATCCTACACTTGCGAATCAGAAAACGAATCAGATCATGGCGATCGAGTGATTCGTCAGGAAGAAGATATGCCATCAACGTCAAGAGATCCTGATTTTATACCGAGCACGTCATGCCACCAACCGCACAAAATAACACAGTCAAAATTAAATGATCTTGTAAGAGATTTAGAACTTCCAAAATGTAAGGCAGAGTTACTTGGATCAAGACTGCAGCAGTGGAACTTGTTATAAGACGATGTTTCGGTATGTGTTTTTCGTAAACGCCACAAAGACTTAGAACCATTTTTCAATATGGAGAATAACTTGGTTTTCTGCAATAACATTAACGGCTTACTGGCGGCTTTAAATATAAACTATAACCCAGAAGAATGGAGATTGTTTATAGACAGTTCAACATTGAGTTTAAAGGCAGTGTTATTGCATATTGGAAATATTTTACCATCTCTTCCTGTAGGGTATGCAGTTCACATGAAAGAATCATATGACAATATATATAATTTGAAAGTTGTTGCACTTTTACTTGGGCTGCAGCTAGGCTACACAAAGTTTTGCTGTTTTTTGTGTGAATGGGACAGTCGGGCAAAGGCACTTCATTACACCAGACAAAAACTGGCCTGTTCGTCAATTCCTAGAGCCAGGTCAAAAAAATGTACAGCATATGCCATTAGTAGATTCGAAAAAAAAATTATTACCACCACTGCATATCAAGTTGGGCCTAATGAAAAACTTTGTCAAGGCATTAGATAGAGATGGGTCAGCTTTTCAATACCTGCGTCAGAAATTTCCTAGACTAAGTGAGGCAAAGGTTAAAGAAGGTATTTTTGTTGGGCCACAGATTCGAAATATTTTGAAAGACACACAGTTTGAAAACACTTTAACAGGTATTGAAAAAACTGCTTGGAATGATTTCCGTCTGGTGGTCACTAATTTCTTGGGAAATAGAAAAGCTGACAACTATAAAACCCTTGTCAAAAATATGCTGTCATCGTATCAAAAGGTGGGCTGTAATATGTCTCTTAAGATACATTTCCTACACTCACACCTGGACTTTTTTCCTGACAATTGCGGAGCCGTAAGTGATGAGCACGGCGAACGTTTTCATCAGCATATTTCAACAATGGAAAAAGGTACCATACTTGCAGACTACTGTTGGACTCTTGGTAGAGATGCTCCAGAAACGATCCATAAAAGAACCACAAAAAGACAGCGCATATAGTGATTCTTATAAGTATATGAATCTTGTTACTTTTTTTAATATATCCTTAAAAATAAAAAGTTTTTTTTTCTAAACCGCAACTAATTTTTTTATTTCATTGTCATTTTTGGATTCAGCGCCCCAAAATTAACAAAGAAGTGCACTTTTCCCACAAGATACAATTAAAAAACTAAAATTTGTTGTCCAGTGTTATCATACATACCTTTTACCAAAATTTCCTTTGTTTTGACCAGTAGAGATTTTTTTCCGTGTTTGTGAAATAAATAATGGTGAGTCTCTGCTATATGTAAAATTATAGCCCACAATAAGTTTAGGTTATGTTTTAATTTCGCTTCCCAGTAGAGTGGTTGTTATTCCCTTAGCCCAAGTTGTTGATGTTTTATTGATTTTTGCACAATGTTTACCTTACACCCGGAATTTTAATATTTTTGTTCTTTATTGACAGTATGCTACGCCTTTTTTAGTAATATCCAAGTTATAAGTATATTATTTTTCATTGTACCTACTCACATTTCAGATATTTCATCTGCTCGAAATCCTGCGGCGCCGCATCAGACATAACTAACAGTGCTTTGTCTGAGGCGATCATGCATGGATCACAATCTTCAATTTCAGCCAGTTCTAGTCTCTTGTCAACCAATTCAGAATACAACCGCGGATTTAGTAAATCCGATTGTACTTGAGTTAAACATTGTGTTAAATCCGTCGATGACGCGGGTCGACCAGCAATAATCTTACCTTTACGATCTTGACTGTAAGAGAGTAGACATCTTAGTTAATCTATGTTTCATATAAAATCCCAAAAATGCATTAGAATTCATTTAATTTTTTTGAAACCAGCACAAGCAATCAGATACATACAATATCTGACAGTTTTTTTTTGCAACAACGTTTTCGATAATACATTGAGTGGCGTCTTCTTGGTTTCAGTAGGTTTGTTATACATCGTGGCCAATAAATAACTGACTGATTTAAATTGGGCGCCATTTCTGATTTCAGTAGGTGGCGCTGTAGTAGTTGTTTAAAGCACATGTGTCCAATTCATCCGGGAGCGCTGTATTGTTAAAACGTTTTACTTATAAAGGGTGATTTTTTAAGAGGTATAGGATTTGATTTAAAAAAAATTTGAAAAAACGATTAAATCTTTATTTGAGTCGATAGAACTGTCGATATAATTTAATGGCCCATGCGCAAGGCCCAATTTTGGCACACTCTCTCCAACATATCGGTCGGTATCTCACGAATAAATGCTTCAATATTGGCTTCCAGTGCGTCAATCGTTGCTGGTTTATCCCTGTAGACATTATCCTTAACATGGCCCCACAAGAAATAGTACAACGGCGTTAAATCACACGATCTAGGCGGCCAATTGACGGGCCCCAAACGTGAGTTAAACTGTTCACCGAACTCGCCTCTCAATAGGGCCATTGTTTCGTGTGCGGTGTGGCATGTGGCACCGTCTTGTTGAAACCACATATCAGCCAAGTCCAGCTCTTCCATTTTGGGCAAAAAAAAGGTTGTTATCATCGCACGGTAGCGCTCGCCATTCACAGTTACGTTCCGGCCATTGTCGTCTTTGAAGAAGTACGGCCCGATGATGCCACCGGCCCATAATCCACACCAAACAGTGATTTTTTCGGGATGCATTGGTAGCTCTTGCAATGCTTCTGGCTGGTCTTCACTCCAGATGCGGCAATTTGGCTTGTTAACGTACCCATTCAACCAGAAATGAGCTTCGTCGCTAAACACGATTTTTCGATAAAAATGTGGATCTTCCTCCAACTTTGCCAGCGCCCATTCACCAAATTGGAAACGTGGCTTCAATTCTTGCACCATCTGTATCACAAGCTTCCGAATAGCTCCCTCAGTAGGCCGACCAAATTGCCCATAAATTGGAAGCAGTGCTCGATGCACTCTCTTAACCGAGCATGAATTTTGATAGTAAAATTCAATAATTTGCAAGCGTTGTTCGTTCGTAAGTCGATTCATGGTTAAATTTAGACCAAAGTGAACAAGTTTGACAATGACACAAGACACGATTCACGCGTCATCTGTCAAAAACAGTGTTGCCAAAATGATACTAGCAAAAAAATCACCCATAAGGCTTCCTCTCGGAAAAATGTTTTATACGAAATTTGTATAGTACTATACAGGGTGGCCGATATGTAACTGACTGGTTTGTATCTTGAATGCTTGTGAAATGAAATAAAATACGTCAATTTTTTCCATCTGAATCTTGGAAATTATGTATGAAAAATATCAGACAAATGTCCGCCTCTAGAAGCGGCGCAAACCTGAGTCCTCTTGATTACGTTTTGCATCAGTTTTTGGGAGGAATATTTTCAATCGTTTCCGTAATATTGTTCTTCAGCTGCTCTACAACGATTGGACCTTGCGCATGGGCCATCAAAGCGGAGCCGCGGCCAACATTTACATGAAATAATCTTTCAACATTAAATTATATCAACCGTTCTATCGACTCAAATAAAGGTTTAATCGTTTTTTCAAATTTGTTGTTTTTTTTTTTAAATCAAATCCTATAACTCTTAAAAAATCACCCGTTAGTTGCAACCTTCCTTTAATTTTGGCAAAAATAAGAGCCATTTTGCGTGATTTACTTACTAAGCGGCTGGCAGTCAGGAAGAAATTTATGTCCGATTGTCTCGCTAGTTGAACTGAACTATTATTACATACTGCGTAAAAAGTGGAGCAATTGTCTATTTTGACTGGACTAACGTAAGTAAACCGTTTGCCTCACCTCTTAATGTCTTCAGCTAACATTAGTGCACTCGAGCTTTCGACTAGTTTAGAATGTGCATCTTGCAAAAAGTTGTGTCCTTTTTTAGTGACGTGCACCAAGTGGTTTCCAAAGTCATCAAATGGCGTTTTTTCTAAATATCTTTCAGATAACAACATGTCACCTGAAAAAAAAAACAAATTGCTTCAAGGCTTCAGTACCGACGTCATTTCATAATATTTTTGGCAGAGAACAACATATGCTTATTTGCTAGAGAGTTATTGGTGAAATAATTTTTATACTTAGAGCTAACCTAATTCTCTCCACCACGTATCGCTTTTATCTTTCCCTGAACCGCACAGTGGACTATCACAAAACCTGTGAAACTTCTTTTCCTTACTACCGCGAAGAAATGTTATGTAGCTCACCATACCGAAGCGTCCTTCCAATTCGTACACGACAGCGAGAAATTTTTTAGCGTGGTGTGTCAAATCGAAATTGCCGTCGACGTCAGGTCCTATATCATTCATGCCGAGTTCAACATTAATATTGCTGAAAATATAAAATATTCACCGATAACGTGTTATTACATAACTTAAAAAGTGTCACACCTTGTCCAATAGGGACGCAGGAAAGTAAACATCAATTTGACATAGACGCCATCTTTGTTTTCTGTCACCGACATGTCATTTTGTTAGTTGAATGTTTACCATTGATCGCTATGGAGTCGTATTCGATTGAACACCGCATTAAAGTTATTCAAGAGCACTACAAAAATGGTGCAAAAATAAAAAACACGTTTCGCGCACTTCGTGAACATTTCGGTCGCAACAACCGCCCAAACGAAACAACCATCGGTCGTCTGGTGCGTAAATTCGAGGCAACAGGTTCTGTGGCAAATCTGCCAGGCTCTGGCCGGCCAAGGAGCGTTCGCACACCGGAAAATATTGCTGTTGTGAAGGAGAGTGTGAGAGACGATCCGAAACAATCAACAACGCGTCGATCCCAAGAATTGGGCATTTCGAGAACCAGTTTGCTCCGCATTCTCCACAAGGATTTGAATGTACACGCCTACAAGATCCAATTGACGCAAGAGCTGCGTCGGGCCGACCATTTTTCGCGCAGAACGTTCTCAGATTGGCTCCTTGAACACCGCCAATTTTTCATCAAAAATCATGTCCAGCGACGAAGCGCATTTCACTTTGAATGGGACGGTAAACAAGCAAAACTGCCGCATCTGGGCGAACGAAAATCCCCGTGAGTATCAAGAGCAGCCGATGCATCCTCAAAAAGTGTCTGTGTGGTGTGCATTGTGGTCAAAAGGCATCATCGGACCTTACTTTTTCGAAAATGCGGCCGGGGACGCCGTTACCGTCAATTCTGAGCGATATCACGTGATGATAGAGGACTATTTTTTGCCGCAACTTGAAGGAATGGATATGGACGATGTTTATTTCCAACAAGACGGTGCGACATGCCACACAACCGACGTCAATATCCATCGATTGCAGTCCTTCTTCGGTGATCGCGTGATTTCGCGCAGAGGAAATGTGCCATGGCCACCAAGATCGTGCGATTTGACTCCCTTGGACTTCTTTTTATGGGGATATTTGAAAAGCAAAGTCTACGTCAACAAACCAGCCACCCTCCAAGAACTCAAAAACAACGTCATTGCCGAAATAAATGCCATAGAACCGACCATGTTGCAAAATGTCATTGAAAATTTCGACCATCGCGTTGGGCGTCTGTAAATCCAGTCGTGCTGAACATTTGAGCGATATTATTTTTCATACATAAATGGTATAAATGAACCTTCAAAATAAAGTACCCAACTTGATTTGAATATCAATCTTTCTTGTTTTAATATGCGTTTACTTTCCTGCGTCCGTTTTGGACATCCCCTTATAAAAATATTGTTAAGAATGTATTCGTTATTCTGAATATCATATCGCCGAGTCCGTAGAAGATGCTATCAGATACAGGGTGTACTTTTTTTCGGGCCGTATAAAAAAATAGAGTTGATGATGAACAGTCGGGCACAAAATTTAAAAACAGCATTATGTAGCGCTTAAAAAGAGACAATGGAAAAGCTTCATTAGTTTTTTAATATGCCTTATAATAAAGTCTGAAAAAAATAAATACCATTTGGGCAAATTTTGGTTTTTCCCAAATACCTCAGTAAACCATAACTTCTTCACAAGTTTCTCAACAATACGCCCCAAAAAACGCAGATCTTTCCTCCATAGGTATTGAGATCTCCATGAATAGGATCCTTATTTTGTATACATACTTTGTTATGCAGCCCAAATTCTTCGGAACAGGTACATCTGGATACATCATAGCAACATCAGACGTCGAAGATAATTTTATAGTAATTTCTTCCAATTTTACGTCTTCCAGCTCAATAGACGTATTGATGTATTCTTGTTCCGGCATGGTATTTGAATTCGAAGCTGCTTCCTCCACTTTTTCATCGAGAAGATCAATTGTAAACTTATCTTCTGGCTCTGTCTTAAAGTCGGAATTTTCTTTCATTTCATCGCTTTTCAGAGAGAAGATTGAAACGTATTTAAAATCCTCGAAGTCCGTATATTGTAACCCAAGCTCTTTCAGGTGTTCTCTTATTTTAACATAGTTCACGACTGCTTTAATTTCATCATACGTAATCTCCTCGGGACAATTAGCTTTGATGTGCAATAACTCATCCATTCCTCCTTTCTTGATTGCATCGAGTACGATATTTGCGTTATCCTTGGATACGTAATTAGACAATTTGATAGGATATCCCCACAACATACAATCGCGTATGTGCTCTTTTACTGTCGTAAGGCCCAAACACCTACAAAGAAAAATAATGATAATTACGCTGCAAAAACTGCAAAAAACCAAATAATATTAACCCAGATAGACCTAGCGTACAATTTATGGTACACCGTAAACAAGTCGCGACCTGCAACGACCTATGCTTATTTTGACGCGGTAAGCCTTAGTAAATCGTAACGTGCGATTGGGTGTTATCGTTGTATTGAGATTTTTTTGCGATATAACGCCAAATTACTTATGTTATTATTTCGGATTCACAATTGCGTCATTATATTTGAGTGTGCAAAATATTGTACGCCAGGAAAATACACGCCTGTTTCATTTTTAGGGGCTTTTCTCTGGAGGAAGCCCTTGCTATGCTGGAGGATAATGAAGATGTAGTAGCAAATGTGGATAATATCACATTGATGTCTCCAATCAATGCTACAGACGAGGACTCGATGAGAATGTAATGTCAACTGACAATCTACCGGGTTCACAATTACAAGCACCTGCTGAGATAAACGTACCTCATGAAAAATTTAGCATATCTTCATCTGATTTCAAATATAATATTCCATTGTCTGAATTGGCTAAAAAAATAAAAAATAAAAAGCTAAAGAAACGAAAAACGAACAAATGGGATCTACCACAAGAAGTTCCAGGAAACTTCGAAGAAATTCTTGAACAAAATAATTCTTCTAAGACTCCACTTGAATGGTTTTCACTTTTTTTTGACGGCGAACTTATAACACGCATAACAACTGAAACAAATAGATATGCCAGGCAAAAGAATCGCCAACAAGAGGTGCAAGAGTATGAAATACGGGCATTTATTGGAACACTAATATTGAGTGGTTATGTCGATGTACCACGTAGAAGAATGTTCTGGGAACGTGGAAGAGATGCTAATAATCAACTCGTCACAGAAGCGCTTACACGAGATAAATTTGAGTATATTATGTCAAATTTCCATTTAGTAGATAACTACAATTTACAGCAAGGAGATAAGTTTGCAAAAGTTAGACCTTTATTTGCGAGCCTGAATCAAAAATTTATGGAACATGGAATTTTGACAGAAATGCATACTGTAGATGAGGCAATGGTTCCTTATTTTGGGAGACACTCATGCAAACAGTTCATTCACGGAAAACCTATCGATACGGCTATAAATTATGGGTTGACGCATCAAGACTAGGCTACGTTTACTGGGTTGAACCTTACCATGGGTCGTCAACCAACATTAGTAAGAATTATGCAGATTTGGGGGTTGGTGCTGGTGTGGTATTAGAGTATAAAAATTTCATTTAGTTTTCGACAATTTTTTCACTTCTCTCCCTCTTATAATAATTATAATAATAATAATATTTATTCACTCAATGTACAAAGATAACAAACAATATGAGTAAATAAATATAAAATCAAAACAGGCCCAATAGAAGGCATCGCCTGTACATAGACCAATAATTTAAGTTGAAACTGTAGAATGCAAATGACAAAAAAGGACAAAAATTAGCTACAGTAGATTATGTATTTAGTTGATGTTCGTATTTTATGGGTTTATGAATTTCAGTCCTAGATATAGAATGTAGCCACTTTTTTAAATTTCTTTTGAAACAATATCCGAAACGTAAATCTTTTAAGTCTTTAGGTATAATTTCATAAAATTTAGGCACTAAATAGAGATATGATCGCTGCATTATAGATTTATGCGGTTGAGGAACTACTGTGCCACGAATTTTGTACCTGGTATAATGATTATGTTTAATTTTTTGGTCGGTGTTTACAAATTTATGGTAGTGAGTGATACTGTGTAAGAAATAAAGCTGTCTTATATCATACATTCGAACATCTGCGTATAATTTTTCACTGGGATAAAGTTTCAGTTTTTTAAATATCATTTTTAGAATACTTTTTTGAAAAACATCTAAATTATAGATATGTGAGGAACATGCAGCTCCCCATGCTAATATACCATATGTGAGATGAGGCTCAATCAGTGCATGGTATAATGTTCGAAGATATTTTTCTGTCAATATATTCCCAAGGTATTTAATTTTGTAGGATGCAAATCTAACTTTCTTTAAAATATAATTGACATGGATGTCCCATCGTAAGTGAGGATCCAAGACCACTCCAAGGTATTTTATGTTGGGCACTCTATTAATTTGCATTTTTTGATAATTAATATTGAAGGAGAAATTTGTGTAATTTGGCAGATGTCTAGCATAAGATCCAAATGGTAAAAAATGTGTTTTAGAGTAGTTAATGCTTAATTTTCTACTGTTAAACCACCGAATAATTTTGATAAAATCATTTTCAATTACATTTTTCAGATCAGACCAGTCAGTGCCTTCATATAATGTTGCAGTATCATCTGCAAAACTAGTTATTTTGCCAACACAATTAATTTGGAAAATATCATTTAAATATATATAGAATAACAGCGGACCTAAGACAGTAGCCTTCCACCACTTACGTGTCAGGATGGAACTATTGTATTCGACTCAAAGGCCAAGGCGGAAGTGCTAGCCAAGATCTTTGCTGCCAACTCCACCATGGACGTCCCCACCAACGCCCAAGTGCCGTCAATTCAAAGGGTTCCCCACACTATGCGGGAGGTAACATTCAGGCATAAGACCGTAAGACGAGTGCTCTTGTCGCTCGACACCAACAAAGCTTCTGGTCCGGACTTGATTCCTGCCATTGTACTGAAGAGATGTGCAGCTGAGCTTGCTCCAGTCCTTTCGCGTCTCTTCCAGATATCTTATGAATCCGGCACCTTCCCAGAAAACTGGAAATTTGCTCATGTACAGCCCATCCCAAAAAAAGGATCTAAAACCGACCCTTACAACTACAGGCCTATAGCTCTGCTTTCTGTTATAAGTAAAGTGATGGAGAGGTGCATAAATCGCGAACTTCTGGACTACCTCGAACGTCACAGCTTGATTAGCGACAGGCAGTACGGTTTCCGGCACCAACGATCCACAGGGGACCTCCTAGCTTACGTCACGCAACTGTGGAGTAAACTCATCCAGTCTCATGGTGAGGCTCATGTCGTTGCTCTTGACATCACGAAAGCGTTCGATCAGCTGTGGCACGCTGCCCTCTTGAGCAAACTTCCATCCTACGGCCTCCCAGAAAAGCTTTGCAGATGGGTGGCTGACTTTCACTCTGGCCGCAAGATATCCGTCGTAATTGACGGATTCTCCTCTTCATTCCACAACGTCAACGCGGGTGTTCCCCAGGGGTCGGTCTTGGCTCCAACACTGTTTCTCTTACATATCAACGACCTCCTTTCCTGCACGATCAACCCAATCCACAGCTTCGCTGATGACAGCACTCTGCATGCAGGGATTCAGAGTGACAAGCCGATCTCTGCCACTGAGCTGGAAAAAAGAAGACTAGCGACGACTTCTTCTCTGACAAGAGACCTGGAGGCTATCACTGCTTGGGGACGCAACAATCTTGTACAGTTCAATGCTTCCAAAACACAGTACTGTACTTTGACGAACAAAAAGCGTCCTAGCGCTCATACAGTTTCGATGGACGGTCGAGTTCTACCAAAGAGCCATTCATTTCGGCTGGTCGGAGTCCAGATCACCGAGGACCTGATCTGGCACGAACACATCTCTTCAATAGCTGCAGCTGCTGGGAAAAAGCTAGGCTATTTGTTTAGGGCTAAGAAGTACTTTTCTCCGCATGACCTTCTCACTTTATACAAGGCCCAGATAAGGCCTAGCCTCGAGTATTGCTCACACATTTGGGGTGCTGCCGCCCCGACTACATTGTCCATGCTCGATGCTGTCCAGAGGAGGGCGATCCGACTGATCGATGACTCTTCCCTAACAGACAGTCTCGGGACTCTTTCGCACCGGCGGGCCGTCGGCGATCTAGCTCTTTTCTATCGCTACACCAACGGGCTTTGCTCCTCAGAGCTCTCTTCCATGATGCCGCCGCGCGATGTGCCTTCCAGACAGACCCGCCTGACTTCGGCGTCCCATCCTAACCGTGTCAAACTTTGTACATCCATAACTGGCCGATATGACCGCTCCTTTGTCCCGAGGGTGTCTAGATTGTGGAACAATCTACGGGAGGAAGCTTTTCCCAGTTCTACTAACCTTAGGCAGTTCAAAAATCGTATTAACAAAATTTCTTTGGGATCATCATAGCAGCCGCGGTGTTCCGGCATTTAGGCTTCTGCCTGCGCGGCTGTTTCGATATAAAAAAAAAAAAAAAAAAGTTCCTTGTGGGACACCACACTTAATATACATTTCTTTACTAAATGATCCTGATATCTGCACAGATTGTGGGCGATTTGACAAATAACTTTCGATCAGTGAGTACGCGTTTCCTCTGAAACCAATTCTCTCCAATGCTTCTAATAATAATTTGCGATTAACTGTGTCGAAAGCTTTCTTTAAATCAACAAAAATGCAGATTGAAGGGTTTCTGTTATCAATATTTTGATGTAATTGATTTACAATTTTAGTTATTGCGTCCGATGTAGCCTTCCCTTCTGTAAATCCATATTGATTTTCACTTAAAATTTTGAATTTTGTGAGGTATCGAATCATTCTAGTAGATAAAACTTTTTCAAAAACCTTTGCTACACTGGATATTATTGATATTGGTCTATAGTTGTTAACATCTGTTTTTGTTCCTGATTTATGTATCGGTATTATATTACCTTTTTTTAAAATTGAGGGATATATGCCAGATTCAAAGCATTTGTTGATTAGGTAAGTGAGTGGTTCTGTTATGTCCTCGGCTATAATTTTCAAATGCTCGCTTTTAATACCATCGAACCCAGGACTTTTCCGATTTTTTAAGGACATAACAGTGGTGTATACTTCACATTGCTCGACTTTATCCAAAACAAATGAGTTCAAAGTTCTTTTTGGAGGCTGAGTATTTTGTACATTTGCTTGTATATTACTTGCTAAATTTTCGCCTATGTCAGTAAAGAATTGTACAAATTCATCGCATATCTGTTGAGTATTTTTTAATACTGTTCCCGATGTTGTATTTAACTCAGTGACACACTCTTTAAATTTTGTTTTCCCAGTAATCTCATCAATAGTTGTCCAAAGCCGCTTAGGATCATTTAAGTTATTATTCAATTTATTTAGGTAATGTTTTCGTTTGGTTTGCCTCTCTAAATTTATTTTTATATTGGTTGTAGCAGTCGGTATTCTCTGTAGTTGGCATTATGGTAAAATTGACAGAAAAAAATTTCTTTGCGACTGGTACTGCTAGAGAAAATCGTTAACAAGGCGTCCAATCCAGAGATTCTAAAATTATGAAAAGGGAAAAAACAGGTAGTTACGATTACAACAACATTTTCGATACAAACATAATTGCAGTAAAATGGCATGACAATAATTTAGTAACACTCTGTTCAAATGTCGCAGGATTGCAACCAATTCGCTTTGTAAAGCGATACTCTCAAAAGGATAAAAAAAGTATTCAGGTACGAAACACAATCTTCAAGAAAATCAATGTTTTCAAAAATGCTTTTGATTTTAGGCAGAACAGCCTCATCTTGTAAATGTATACAACGCAAATATGGGCGGCATTGATCGTTGCGATCAAAATATTGGTCTGTATCGCATTTCCATCCGGGGTAAAGTGGTATTTTTCATTGATCAGCCACTGTATTGATATGGCTGTTCATAATTCCTGGCAACTTTATAGATCGCACGGAGGACATATGGATCAATTATTATTTAGACTGCGGCTTGCCACAGCCATGTTACAACAAAACAAGAAACGGCTATCTTTTTGAATATATAGATATTCTGTATGCTCGTTTAGATCATTTTGTGATACCACAAGAAAAGCCAACTAGATGTGGCTTATGTCATGATAGAGCAAAAACAAGGTGCTCTAAGTGCAATGTAGGGATGCATGTAAAATGTTTTTTGTCCTCCCATACTAAACTTTAATGTTCGCCTGTGTGCCTAGTGTACCATATTTTGTACGTCATTTTTTACACTTTTTCCTAAAATAAAATTAAAAAAATAATAAATTTGTTTAATATATGCTTCATATAGAATGAATTTACAGAGAACATACTTTATTATAATTTATTTGAGTTGTAGGCATGTCTGGGTTAACCCTGACAATGGTTACTTCTACGCGGAAGAAAATAGAACTGGCTCCTTGACAGATCGACGTTTTTCCAAATAAAAAATGTAACCGAACGTGCTAAATAAATGTTTCTACTAATACTACTAGGAATAAATGATAAAGTGACAACTATTTCTTGTTAGCTTTACCTTTTATCCGCTATTTGTTCACAACTAAGTCCACTGCTGAAGTACTCGTATGATGCAATAGCAGAATTCGTGAGTCGTTTTGCAGACGGTAACGGATTTGACTTCAGTATATCCATCAGATCTGTTCCCAAGGATGTACTTGCAGAGGTTACCGTTTCTTTGCGTTTCATAATCAGAAATTTCTTTGCGAATTCTGCTGTTACTTTTAAAAACATCGGCCCATATTTCCGCAGCTTATTTTGCGTAAAACCATGCACTGCAAAACAAGGTTTTGTTATGTTTGTGTTATACATCCAATGTCTAGTTGATCATATGACAAAATTCTCCCAAATGTGATCATCATGAACCCAAAATATATCGAAAACGAAACAGACGCATTTACTGGCAGCTCAGTTTTTCTTGGAAAAACGCTCAGACCCGTCGATTTTGTTTTCGAGGGGGACACAAGTTTGGCAAAAAATCACGTTAACACGTGCAGCCTCCTAAGCGGGGGTGACACCACCCCCAAAATCTTAAATGGAAAGGGGGGTCGGGTGACACCTTATTTTAAAGGTCTTTCAATTCCCTTTATAATGATATAAAATTACTGTACTTCAGTTCAGTAGTTTTGAAGATTTATTGATTTAAAGCTTAAATAAAACTAATACATCAATATTCGAGGAGTAATTTGAAGGCACTCATCCACAATTCTTTGTCGCAGGTCTTCTAATGATGTTGGCTGAGTAGCATAGATTTTGCTTTTTAAATGACCCCACATAAAGAAATCCAAAGGTGATAAATCTGGCGATCTTGGGGGCCATTCAATGGCACCTCTTCTACCAATCCATCGATCTGGAAACGTCTGATCTAAATATTGTCGAACACGTAATGCGTAATGTGGTCCAACTTCAACCTATTCGCAATGTACCGCCGATCATTCTGATTTTCAATTAAGGCTGTTAATGCAGGATCGATGGCGTTTTCCAGTAATTCCAAATACATTTCACTGGTCAAAATCGCCAAAAATACCAGCCCAAACATTTAATTTTTGTGGCTGCTGTGTATGAACCTCATGATAAATTCTGGGATTATAATCGGACCAATATCGGCAGTTATGACTCCCACTTCTATTGCTTCGTTCCTTATGGGATTTTCAATGTTGCGTTTTTTATTGACGACTGACCCAGTTTCCCGAAATTTAGCTACCAGTTCTAGAACATATTTTCGATGCACGTTACTGTTCTCATGTCGCTCATTAAATATTTCTGCTGTTCTATCAGCGCACTGATTATTTCCGAAAAATATTTCGATAATTTCAACTCTTTCTGCTGTGGAATATACCATGGTTAATTTATGTAATAAAGCGTTACAAGTTATTTTAGCAACAAAGTTTGGTCAAATCAATCGCAAACTATGTACTAAATTCCTATTTAAAATAAGTGCGCGATATTCCCTTATCTTTCTTCAGGAAATAACTCTTTTGCCACAAAAAAACGCTCCAATAGCTATTTTCAACAACAAAATGATAAACAAACCATGGGCGTAGTGAAGAAAAGCATTTACTTATTAAGTAAATTCTTTTAGTCAAATTTCTTCTGAAAGTAGTACAAACTAATCTGATGTACTTATTAAAGTCTACTTTAAGCTTTAAATCAATAAATCTTCAAAACTACTGAACTGAAGTACATTAATTTTATATCATTATAAAGGGAATTGAAAGACCTTTAAAATAAGGTATCACACGACCCCCCTTTCCATTTAAGATTTTACTGTTGGTGTCATCCCCGCCGAGGGGGCTGCACGTCTTAACGTCTTACTGAGCTGCCAGTAAATGCGTCTGTTTCGTTTTCGATGCGCCACCGTGTATTTTTTGCTGAAGTGCAATACTTGCCGCTTCAAAAGAAAATGAGAAAAAGGCTCCAAGGGTACAAAATATTGAAAAGCAGATTAGGAAAGACATAACATTTAATTGTGGAGTTCGTAAATTCCTGGGGATTCAGAGACGTGCACTGCCGACCACAAGGAATGAAAAATATGCCTGATATTTTACAACAGTTCTTTCAGAAAGAACTATGACTATACATTTAAAAAAAACATACTTTATTTCCAATAAAATATGACCATAAACAAATCCAGATAGTCGATCAAAGTAGATACTTGGGTTTAATACCAGACAAAATTTAAAGAAGAGTGCATACACACAGGTCCTAGTCCTAGGATGTTTACCCCAAAATTCAACTATTTTCCCATTTTTTTAACAAAAACTATCTACATACTCTCTACCATGCTCTTGTTCACCCTACTCTATCATATGGTAAACTAGCCTGGGAAGGAATTATGAACAATTCCTATAAAAAAATTGAAATCGCACAGAAGTGGAGACCAACACTGATCCTTGATAAGGAGATTACATATCCAACCGATAATCTTTACTTAGGAACTCAACCCCCAGACGTTAGACAAATCTACTTTTACAGTGGATTGAAGTACCACATTAAAAACAAGATGCATCTAAATCCTATCAAACAAGGTTTAAACAAAATTCAGTATCTGTGCTAAAATCTATAAAAACGATCGGTCAACGGTCTTCTCTTTTTAGGCTCAAAATTTTTCAATCATATTCCGGCATCAATAAAAATTATTAAAACATCAAAAAGTCTTATAAACCACATCAAGTGATGGATTATACAGGAACCAAGGAACTTATAGACATTAAAAATCGTTATTAAACTCAAAGCAATTTATGTACAGTAGCGGACAAAGGTTTGGAAACAAATATTAACATTATTATGAATTCAAATTATGAAGGAACAGATCATATAAATAATATAATAATATAATTCTTCCGTACTAATACAAGGTTTATCTTACCAATATTCAAATTCTCAAAATACCACAGTTTTTGTAACGACAAAAGTACGGAAACATTTCAGTTTTGCCGTATTTATTCGTTCTGCGATACTCTGATATTGGGTGCGGTAAATACAGCAGACGCTCGTAAACACGGGATAATGAAAATTTGCGCTAATGTAAACACAAACTTCGTTCTATAGGATCAAACGGAACGCGCGATGACGTAAACAATGTGTACGCTCGATAACGTAAACAACTCTCGGCGCACGGAAACAGCGCGACGGTAAAATGCTGAAGCCTCGATGATTTATGTCGGGCGTCGGGGAGTCCTTGATTTATGATGTAGAGTGTAGGGGATTCACCTCTGCGATAAAATACGATAAACTCGGTCAGTTGTATGATCGTTTAGGATACGTTTATACGTACGTATGTATTTGATTTTTGAACTTAAGTGAATACATTGCACGCGTTAATATATTTTACGACTATGGCATCCACATCCTATAAAAGAAAGTGTTTAAAGTTGAGTGAGAAAGTGAAAATCATAGACGAAGTTGCACTAGGTGCGGGAGTGACACAGTTAGCAAAAAAATATGGAGTATCGAAAGCAACAATCTGTAAAATTAAGCGTATGAAAAATAAAATTTTACAAAGAACGTGCAATACATTTGGAGGTCCGGGAAAAAGAAAAAATTTAAAAAATGCGAAGGCACCTAAAATGGAAACTTCCCTGTATAAGTGGTTTTTAAAACAACGGAAAATCATGTCCCAGTTAGTGGCGAAGTACTTAAACAGAGAGCGAGACTGTTAAATGAAAAACTGAAAGAAACTGAAGATTTCGTAGCTAGTGATGGCTAGCTACAACGATTCAAAACAAGATTTGAAATTCGACTGCTGTCTATATCTGGTGAAAAATTATCAGCACAACCACAATTAGTGCAACCATTCAAAGAAAAATTGATGAAAACAATTACCGAGCTAGATTTAAGAATGGAACAAATTTACAACGCAGATGAAAGTGGCCTTTATTGGAAAATGTTACCAGAGAAAACCTATGCTGCATCATTTGAAAAATCTGCCCCGGGAAGAAAGCCGGAGAAACAACGAGAAATGTTTCTAGCCTGCACTAATGCTAATGGTTCACACAAAATAAAGCCACTGGTAATTGGGAAAGCAAAAAATCCGCGCTCATTTAAAAATGTTAATATCCCTGTTGATTATGACTGTTCAAAAACCGCTTGGATGACTAGCAGTATATTCCTGAAATGGTTCCACAGGTGCTTTGTCCCTCAGGTATGACAATCAATTATCACAAATGCTCTATTCATAATTTGAAGATGTGTTTTCAATTTGTAGGTAAAAGGTTTCCTAAAACAACAGAAGCTTCCAATAAAAGCGTTGTTACTATTGGATAATGCACCAAGTCATCCTCCCGAGCAACAACTGAGGAGCAGGGATGGGTCAATTTTCGTCATTTACATGCCGCCCAACGTAACACCGTTAATTCAACTGATGGACCAGAATATAATAAGACTCGCCAAACTATACTATAGGAAGTTTCTACTTTCGTCTGTCTTATCAAAGAATCCTGAAAACTTATCTGAGGCTTTAAAAAAAGTAACATTACGAGAAGCTGTTTTAGATTTACATATGGCCTGGAATGAACTTAACCAGCAAACTATTCAAAAATGTTGGAACAATCTCTTTTGTACCAATAATGAAGATGAAGAAGAAGACGATGTCCCCTTAAGCGTAATTAGAGAACGTTTGCGATCCAATAATGATAATGTTATTAGTGTGTCATTGGATGTTGTTGATTTATTGAAAACACTGAATCCCAACATTGTTTGTACTCCTGCTGATATTAATTTATGGAACGAAGATAAGCAGACGAATGATGCTGATAAGGAGGAGGATATGGACAGTGAGGATGATGAGAACGATCCCATTGAAGTCAGAAGTGTAGTGACTGACGCGCAAGCTATACAAGTTTTTAACCAAGCTTTTGATTGGGCTGAAAGAAAAGAAGTTTCATACACGGATATTTTAGTTCTTCGTAAATTACGGGCACAGGCATTGGAAGACAATGCTGAGCGCAAATTTACGCAGACAAAAATTGTAAATTATTTTTCTTCTAATTAAAAAAATACTTATCGCTGTTAGAATATTTGTTTATTTTGTTATAAATAGTATGTATTAAACGTTTCTTTTAATAAATCAAATATTATATAAATCACGTTCGCTAATGTAAACATTTCGATAATGTGAACCACACCTGAATTAAATTAGTTTACATTATCGAGCGTCTGCTGTATTAACATCAGTGAGAATGGCAAAAGTAAAAGGATTTTCAAAAGATTTAAGAGACAACGTAATTGATTTATTCAGAAGTGGTGACATCTCTCAAAGATTAAAAATGAACAAAGGGACGATTTTGAAAATTATTAGTAAATATCACGAATACGGATCAACAGCAACGCGGCGCATGTGCGGAAGACCGAAAACGCCGATTATGTTTTGGATCGCTACATTAAACATTTGTCCCATGAAGATCCTCGAATGACAACCACGCAGATTTTCAAAAGAATCGTAGAAGAGGGTGCCGAGCATCTTTTTGTTAGAACAGTGCAGAGACGCTTGGTGAATTTTGAGCTTTTTGGTCGGCGTCCAGTGCAAAAGCCTCGCATTGAAAAAAAATCGTATTACTCAGCTTGAATTTGCTAAAACTCATCTAACTTGGACAGAACAACAATGGAATACAGTTTTTGGAGCGATCAAAGCAAATTTAACTTGTTTGGATCTGACGATTCGGCATATGTGAGATGTCCAATACGAAAAAAATTCGATAAAAAGTATCAGTTGCCAACAGTTAAGCACGGTGGAGGCAACGTCATGGTTTGGGGTTGTTTTTCTAGTTCTGGAACGGGTCCAATTGTTAAAATTGTTGGGAAAATGGATCAAAAACTTTACACAGATATTCTTAGTGAACACATGCTCCTTTTTGTTGAAGAAGAAATTCCTTTACGATGGACTTTTCAGCAAGATAACGACCTCAAAATTCGTAAAAGTCTGGTTAAGACTAAAAAATGTTAATTTTCTTACATGGCCTTCGCAATCCCCGGACCTAAACCCTATAGAACGTCTCTGGGAGAATGTTAAAAGACAACTGACAAGACAAACTTTTAAAAATAGGAACCATTTATTTGATTGTGTAAAAAATATTTGGCAAAATATCCCAACAAACGTCTGTAAAAAAATTGGTGTCTTCTATGAGCAGCACATGCCAGGCAATGTTGAATGCTAAAGGCTATGCTTCCAAATATTAGCTGAACAGTATTTTTTTAAGTTATTGTATTTAATTTTGTAATAAAAAATGTTTCCACACTTTTGTCGCCTCTTTATGAAGGTATTTTAATGCTAGTCTGTAGTACCATAGCAAACACTAATTGTCATTTGTATCCTCAATACTGTAAGCAAACTATAGGAGGAAAAATAGTCCTTAGTAATAAAGAATAAAAAATTGGCGCAGTTTTTAAAAATTACTAAGAATGTTTTCAAACTTTTGACCGCTACTGCATATCACATCACCGCATATTTATGTTTAAACTGCATTTAGGGAAAATATTCTAAACACAATTAATTTTATATCAAAAATTGTCTGAATAATTTAGCCGCATGTTACACCTAGAAAAATACAATTTTTTACACTCAACTACATTATTTAACGTTCGTGTAGTTACCGGTTTGTACTTTTTGGTATTCTCATGTAGCACAAGGTCAAACTTCGGTAGGTATTGTACGTTTATTATAACATAACGACTTTGTGCACGATATTCCAATAAATATTATTATTTCATACTCACATTTCAGGTCCTTCAATTGCTGCAAATTTTCTGGAGCTGCATCAGACATAGCTAACAGTGCTTTATTTGAAGCAATCATGTATGGAGCACAATCTTCGATATCGGCTAGTTCTTGCCTCTTGTTGACCAACTCACAATACAACTTCGGGTTTATTGAGGACGACTGTGTTTGGGTCAAACATTGCGTTAAATCTACTTCTGCTGACGTACTGGGTCGACCTCTATTTGTAAGAATCATAATCCTGCCTTTTTGTGTTGTATCTTGACTTATTTTGCCGTATTTGTCCTTGGATAGCCAAGCATCGCTGTAAAGAAACGATAATCGCAGCTCATCAGTTGAGGTATGTTTTACGTATAGTGTAATTTTTTTTTCTAACTGACAATGATAGAATAGTATACTCAGTATTCTAAAGTCGTAAAAAAGCCACGCTGCCTCACCTCTTGAGTTCGAAATCGGCTAACATTGGTATAGTCGGCTGTTCGATTAGTCTGGAATGCACTCCTTGTAAAAATTTGTTTCCTTCTCTAGTGACATCTACGATATATTTTCCAAATTCGAACGACGTTTGGGCTAGATATTTTTTATTTAACAACATTGTACCTGGAAGAGCAAATTATCAAACCGGGCATTCGGATATTTCAAATGATCCAAGGCTGTTGAATCATAGACATAATTATATCAAAACTTCCAAGGTAAAATGATAACGAACTACTCAATAACATGTGAAAAACAAATTTTTGTTTATATTTCGGTGTTCATTCAAATCCTTTAAGTGGAAAAAATATGTGATTTTGTAAAGCGAAAAATATCATACGGAAATCTCCGCAATGTGGGTTCTATTCGACAGAGAAATACGAAGGATTATTAGCATAAAAACCACACGATAAGTTTCAGACGTTACATATCAACGACCTCCTTTCCTGTACGATCAATCCGATCCACAGGTTTGATGATGACAGCACTCTACATGCAGGATCAGACTGTAAGAATACAACTGCAAAGTGACTCATCTTTTGGTCTACCAATTTAAGATACGTTTACTTAAAAAGCTTTATAAACCTGTTGACTGATAAAATTATTTCTAGGAACTCACCTAACTCCTTCCACCAAGTTTTGCTTTTATCCTTCCCTGAACCGAACAAAGGACTATCGCAAAATCTGGAAAACTTCTTTCCATTTTGACCGAGAAGGAAAGTCGCGTAGCTGACCATGCCGTATTGTCCCTGCAATTCATTCACAACGGCGAGGAATTTTTTCGCATGGTCTGTAAAATTGAATTTACCCTCGTCATCGAGTTCCTTATATTCATTTACTCTGGATTCGGCACCAATGTTACTGAAAACAGTTTCAAGATTATATCAAATCAAAATGAGAGTGAGATTTTGTCTAAAAGGTTGCTTAATGAATTTTGGAGCAAGAATATTAATCCTGATAAATTACTGTTTAAAATATGGCGAATTTCCAACAAAACTGAAGTGTTCTACCATAACTCATGTTTCGAAAGTTGAGAATTCTGAGTTGTACGACAATATGCGGCCAATAAATGTTCTGCCAGATGTTGGAAAGGTCTTTGAAGAAATTATTTACGAGGGAAATAAAATGTTAACCAAATATCAAGCAGAATTCAGGAAGAAACACTTTTAGAGGACTGGAACATACAGTGACCGTGTTTTTGGACTTCAAACTATTTACAGGGATAAATTACTTACAAAATTGCATGACTATGGATTTAAAGGATCTGAATTCAAAGTTCTACAAAACTACTTAATTGATAGAAATCAAAAAACCAAAATTGGATCCACATAATCAAGTTCAAAAAATATTTCTGTTGGTGTACCACAGGGTGGTAAACTAGGTCCACTACTATTTATTTTATACATTAATGACATTTGTAGTGTTTTTGCAGATTAATATACATATCAGATGAAAATATAGACACTGCTTTAAAAATGCTAAATTCTAACTTGGCAAAAATCATTAATTGGTTAAATGTGAATAAACTAAAACTCAACTGATAAAACAAAATATATGCTAATAGGAAAATATCTAAATGAAAATACTATCACAGTTAGGATAAATAGTGAAATAATTGAAAATTTTAAATCAATTAAATATTCAAGTATATATACAGGGTGTCCCAGAAGTCGACGTCAAGCCGAAACCGGGTGATAGGCAAATTCATAACAGCTATCAGAAAAATATTTAAAAAAATTTTATGTATGTGTTTTGAAAATTATAGGTCTTTGAAAAAGATATAGAAATTTCACACACTACGGCAGTCTGTCAACTCCTGTTACTACAAATATTAAATTTTTTTGGATTTTATTTTTACAATGTAATGATGAATAATGCATCTTCAAACTGGTGTCTCAATCTTACTGCCAACTTTACTCGTTCAGGAAAAATTGCCACTTATTTCCCAACCAAGTATTCCAAAGTAAAACTTTGCTCAACTTTAACTGGCTGTACTGGAAAAAAATGTACTACGAGAGTTTGGCAAGTAACCTTAAAAGTTGGCGCATTTAATAACGATTCCAAAATGGTATAACACTTAGAAGATTACTCGTTAACTTATGCACAATTTTTATTTGAAAAAAAACTGATGAAAATTTGGAATCCTTATTAAATGCGCCAACTTTTAAGGTTACTTGCCAAACTCTCGTAGTACATTTTTTCCAGTACAGCCAGTTAAAGTTGAGCAAAGTTTTACTTTGGAATACTTGGTTGGGAAATAAGTGGCAATTTTTCCTGAACGAGAAAGGTTGGCAGTAAGATGCATTATTCATCATTACATTGTAAAAATAAAATCCAAAAAAAGTTAATATTTGTAGTAACAGGAGTTGACAGACTGCCGTAGGGTGTGAAATTTCTATATTTTTTTCAAAGACCTATAATTTTCAAAACACATACGTAAATTTTTTTTAAATATTTTTCTGATAGCTGTTATGACTTTGCCTATCACCCGGTTTCGGCTTGACGTCGACTTCTGGGACACCCTGTATATTAATAGTAAACTAAAGTTTGAGGATCACTACGAATACATTATTTCAAAAAATGACAACAAATCCTTTTATAGGGCTTCTCATAATCTTAATACATATTCCAAAATAGTTTATAATACAATTATTCTACCACATTTACTATATTGTTTAACTATCTTGTTCAAGCTGTATTCTCAAAATTACAAGCTCTGCAGCTATGAGAATAATATTGAATAAAAATAAGTACCCCAAAATAAAATCCGTGTTACAAGAATGGCAGTAGTTAAATATGAAAAAGTTCATATCATATTTGGTTCTTATTTTTATATTTAAAATAAAAAACATCATCTTTTGCCACAACATAATCATTACCATCATTATTATACAAGAGGAAATATAGATTTTCATTTAAAAAATTGCAATAGTAATGTAACTAGCAAATCAATATTTCAGAAAGGATTACTTGAATTTAATAAACTAAATAATGATATAAAGTCTACTAGTCATTTAAAGATTTTTAAAATAAAATTAAAGGAATATTTGATGGACAGTGAAAATTCTTAGAGAAGCAAATTTTGTTTTTCTAACTATCTGAATGTTATATAATTGTTGCAGTTTTTTAGAAGAATGTAATTGTAGCAGTCTTGCTAAATAAATCTTAAAGAAACTCACAAAAATAAATCATACTAGGTTCGTATATCGTCTAACAATATTCTCTGCACTTAATAATGATCAATGAAATATAACAATGGCGCTTGACAACCAAAAAACAGTAGGTCTCATACTTCTTAACTTCACTAAAGCATTTAACACAATTAGAGATTCAGAAGGAAGTTATTTTGAAGGTCACAATATAAAATTGTAATTATATTTAAATAAAACAATTTAGTCTCAACGCTTGATATATAGACCTCGTAACCCATTTTAGAAAATTTTCGCGATTACAATACTTCCCCCGAACGAAATAAAATGACAGCTGTCAATGTACACAGACACCTAATACGATACGGAACAAATGGACAAAGACTTTAAACATTCTAGTCAAAATATAGCTCATAAATGATCATCACTGACAAATTTCACTAGTTTCACTTTATCAGTATGTCGACTGAACTTTATGCCTTTTATTTCTGTCAGTTCCATGAACTGTTAAATTTTTCCTAACAATCCGAGGTAAAGGAGAACACGAAGTGCATATTTAAACCTCAGATTTATCGACAAGTTGTATAGCAAAAGTATTTTTATGTACATACTTTATCATACAGTTATCACAGCAGTCCAGGCGTTTCGGGACAAATACATTTGGATTATCCTCAAAATATGCCATAATAAATTTTCTTCTACAATCAGTAAAATTTACGTATCTTTCAATGATTTCCAAACTCTTTTCCTTTCGTTCTAGTGTATTAGCACCGTATCTTGAATGTTCCCATATTGATCTGAAATAGAAGTAAACTATGAAGGCGTAAATAACAAACTTCATAATATAAAGGGTACTATAAAAGTTTTGCAATATGGCTTAAAAAACGGACGCAAGAGGCTGAATGTTACTGCATGTTGAGACATGTCCATGAGTGCATAGTAGCTGCCAGCAGCACGTCTGATGATTTAGATGTTCATTCGTATTAACAGTGTAAAGTGCGGACTACGGCATCGTGGGATAAAGGCAGTTTTACGGTGTAACTTTACGTGAGGTATAAGCTTAGAAGAATTGAGTCTTGCATTAAAGAACGATCGTACGACTATATTCAGGCGGTACAGAAAATTCCAAAAGGGGAAATTCACTATGGAGGACGCTGAGAGGGAAGGAAGGCCGTGAATGTCAGTAACAGAGGAAAACATTACTGCTGCGAGGAAAATGCTTGCGAAGACCAGAGAGTGCCTTCATGCATCAGCAATTCACTCAATCTGCATGACCTTTTACACGTAGGGAAACTTTGTCCTCTCTGGGTACCGCATAGTCTGACGGAAGAGCAGAAGACTCGTCATACGACTGAAAATATTTGATAAGGGACAATCTCGGTATATGAACAGCATCGTGACAGGTGACGAGACTTGGCTCTATTATTACGATGTGCCGACCAAGGCTCAAAACAAAGTTTCGGTCTTTGATGATGAGGACACACCCAATAGCTGTATTTTTCAAATCCAGCGGGATTGTGGAGCGTGTCGTTTTGGACACACAGAAGACAGTCACAGCTAAGTGGTACACGGAGCAGTGCCTGCCTAAAGTCATAAGAGTCCTTGAAGAACCAAGGTCCCTGGTGCAGAAGGGTAGTCTCAAATACAAGACTTTTGATTACATGCACAAATGAGCAAAAGCAAATTCTATTAAATAAATGTATGCGGATTTTGTTAAATTGTAGCAGGTATACCCATATACAGGATATGCTAAAGGCATTAAATTTTGTAAACATACACCAAATTATTCAAAAGGCATATTTAATTCTTTTATATAAAATTATCAATAATCAGGCTCCACCTTACCTTGAACCGTTTCTAAAAAAAAAGATGCGAAATGCAAGGTTACGACATTAGATCAAAAGAAAATTTCCATATACAAAGATTTGGATTTAAAGGTTTAGAAAAGTCAATGTTTGTTGAAGGACTAAAAATGTACAACAATATGCCTATTAATGTAAAAACATCTAGTAATGCTAAAATTTTCAAAAAGAGACCTCGGAGAGACTATCTTGGTTTGATGTGACGACCTCTTTGTAAATTTAACATATTTTTGTAAATAATATTTATTATTGTTTGAAGTAGCTCAAAGCTAAATAAATCCTTTCTATTCTATTCTATAATTTAAAGAGGTTTAAAAGAAGATTAAAGGAATATTTCATGGACAATGAAAATTCTTAGTGATGCAAATCTTGATCTTTTTTTAAATATCTGTATGTAATTGTTTATTTTTTTTAAAAGAATGTAATTGTAGCAATCGTGCTAAATAAATCTTAAACAAACAAATAGTCCAGCTTTGTCAATAAGTAATTTATTTCAGCTTGTCGAAATCACACCTCTAAAGACACAACCTAGCACAGCAAGACAGAGCCGTAGGAACTATGTGTCTAAGTAATTAATTTACTCTTGCAATGCTTACCTATAAATATTAAAATCCGTTTCACTCCAAAAAACAACACACCTCGCCGGCATACCATCTCTCCCAGCTCTGCCAGCTTCTTGAAAATATCCTTCTAAGCTACTCGATATGCCGTAGTGAAAGATATTTCGGACATCGGGTTTGTCGATGCCCATTCCAAAAGCTATAGTTGCTGTTATCACGGGCACTTTATCTTTCACAAACTTTTCATGCACCTCTTTCCTCAGCTTCAATGGTAGACCAGCATGGTAAGGTAAGCATTCCATCCCAAGACCTGGAATACATTTGAGCACATCATAGTTAAAATTAAAAAAAAAACACTTAAATAGCACATCGAACTGAAAAGTAGAAAATAACTTTAAAAAAATCAATTTAGTAAAAAAAAGTGTTGGGTGCGTGAAAACGAATGTTAGAATTATTTTTTAGTTGCTATTTACAAAGTGGACTTACTAAGAAAATGTAACGCTTTTTTACTATGTGTAATTGATTTTTTTATATCATTTTCTACTTTTTAATTTAATTTGCTATTAAAGATTGCTTTGTTAGTTTGTTTAGGAATTCAATTTCTGAATTTTTCTCAAAATGCCAACAAATGTACTTACAGTGTTCTTCAACAAATTTTTCCAAATTTGAAATTCTATTTTTCTACAAAATTCACAAATTTTTTCACAGTTTTTAAATCCAAATTTCTTTCCAAACTTCAATTGTTTTTCAAAATCCCCAAATTTTTTCAAATTTACAAATTTCTTTGAAAATTTCCAGATCTTAAAATAATGTATTCTCCAAATTTCAGAATTTACCAATCATTTACCAAATTTTCAAATCCGCTTTTTTCCAAATTTTAAAATTCAAATTTGCTATCACAAAAAAGTCAAATCGTCGATTTTTACATTTATTTACTATTATCATTGAAAATTCTATTTTTTTTACAAAATTCACAATTTTTTCCCAGTTTTTAAATCCAAATTTCCCAATTCCGAAATTGCAATTTTTTTTTCTCAAAATTTCCAATTTTTTTCAAAATTTCCCAATTTTTTCAAACATTCGAAATCTTCAAATTATTTTTCGAAATCTCCGATTATTTTCCAAATTTTCAAATCGCATTTTTACCCAAAATTCAAATTGTAATTTTGTTTAGTTTTAATTACCATTCAACCTGTCGCTTATCTCTTCAGTTTTCTTTCTTGTAATGCAGTATATGATTGTAGGTCCCAAAAAACAATATCTCCCATTTTCATAGATCATGTATTTCCTGAAATCTCTTTTTAGATTGTCTGATCTGTAGTTAACAGCAAAATAAAAATTCGGCCTATCAAATCCAGATTTTGATACTTGCGCATTTCTGGAACAAATATAAATTATAATTTCCAGGAAATTCAAAATATTACATACATTAGGGGGGGGCATAGTTTTAGAATAGTAGTTATTTGATTGTGTAGCTTAATTCAACTAAAAACATTGAAAATCAATAGAATCCTCAAGCGCATTTTCTATAATTTTAGGACGATTGTTAAAAATTACAAAAATTGATTGATTTACGTCAATACATTTACACCATAAAATATTAGGCGCTTATCATGTCCTGGGAGGAATCTGGCAAATTGCCAAGTGTATACTTAGAATTTATGCGCTTACTTGAGCTTCAGAACCTTGATGATATCATCCATTACAACAGGAGTAGCTGTAGCAGTGACTGCCAATACTGGGACACCCGGCATCAATTCCTTCAAGATGCCTAATTGTCGGTATTGCAAACGGAAGTCGTGACCCCAGCTGCTGACACAATGAGCTTCGTCAACGGCGACGAGTACGATTTTCAACTTGGACACCATATCACGCAACAGCCCTGAAGAAATATTCAGTTACATGGTGTTGGATATGTGCTTGAACCAACACAATTTATTGTTTCAAACTTGCAGAAGTTTCAGAAGATATTATATTTTCTGCTGAATGTTGAGCAGATTATAGTAAAATTGCACGTTAAATTCAAGCGTTGATATATTCGTATGACTGCAGTCAGTGTTTCTTTAGACCCATATCCAACTAACAAGTAATTCATGTAAATAACGGTAATTAGAAGACAAGGCTAGGGTATACGCGAACAAGCCCCGAACTCTGGACGAATTGAAGGGCGAAATTCGCGTGAAAGTCGCCCAAGTTGAGAGAGCGATGTTGGAGAGAGTCTACGCGAACTTCCAAGAACGCCTCCAGCACTTCATCAACGATTTCGGCCACCACATGCCTGATGTGATTTTCCACACTTGACTGTCTCAAATGCTATTTCCTTGTGAACCTGATTCCATCAATAAATTTGTTTTCGAGTAAAATTTTTTTTTAAAACCGTCCATCCTCTCTGCCGCACCCTGTATGAAATATTCAGTATTGTATACAGGGTTATGAGGAAATCCATGGAAAATATTTAAGGAAGATGTACGATAATTTTGACGACAATAGTTTTACTTATCATAAGTTGCATAAATAAACGCTAAAGATAACCTATAATCCATTGACTTTCTTATGACTTAAAGGTCATTGTTAACCTCAACATATGAAACTTTTTCTACAAAAATTTTTGGGAACTTTTGTGCCTTTCAAGCTTTCCAAAGATGTATAACGATTAGAGGATCGTATTACATATATTTTTTTTAAGAGAAGTCCATAATTTTAGTAAGTTCAGTTACTGGTACAGTGATCATATTGAATAAGAAAAATGAAAAAAACAGCTGCATTTCTACAATTCTATAAAATATTAATTCAGATAGAAAAATGCAAGTGAAATGAGGTACCTTTTCCCATGTCACCACAGCACAGCTCAGGTGTAAGATATACAATCTTATACATATTTTCAAAAATCTCTTTAATTGTCTGCCCCTGCTTCTTATTTGCTGATCCTAGAAGGCAAGCTGGAATGTTTGCAATCTAATAGAAAAAAAAATCAAATCTTAGAATCCCAAATTCGACATCTTATGCATAGAATCAAGACAAGAGAAGAACAGCATCAAAAATCTAAGTAAAATATGTTTCATGATATAATGGTATAGAGCCTTATCTGTGCAACATCACTGTACAATAAGACAAGGTTTGATTTGATGTTTGCGATTACTTATACTAAATGACATATAAATCCGAACACCCAGTTTAAATGGTTTTATTTTAATAAAAGTTGGTGAATGTATTTATCTTACTGTAAATAACAAGTGAAAAAATTTTCAGCCTTATCAGTTGGACATTCCGGTTTTTATAGTGCTTTTTTTTAATTCACTAACGCTCTAAAAATGAATATTTCAACCGCAGTAAAGAATCAACGTTGGCGGATTTTGATTCTTGACTTCCTTTACGATCGGTTACGATGCCTAGAGTACGGAGACCTGTACGATTTCGTCAACTTAGTGAGTTTGATAGGGGCCGTATAGTGGGACTTCGGGAAGCTGGACTTTCTTTTCGGGCAATTGCAGTTAGAGTGCAAAGAAGTGTAGACACTGTGGTTAGGTGTTGTCAGGCATGGCTTCGAGAAGGCCGTACGCAAACAGCAAGGGGCACTGGACGCCGCCGTAGCACAACAGACCGTGAAGATCGCCGCCTAAGATTATTGGCCTTAAGGGACCGTTTCTCCACTACCAGGTACATTGCAAATAAATGGTTTGCAGAACACGGAAGACCTATTGGCATGCGAAGTGTTTACCGACGAATGAGAAGTTTTGGCTTGTTTTCATACTGGCCACACTGGATCCCCCCTTTAACTCGAGAACACCGACGTAATCGCCTTGAGTGGTGCAGACAACGGTCACTCTGGGATCAGGAATGGAACAGTATTGTCTTTAGTGACGAGTCTCGATTTTGTTTAGGCCTGCACGATGGTCGTGCCAGCGTTAGAAGGCGACGTGGTGAAAGGAGGAATCCACAGTTTTTTGTTGAAAGACATGTTCATCACACTGTTGGAGTTATGGTTTGGGGTGCACCTTTAATCTTCATCAGAGGTAACATGAACGCGCAGCGTTATATCCACGAAGTTCTAGAACCCCATCTTGACACCCTGGCAGATCCAACTTTCCAGCAAGATAATGCCCGACCACATGTTGCAAGAGTCACAATAGACTTCTTTCAACATAATGATGTCACATTGTTACCATGGCCACCAAGATCTCCCGACTTATCCCCAATTGAGCACGTGTGGGATATGATGGGTAGGAGATTGCTCAATTTACAACGTCCTCCTCAGACTCTAGAAGCACTTCGAGAGGAGTTGGTGGTTGCCTGGAATGAGATACCACTGGAGGACATTGACCACCTGATCAGAAGCATGCCTAGGCGCGTTGGAGAATGCGTAGCACATCAGGGTGCATCCACACATTATTAAAGGTCAAAGGGCTTTAAATCAGTGCAATCATTTTGAAATTTTTATCTTTTACTTATTATGCTTCATTAAGTACTTATACAAAGTTTTATTAAAATAAAACCATTTAAACTGGGTGTTCGGATTTATATGTCACTTAGTATATCTTGTTTTCATTCAATTTTTTGAAATGTTGAGACAAAACGAAAAAGCTTGCGTCAGCAACATTTGCACAGAGATAGAATGCATGTGTAAAAAAGATGGATATACTGAAGTGATACTCTGACCCGCCAAATCTCTGAAAAGATCTATTCAGGGTGTCCAAAAAGTACAGGAACCCCACTATAAACTCTAAACCAATAATGCTATAAAAACTAAGGCTCTCGATTGATCCATCTAAAAATTGACTTGGCCTTGAAAGTCATTTGATCGTCAAGGTCACCATTAATAGTTCACAAATTATTGTGGGGTTCCTGAACATCACAGACATCTTTTGTAAAGGAATCATGCTAAAGACATATTTGCACTTTAGAAAAGATCCATCAGGATTATAGCTAATTTAAATTACCAGGATTAATATACTTGAATGCCTAGTTTTGCCTTCCAAACAGAAGCACTGAATATATTGAACTTGATGGGTCTATGTCAAAGATGTATTCACAATGATTTGTTGTTTGTGTTTAGATTTACAACCAACAATAATAATTCAGTTAGTATAGATTGCTTTCTTTAGATGGCACTCAAAACAAGGTACAATGCCATGCAATCACCGACACCCACCTGCCTACTACTATGTATTTTTGATGGTGTATCTAGTAGCCCAGTATAGACACACACATTTAAACAAAAGTTTGCCGTTCCTCAGAAAAAACAAAAACTGTATGTTTTTTACTACTACAACTATGCTGCTCAGTTGTTGAACAATAATCATTACAGAGAAAAAAGGACTTCAAAAGCTCATTGTTGAATGTCTAAACTCAAGTACCTTTAGAGATAGAACTTGGTCTTGCATCAAGGAAATTAAAGGTGAAATAACGATGGCAATCCCTTCCATATAAACAGGTGGATACTGGAAACACAATGATTTTCCATAGCCAGTTGTCATGATAGCCAAGTTATCCCTTTTTCTGTTTATTATCGAGCTGATTATCTTCCATTGCAGTGGTCGAAATTCGTTATGGCCAAAATTCTTCAGCAGAACATCTAACTGCTCAGGTGTGGGGTCTTCTACATTGTTCTCGGCTATGTGATCTTGTTCTACCTTTTCTAAGTCCTAAAAAAACATTATATTTAGAACAATATCGATGCTAAGTCCAATAAACAACAAACCTCTATTATACTTTCATCCCAATCGGTATCCAGTTCCTTCAAAAGCTCTTCATCTTCTGAACTTACGTTTCTGTTCATTTTTAGTCAGGTTTTAGCGACTTAATCCTGGAAAATAGATGTTAATACCTAAAATTACAGCTCAGATATAATCTTGTGTTTATTTATTCGCAAGCTCAACATTTTGTTTTTTGTTATAAAAATTGTAAAATATTCTACAAGTAAAGCACTGAATGAAGAAGGAGCATTTAAGCTTGAGATAAATAACCAGCAATTGCAAAATCAACCTTTTATGATGTTTGAAAATACCTCAAAGGAACTTCGTATTCCTAATGCTTACACTTTCACACACATTTCAAAACAACAAACTGTCAAGAGTGTCAAGCATTACAGAAACGTCAGGAAGCCGAAGCTATACCCTTTGCTGATTGGTTAATCCGTTGCAAGTCCTTGACGGCAGCGTTGCCAGATTTGTCGCGGTCTCGGAGGTCCCAGGATTCATGCAGGACATTTCCGTAACGAACACTAATATGAGAATAGATAATTAATTGTATCTGGAAAGTGGGGGGCGATGTGTGAATACATATAGTACGGAGTTACAGGCGGTTAGGCTTCTGGAGTAAGTAACCAGGGGCTTCACCCTTAACGAAAGTACTGGCACTTTGCTTCTGGATATCTCAAAGGCATTTCACAAGGTGTGGCACAAGGGCCTTCTCTATAAGCTTATTCAAAAAGGCTTTCCATTGGAAATCCTTCCTTGAAGGTAAGAAATTTCGGAGCAATTTCATAAAAGTTACACACAAGACGCAACTCGCGCTGTTAACAAAATAAAATCGTGCAATTTCAGATCCAACCAAAACTACATTTTTGCCACACATACAAATTCTTGAATTAATTTTTGGATCAATTTAAAATAACCGAATACCAGTTAACAGTAGCAAGACCTGACAGGCCTACTGACCTACGATACTTTAACAAAGAGCGAAGGTCCCACGGACCGCTCTGACGGACAATTACGATTAGAAGTGTGAATACAGATGGGAGTAAAAAAAGCTCATTCGCAAAATTATCGTACTATAACTATCTAAAACTGTAATGACTCATCGATGTTCACGTGAACATCACTTAACTACCAGTAGTCGGCTGTTCATAGGCGGGGTATGAATGTTTAACATGGGTGAACTAGATTTATCACATGCTTAATAAAGAGTGGTTTGAAACATATTGTAAGTCAAAAATTTGGGAATTACCTTTATTCATCGTCGCTTCCACTTACATCTGACAGTAATAAACTGTCGCTATCGCTTTCCTCGTTGAAATTGACATAACTAGCTCTATGATGGTGTCGATGTGGTGGTCAAGCTGCCACATTTTTGTTTCTTCCTTCACAACATGACGGATAGCATTCTGCCTAGCTTCGGGCGTTACTAGCTGTATGGAAGTCTCAAGTAAAACCTTAACGTCTGGTAATTTGAAGGTTGTGTTATGGCGCGCAATATAACCCTTCACTTGAGCCCAGATAAGCTCTATTGGGTTCAGTTCACAGTGGTAGGGCGGTAACCGCAGCACAGTGACACCACATTGACGGGCCATCTCATCAGTCACGTAACTAATGTTCGCAGGTTTGTGCTGTTTAATTTTTTCATACAATTCCGCTTTCACACATGAATCGTCAAACGGGATTCCTTTTTCGCGCAACCATTGCTGCATGTCACTTTTTCGAGATCCCATAGTCGGTACACGTTCGGCTCGACGACTATGGTAGGAAGCATTATCCATGACGATCACAGAGTTGGGCTCAACTCGCTGAAGCACCCCTTGAAACCAGCTCTCGAAGCAGCTGGCATTCATTTCGTCATGGTAATCACCTCCTTTCTTAGAGACGAAAATCAAGTCACACTCTTCTAAAAAGCCACTATCGCTACCAATATGAGTTACGATCAATCTTTGACCTTTCCCTGACGGTCCACGAAGACCTGTTGACAAACCTTCAATGCTTGCTTGTCGGTTACTCACTACGTTTTTGTCTATCCAGGTTTTTTTAACTGTGTGACCTGCATTTACCCATGTCTCGTCCAAATAATAGATTTTTCTGCTTTGTCGCCTATATTCAATCATTTCGCGTAGGTATTTTCGACGCCAGGCGACTATTTCAGGTCTCTCTATCAATACCGACTTCCGATTACGCGTTTCGTAACGAAAATTAATTTCGTGCAGGGATTTCCTCATTACCTCGATGCTCATTTGGGGTATAATTTCATTTTCCTTGATCGCTGCATGTACAGCCTTGAGGGTTGGTATCTCATTCCTAAAGAAGAATGAATGTACGGTTCGCCTTAACGCCATTTTGCTATCGTCATCCAATTTAACGGCCTTTCGTCCCATCAAATTAAACTTTGGATCAGTAGTAGCTCCAGTTTTCTTCTTTTCATGCACCACCCTGCGAATGGTCCACTCTGGAACGCCTGTCATACTTTCACAACGCGCGAGTGCATCTCCCTGCGACATAGTTCTGTTCAGATAATTGAACACGTTGAGCACGATTTCTTTTGCGTCCCTCTTCAGTTCTTTACGCAGCCGTCTACTTGTTCCCTGGCTTTCAGTACTTCCACTCGTGCCATTTGTACTCTCCATGGTTAAGTATAACCAAAACAGTAACCACAGAAACCACAACAATAACAATCACACAACAATTCTTATAAAAACACACAATATGCGATCGCTCAACGAAACACGTTCCAATGCGTTGTCGACGCCTATGAGTCTGACGGTCGAGGCGCGTCTTTGATTTCATTGGTTCTACCGGCGGAGAACAATCAGCCATTATTTCCATCTCTGTCTGTGCTGTTGACCACCGCAAAGCCACAGAAACGACATATGTCGTACGCTATACGGCTGTACTGGAAGGAAGCCAGGATCGAGCTCTGATCACGTGTTGATCACGCGTATGAGTCATTACAATTTTAAATAGTTGTACCTATTATCATACATCTAGCATGGTACATCGGACAGGACTTGAAATTATCGTACAAAAGCGACACTTGGCAACGCTGTACACGATAGACCAATGTCGAACACTCCGTGAGCCATCAATCATCTACCCATCTGTCAGTGTCAGTACATTATTTGTAAACAAAGCCATTGAATCCCTAATTTTTATATTCATTATTAAAAAAGTCAATCAAAATTGCAATTGGATATCCTACGCCCAGTCGCCAACATATGGAAAGGATATATTATTGTCATTCAAGATATAGCCTTCATCATGTTACCTGAGTATAAAGAAAGGATAGTCAAGAACTTTGTGTCTCTTATGAAGGAGTGTAATATAAACGTATTAACAAAATTACTGGTCGAAAAGAAAGTGTTCACAGTTAACGAAATCAACAAAATTCTTGGCGTAAGTTGAGATGGGTTTGCAAATATAATATGCTTTTTTCAATATACCTATTTCAGAGTAACGATGCTCGCCATAACAAAAGGGTATTCTTCTTTGAATTACAAAAGAAGGAGCAAAGAGCTTTTGCTGTATTGCTGGAGTGCTTGAGGGAAACTGGCCAAGGTCATCTTGCTGATACGCTACAGTATAAACGAACAGGTAAAATCAAATGAGGCTGAAGTGCATTTTTCTTAAATTTATGAATCATACATTATACAACAAAATTGATTCTGAGAACAGAAAATTAACTCACTTTTTTATGTGTAAATTCACCAGTTCTCACTATTTTCTCAGTACTTTTATTCATGCTTTGGGCTGCCAGCACCCCTGCTATTATAGATGAATAAATAAAACCTTTGAGTTGTTCATACACCCAGAATCATTCTTGCCTTAGATTTCTATTTTTGCTTCCAGGTGCCAAGGTATTCAATCAAGCAGTATGTGATGATGATGGAGGTATTTCCCCGAAAATTTCTGTGCCCATCCATGTTGATCCGTCAACGTCACCACTCAGTATTAAAGTTGAACATTCTAGAAATTTTTTTGACACCATCGAGCACAACAAAGGATTCGAATATTATTATTCAAGGGCCAAAACGAGGGGTAGAGCTCTTATCATAAACAATTATGATTTCGGTGCAAAAATGGAATATAGAAATGGAGCAACGGTGGATAATAACAATCTGAAAAGCTTGTTCAAGCAGATGGGAGGATGGGACATCCAGATGTATGAGAATAAAACTGCTGCTGTAAGTATCTGTGGAAAGTATCGATCCAAATCTTCAAACCTGAAGGCCCATTAAAGTAAAACTATTATAGTTTAAATTTAGTGTTCTTTAATCTTTAATAAAATATGATTTCCAATGACATCAAAACTTAACAGCATTTTGAAAATGGCCAAGGAATAAAGTAATCTTAAAAACTTTGAATGTTTGTCCTCAGTTTTGGAAACATCCTTTATATGAGCATATAAAAATAAAAAATAACAATGTTTCTAGAGTTGCTTAAACCTATACAGGGTGTTTCAGTTTATTGTTGCATAACTTTAAGATTCGATAGAACTTTTAAAATTAATGCATAAAGTCTATATAAACATGGGTCGAAAAATGCGTGGCTTCCGAAATACAGGGTGTTTAAATTTACTTTCTAAAATAGTTTTTTTTAAATATTTCGAACAATACTTGATGTATAACAGTGAAAATTGGTGTACAAGGGTTTTTTGGTACGACAAAACGAACCATGGACATAGTTTTACTGTAGCCGCTAGAGGGCGCACGAAGATTTCCAAACAGACGACATCCAACTCGCTCAGTATTTGTAAGAGTGCATCGCCAAATAATTGAAAATGGTTTTCTAAATCTCCAAAGGGATCAAAACATAAATGTTCGTCAGCGCAGATTTACCCGTATGATTCTGCGTGAGTTTGATAGAGATCCGACCGCAAGTGTTAGGAGAGTTTCTGGTGCCTTGGGAATTTCAGCAAGCCATGTTCACCGTGTTCTTAGAAATGACCATAGACGTCCTTACCATTTGCAACCTGTGCAAGGACTACAGCCAGTGGACGGAGAACGAAGAATCACATTTTGTCAGTGGATTCTTGATAGAACTGATAATAATAGGGAGTTTTTGGAGGACCAGTCGCCTGGCCTCCACGATCCCCTGACCTAAATCCATTAGATTTCTTTGTGTGGGGATTTCTAAAAGAAAAAGTGTACCAGACTCCCGTAACCACAAGAGATATGCTAATAGACAGAATCAGGAATGCATGTGATGAAATAAGGCCTTATTTGAATAATGCTATACCACGTTCGATCATTCGTAGTTATGTGAATTGTGTATTGAACAATTGGGTTTAGATTTCGAGCAACTACTTTAGATTTTGTATGTTTGTCCTAACTATCCAATAGCATTTTAGTTGTAAATAATTAATTTAATTTGTTAAAAATAATATTGGAAAATTAAACAAATTAATATTCTGTTTTTTGTGTTTATTTGGAGTTAGGAATTATTGCTGTGTTTAAAAACACAATCTAAACGATCATCTTAATTACTTGTAATGCCCAAATCGAAAATGTAAAAAAAAATATTATTTTCCCATAAATAATTAAAAATGCATCGAACCTTAAAAATCGAAATATCTCAAAAACGGCTAACTATAACGAAAACTCACAGGAAAGCTTTTTTATGTTGGAAAGTGAGAAGAATCAGTTTTTTTATCCAAAAAGCAAAACATTGCACTAAGAAAAATTTTTCGGTCATTTTAATACACTACAGGTACAGTAGAGAGCGCCCTCTAGCGGCTACAGTAAAACTATGTCCATAGTTCGTTTTGTCGTACCAAAAAACCCTTGTATACCAATTTTCACTGTTATACATCAAATATTATTCGAAATATTTAAAAAAAACTATTTTAGAAAGTAAATTTAAACACCCTGTATTTCGGAAGCCACGCATTTTTCGACCCATGTTTATATAGACTTTATGCATTCATTTTAAAAGTTCTATCGAATCTTAAAGTTATGCAACAATAAACTGAAATACCCTGTATAATGTCAAGAAATACATACTATTTTTATTATCAAATTAATCCAGTTTATTTTTGAAGAATATATTCAAGATTTCTTTATACAGATTTCACCTCAAAAATTTGCATCATTTTTTTCTCCAAAAATAACAGTTTGACAAATGTATCTTAAAGGGGGAAATATGTGATAACTTAAATACCTGATCTAAAAATGTAATATATGTTACAGAAAAGTCAGTGACATAAAAAATATCAGAAATTCATTGTTGAGGAGAACCGAGTAATTGACAAATGGTCTGCTATATTTTTCAAAGTTTTGTCATTTTAAGTTAGCTACAATTTCAGCAAACGTAGTTAAACAGTATTTTGCGGTTTTCAGGAAATGTTGATGATAATTAAGAATTTTGCACAAGACAAGAAAAATAAACATTACAATGTATGTTTTGTCATTATAATGAGTCATGGATGTGAAATCAACAATAAAACTATAATATATGGAATAGATGGAAGCTTTTTATACGAATGCAAGATACAGGAAGAGTTCAACAATGAACACTGCAAACTTCTTTTAGCTAAGCCTAAGATATTAATTTTCCATGTCTGTAGGTAAGTGATATCCAAAATTGTTAGATATCAGTATTAATTATTAGAGACCTTTCTTACTGAAAGCAACTAACGAACATAACTCAACTCGGCACATGTCTCCAATCACAGGCATTCCCACCAAAGTAACGGTTGCTCAATGGTCAGTTGGTTTGGAGATGTCACCTATAAATGTCATTCTGACAGTTCCTCCAACATTCTGATCATACATAATGCTATAAAAGTATACTTTATCTGAAGTCACTTGAAATAGCATAAAAACCTTTGGTCGGCGCGTCCTTTGTAATTTCATGACGTATCATAGGCGTGCGGTCATTTATTTAGAACGATAATAATAATGTTTTTATATCACAATAAATGGATTTTACTATCTTCTTATTTTTTTGATTTGGGATAAAAAATACTTATATTGGGAGTTTAATTTATGTTGACTGAAAGTTAAGAAATGGAAAAATTACAGAATTCCAACGTTTGACATAGGCAAATATTTACATAGCAGGTAGGTATATAAAAAGGTATATAAAGACTTACATTATAGGTATTTATATATCATACTCGCCTTCGGAGCTGTCGCTAGAGTCATCTTGTAGAGGAATTACAACGGGATTTACAGGAGGCAAAACACAATATTCATTTTCTGTTTCAATAATATGCCTAGAACACTGCTTCCATAGGTCTGTGGCAGCAATATGAGATACTGCATCTCTTATTGTGGCCAATAGCGATTCACTTGATTGAGGGGTCTGATCATGTTTTCTTACTTTTTTTTAAAGCAGCCCAGACCAACTCAATCGGGTTAAAAATGCAGTAATAGGGAGGTAGGCGTAACACTTCATGGCCATTTTGCTGAAGCAGATTGTCAACAACATGCTCTTTTTCAAATTTTTGTCTTTTAATAAGATCCAATAATATGGCTTTGGTTGATTTTTGTGGTATTTCCATTCCCTTATCCTTCATAAAATCAATAATGTCTTGTTTTTTTGTGCCTGTATTCGGAATTTTGTTTTTCTGTCGGGAATGGTATGGCGCATTGTCCATAATAATCACTGAATTTGGGGAAATGTTTGGTATTAACTGCTGCTCTATCCACTTTTCAAATAAGTCGGAGGTCATGTCCTCATGATAGTCGGCACATGATTATTTGATATTTTTGGCAGATAACAGCAAGGCATTAGGTATAAATCCATTTTTACTGCCAGCATGGAGAATAATGATTCGTTTTCCACGGTTGCATGGTGCATTTAAAATGCACTTGTTGCTGTCGTCAACCCAGCCGTACTGCACAACATCATGGGTATCATACCACGTTTCGTCCAGGTAAATCAGATTTCTTTTCTGCTCTCTATAGATTTTAACTTTGTGCAAAAATTCTTGGCGCAATTCAACGATTCGAGACGACTCCATAATCACCATTCTTTTATCTAATTTTTTGTATTGAAAACCACACAGTTTTACAATACAGTGCAGTGAGTCTAAGCATTTGTAATTATAAAAATCTTCAGGATAATCTTTTAATTTATCCCGTATCATTTAAAACGTGGGTACCAAATTTTCTTTATAAAATCCGTATATTATACGACGAATATCTTCCTGAAAACCCACGTCTATTCTTTTTAATTTATGCCCTATGCGCTTTCTGTGGAAGGAATGGTTGACTACATCTCCCCTTTTTATTACCCGATAAATGGTAGACCGACAGATTTTTGTCAGGATACAAATTCTGTTTAAAATTTGATTTTGCGAGGAATCTGGATTTTCGTTTTTCAGACAATCATACATATTTAGGATTACTCTTTGGGTCTGTTCCTCTAAATCTTTATGAAAGAATTCTGCCTGCACAGGTTCATCAACCATCTCCTCGTGGCTTGGAGCATTTTCCCAAGGTCTCCAAAGAGCCATATTTAGGACACACAAGAACAATCAACACAACAATTAAATCAACAAGTAAACTGAGTATTCAAAAGTCAAAAACACAAACTAATAAAATCTATGAAAAAACACGGACAGACTAAAGAAAACACGTTTATTCACCGCTACACGGCACTGGCTAAACTGTTTCAAGTTTCAGTAGCCACCTGCACTTGTTCGGAGCTCTGAAATACACGCTTTCTCATTGGCTATGTCCACGCATAGGCGTGCTTTACTCCACGTGGACCGGTGAAACTGCCTTTGATCTTATACGGGGGATATTTGCTGCGAAATTTGGCGATGGTTGCAGCAACAGAGCGTGTTAAATATAGATATATAAAACGCACCCGGTATTTCACAGTGTTTCAAGTGACTTCAGATAAAGTATACTTTGTGCAACTTTTTTATGACCATGTTAACTGGAGTATAGCTTCCGCGTCGTCGACTGTCTCGACTGCTTCCGCCGTCTGGTCTGGTATTTGACTTCTATTGATGAATTCCAGAGCGCCTCTTCGAAGTTATCTAGATGGCAGTAGATTCATCTTCAGTCGTGTAATTCCGGTTGCCTTAGCGTCAATATTGCGAAGGCGTTTCCTCGTTACTCAAGGTCCTCGTTACAAGGGCATTTCAATAAACACAACACAAAATCCATGGCTCGGATTTAAACGTTATGGCGGGTAACCTAACCCAACATTGCATGCTTTTTCACGTATTTGAATACCAAATATGGTAGTTCATATTGCGGAATTCCCGTTTATAAACAGTTTAACGTCAAGCGCATGATTCAACTTCAGAGTTTTTAAGTCGACCTTGATACTCCGACTGTGTAAAAATCGTAGGTCCGTGGTAACATACTTTATATTTAGTATTTTGTATGTTATTACAATCCGCGCATTATAAAGATACAAATACCTTATTATGTTTTAGAGGGAATAATTTGGACTACTCAACAAAGCAAGTGACTGAAACTGATTCAGCAGTCAGGGATATGGAAATGTTGAACATGAGGACACAAGAGGATATGTTAATTGGTTATTCAACATTACTTGGTATGTTCAATAAGTTGCTGTAACATTGTTAGGTGTCTCCCTTTGGCACTTCATATCATCGACTAGAAACTGCAAAATTCCAACGTATTAACTTGAAACACACTCAACGCAGCACTTGCCTCCAAGTGTGGTTTTCCTTACGAATTTACGTGCGAGGTATTAGACAATTGAGTCTAACGTGCTGGCTGGATGGCGCGCGCTTTTCTGAATCTGGATACTCCTGTTGTCACATGTTATACAGGGTGACAGGTAAATAGGTGTAAAACATTTTAGGAGGTGATAGTACAGCCCTTTGCTATCAAAATTAGTATATAATACCATACCCTATATTCAAAGGTTAAAAAGTTATGGAAGATTTAATTTTTTTTAAAAAACAACCCAGATTACAGAGTAAAATAGTTGAGATAAAAAAAAGTTGGTGATTAAACATTCTTTTTTTGGTGGTTTCAGGTTATTATTTAAATAAATAATTCTCATAAATTAAAAAACATATGAAAACACTACTGAAAACGTATTTATTTTCATTTAAATGTTAAATGAAAATTTTCATTTTCAACTTTCACATTAAGAAGTCTTTTTTTATCAAAAAAATCATAATAAAGAAAATGTACAAATAACTGCAAAAACTTCCACGTTTCATTAGGTTTCTAAAATGGTATAATAACATATCAGTAAGTAAACCATTTAACAAAACAATATTACTTTGCTAGAAAGGACGGCTAAGCGCATTTCATTGTACTGAGCAGGTAAACCGAGCATTTCATGGTTCGACCCTTTTTGTTATTTTTTGTGTCCTGTGCCGTTATTCGGGTTTAAGTATTCGGAATCTGTCGTCGCTCCTCGGAAGCAAGCTCTGCGTGTGTTATGAATTGACACAGCTGGCGGATCAAGGAAAGGGAACTAACGCTTAGGTTAGCTAGTAGAATATCAACCTTTAACGCGGTAGGACGTGCTTTTACTTTTATGATCAGTTTTAATAATGGCGAGTTACCGTAACGAAGAATACGCTGATATTCTGTTTTGTTATGGTTTAAGTGATGGAAATTCCGTTGAAGCCAGGCGAGAATACGAAAACCGTTTTCAGAATAGGCGAATACCGAGTCATCGAGTATTTGCTTCTGTGTACCAACGCGTCAAGAAAAGTGGACAGGTTCATGAGAGACGTCATGATGCTGGTAGACCTCGGTTGTTTGACGACGAAGATCGAGAGGCAATACTGGAATGCTACGGCAGAGACCCGACGACGTCTACACGAGTTATAGCAAAGCAGCTTGGTTTAACTCATTGGAAAGTTTGGTTCGTTTTGCATTCGGCGAAACTTTACCCTTTCCATTACACACCGGTTCAAGTATTAGAAGAAGGAGATACCGCAAGAAGAATTGATTTTTGTCGATACATGCTTCATCGGGATCAAGAAGAAAACGACTATTTAACTAAAATATTGTGGACCGACGAGTCTAAGTTTGGCAGAGAGGGGACAACAAATTATCACAACTTACATTATTGGGCCCCACGAGAGGCAAATCCCCACATGGCAAAGCCAAGAGCCCATCAAAGAAGATTTTCGGCAAACGTGTGGATGGGAATCATTCATACGTATCTAATTGGACCAGTTTTTTTGCCTGACAACCTGAATGGCGAATCCTATGAAAACGTTTTGAGATCCGAACTCTGGGAGTATCTCGAAGACCTGCCTCTGAATATCAGGATGCAGATGATCTACCAACACGATGGCTGTCCCGCGCATTTCCGTCTGGGTGTTAGACAGTGGCTGGACGAGAAATATCCTTGTCGCTGGATTGGCTGAGGTGGACCGACACAGTGGCCATCGAGAAGCCCAGATTTAACACCGTGTGATTATTATTTATAGCGGCACATGAAGTCACTGGTGTACGCTGAGCCCATAGACACTCTTGCACAGTTGAAAGAAAGAATTATTGCTGCTGCTGACACTATCAGAGGACAACTAACTGGCCGCATCACGCGTACCAACATGAGAAAAAGACTACGGGCTTGCATAAGAAACGGCGGGCGTCAGTTCGAACAACAATTGCAATGAATTTTACCTTCATTTCATTATTGTATTTTACTTACCAATTGTAATAACTTTTAGTCAGTTTTTATTATTCTGTAGTACAATTACAACTGTGTAAATAATCTAATCGTGTAACTTAACCGTAGTTTAAAATAATAACTATCCCATAGCTTACAGTTACATTATTTTCACAAAAACACTTTCTTATCAATCAGAGAGTTGTGAAAATAGGAGACAAGCCATTGGTAAATTTACTCCCTATTGTTGTATTACAATACATTATGTTTAGTTTCACACAGTTTTTGTGCACTTATCATACCAATTTAGATTCCTTATGAAACAAGGATATTATTTAAATTGTTTGCACGTTTTTTTGAATACTGATTTTTTTGTAAAACACACTTACTGGAAAACGTTATTTGTTTTTCTTAGTTAAACATTTTTGAATGAAAATAAATACGTTGTTTGGTATTGTTTTCGAATCTTTTTTAATTTATAATAGTTAATTATTGAAATAATAACCCAAAACCACAAAAAACAAATGTTTAATCGCCAACTTTTTTCTCTCTCGACTTTTTTACTCTGAAATATGGATTGTTTTTAAAAAAATCTTAAATCTTCAATAACTTTTCAACCTTTGAATATAGGGTATGGTATTATATACTAATTTCGATAGCAAAGGGGCTGTACTATCACCTCCTAAAATGTTTTACACCTATTTACCTGTCACCCTGTATATAGCGCCAAAAGTGTCGATCTCACTTTATAGTATGCTAATTTATCACCCATCTTTTTTTCAGGTTATAAAACGCACAGAGATGCCCACAGAGGATCATGGTACATTGAAATATTGTGTGAAAAGTTCATGAAGTACGCTCACGACACACCGGTTGACGACTTACTGTCATTGATTGATCAGGGTCTGAGACGAAGAATGTCCGAGTATTACACCATGCAAACAGCGGAAATGAGCAATAAGGGATTTAAAAAGTTGTATTTGCATCCTGGTATATATTATGAGGATGATGCCATTAAGACATTTTTTAACTAAATATGATTTTATGATTATACAGGTCCGGGATAAGGTGACGTTTTCTTTGAGGTATATTTTGCTACAGGTTTCTATGAAAAAATGTCGCTTTGGATATACAAAATCCCCTAAAGGACGCGGCTGAAAATCAGTTTTTCTTTAACAACTTCTGAATGACACTGTATATTCCAACGAAATTTTTACAGTACTGTAGATCACTTTGGAGGCCTGAGTAGACGAGTTAGTAATTGGTCGAGGCTCGCGGGTTCGAATCTCCGCTCGGAAGTTAATTCCGAGCCATGGATGTTGTGTTGTGTGTTGTCTATATCACGCACTAGCGCGGTTAAGATCAATAATAATAATATTTATTCAAACAGGATGGCAACCAATCACAGGAACATGCAATAATAAACATTAAGTCTCTTGTGTTTTGCATTTAAGACATGAATGAAAAATATTGTTACAGGAAATAAAAACATAAACATGAATATGAATGACAGTAAAATTGACACAAAATGATATATATATCTAAAAATTACCGCGCTATTTGCAAAAATAATCATTACTGTTAAGCGCCGCATATGTTTGCGCACCTGAATGGTATCATTATTGATTTCTTTGCAACTTTATATTTGTTTTATTTTAAATAGGGGACTTATGATTTTTTTTAAGAATCAAAACCCTGTTTATATCTTTGAATGAATTTATTTCTGGATATTAGCACGACAAAGGCATCAACTTTTGTTTTTATTTCATATTTACGATTATGCATTTTCCAGTAAACAATAAATGTAGAAATCGACGTTTTTTGTAATAACAAATTAATAGTTACGACAAATTGGCTGTGTAAGATCTGATTCTCAAGGTATTTTCATCCACTAAATTTTTTTTTTAACACAACACCAATAATTTATAACTATTTTACGCGAAAAAGTGGTTTTCCAACTTTGACGTTTAATAAAAAAGTTAGCTAGCAAAATTTTCTTGATGAGAAGCACTGTCTTATACCCTCAAGGATATAATTCCGATGTAAAACTGTTTATTACAATTTTTCTAAAACAGAAGCTGGGTCTCTAGCCCATTCAATTTGTTATTATATTGTTAAAATTTCGTTAAATTGTAGTGTGATTTAAAAGTTACTTATGAAAAACTGATTACCTTCAGAAATATTTATCGCCATAAGAAAACCCCATAGAATTTTTTATAGGAATTTGTAACATGAAATGCGAAAGGCTTTCGCGGCCATCATCCAATGTTATTTCGTTGGTTTTTGGGTAGTTAGACCGTCGTAAAATATTTTTACTTGACGTTCCGCTAACACGAGTGGTTGACATCTTCAGAAGATGTTCACAGTGAACCACTGCCATCTCCGCGGTCCTAGCTCATATTTATGTGGCTCGGTTGTTCGGGAGAGCCCTTCGGAAATCCTCGGCTGGCGCGCTCGGGATGACTCGGCTGTTGTTTTGCCGAGGATTACCGAAGAGCTCTCCCCACCACCCGAGCCACATATAAATATGAGCTAAGACCGCGGAGATGTCAGTAGCTCACGGGGCTACGAACTGTGAACATCTTCTGAAGATGCCAACCACTCGTGTTGGCGAAACGTCAAGTAAAAATATTTTACGAACGCCACCAACCAAATAATTTGTAGCATATTTTTTTTTTGTGTTTATATTCACCTTATTCTAGGACACACTGTATACATTTATTTAGTATTCCTGCAATGTAATTTATACATTTAGCTTTATGAATAGTACAAGTATTTTTATATCATAAATTATGATGAAATTAATTAGGAACAATATATGATTTGTAAGTAGTTTTAAATTTGTAATTTTTAGGTACAATACAATTTTGCTACAGTTAATAAAATATACTACCAGAATTGTAACATTTTTTAATTTCAAAATAAATATAAAATTGGTTCTTATGTATTTAAGAATTATCACTTAAAGATAGCTGAGCTACCACATCATCTGGAATATGTAAGTTTGCTACTAATGTAGCCATATCTATTGGTCCATGTGCCTGCAACTGCTTAAGTAAGCACTTAAGTCCCAACTCACAACCAGTCTTCCACCTGTTAGTCAAAGCATCAAGTTCTTCAATATTATGCTTCTGCTTATATATGGAAGCTTGTTTTAAATCCTCTAGCTTTTTCTTTTTCTGTATGATGCTTTTCTCTAACTCAGTTATTGAATTTATCAGAGTCTTCTTTTCACCTTTTTCTTGTTCAGGTGTTGATGTGAATGCCATATCTTCATCATCTTCAGGTATGTTTGAAACCACTTTAGGCAACAATACAGATTGTGGACTATTATTTAAACTGTTATTATCATCCTCTAGAATAAATCGTTTTTTCTTTCTTATCACTGTAAATTCGTTGTCATATAAATCCTCATTGTCAGAGGTGATGAATGATTTTGATTTTAACGTTTCTGAATCTATCCTATCCAATGGAACATTACAATCTTTCAAACTAACAGACTTTGCTTTTTTCAATTTATTGTCAGCTGTGCTTGACTTTCTTTTTTTCAATGATTTTGCATCTAGAGGTTTAAAGTCATCATCAGAATCATAGTCTATTTTATTTTCCAGCTTTTTTGGTATTTGTTTGTTTAATTTTCTGGATCTTTTACATTTGGTATCAACCTCATTTTGCTTTTTGCCTGATTCCATATTCATACTATTTTTATTTTCTTGTGCTCCTATTTCAATACCTTGTGTTTTTTCTGAAATTAAAAAATAAATATTCACATCCAATGCAGAAAACATTACAATACATACAAAATAATGTAATTTTAAATATTACCGAAAGTGTCCACAGGTTCCAATTTTAATTCTTTTTGGGTTGAATTTTCAAATTTTGCTTTGCAATAATCGTTGTTTCTTGGTGTTAAATTATCCTGTTCTCCTCCTCTATCAAGTCCCAATTTAGTAGGACTGAAAATTTCCATAGGTCCCAAATTTAATTCTTTTTGGGTTGAATTTTCAAAGTTTTGCACTTTTGCTTTGCCATAATTTTTGGTTCTTGGTGTTAAATTATCTTGTTCTTCTGCTCTATGAAGTCCCAATTCAGTAGTACTGCTTCCAAAGGTCAGATCTAGATTTTTCATTTTATCTATATGTAAAATGAAAAAGGGCTTCAATTTACGCTTTTTAAAAGAACATATCAATCCATACCTTTGTATGCGGAATTTTCTTCACAATTCTCCAATGAAAAATTCTTAGCTAACACTTTCTTACAAGACGATTCAGTACTATGCAGGGAAACTGTCTCATCAGATTTTACATTTTTACTTGCATGTTTCGATTGTTTTCCACTTAAATAACGAATAGGTGTGGTTTCTGATGAGTCTTGTTGGGATAAATTAATGTTTGGACGTTCTGTTGGTGTTTTTATTGTGCTGTTGGGGGTACTCAGGCTTCCTCGTTTTCTGGATAATCCAACTCTCCTACACGGTGTTAATAGGTTCTTGCTTATTCCAGCCCCGAAAGGACTAAATTTTTGTAAGGAGGACTTTATGTCAGGGGTTGACGACATTTCTGTAATGTTAAAAAAATGTTTTTGAAATGCACTTTTTCACAACAAAAACTTTGAGGTTAATCAAAACAAAAATGACAACTGACAGATAACCTCTTTTGACAGTTCAATCGAAGTAGTGATGGGATTGATTCGATGAAATGTTCAAATTTGAACAAATGAAAATTCGATGTGGAATAATTTATAATGTATTGACGTCACAAATAGTACCAACATAAAGGTATAAACGAGGTACCTGTCTTTATCAATTTTTTTTAAAATGTAAACAAGGAAATGTCTACACATTTTTTAGCTAGTGACTAGTTTTCCGAAAAGTTCACATTTCATTACCGGTCAGTTTCTGTCGGTGAGAGCGATGTAGAAAGTTGTTTTTGAACTGTATCGGGAAAATATAAAAACATTTGACGTAAATAATGGCCAATGATGTAATTAACGTCTTGATTAATTTGGTAAATTTCTATAAATAGGTAAATTTTCTATGTGTTAAGAAAGACACATATTTGTAAAAACTGAGAGTAATCAATATCTATTTTCCCGAATGCGTGCGCAGGTTCTCATTTAGAAATAAAATCCACAAAAACATTTGTGTAAATAGCTCAACAGAAATAAGTTCAGGATCGTTGGAATAACCTACAATGAGTTTATAAGGGTAACATTTGTTTACTCACCATGCACGGCTTTAAAATTGGGTAGCAGTTTTGTTGTATATGCCGGAAAACCCGCTGGTTACCGTGTGCAACATAAATCTGAGAAAAATGGGGTCTTCTACAATACCTGTGCTTCTAGTCACTGCAAATGTTGGGTCGGTCTTTGAAGACGTAAGTATCTTTTGCTGTTGCTTTTATATTGATGCACCAATGCTTCTTTATGTTGTTTGCAAAATTAGCACAATTATCGCATTGATTTTATTTTTTGTTGTTTACCAATTTCAACTCAACAAGGAAGCTCTTTATTACTTCTAAATTTGAACAAAAGGATTTTTTTGTATCAATTTTCTCACCCGAAATACAACATCTTTGGAATTTATGCAAAATCTGATGAGTTGTGGCAAGAGATGAACATTTGCCCTACATTGATAACAAAGTATTCTGGCAACGACATTTTTTATTTTTATGGTGTTTATAGTGCTAGCTAGCCTAACTGTATTTGCAAAGAAAATTGTCAACAGAAATTACCTATTACAGATGTATAACTAGATCCATTCCTTCTGTCTCACCATTAATTACTATCTCATGTATTACTGAATGTCTATACTATTTTCAAGGCAGATTGTAATTCATTTGATGTTGAAAAATACAGAATTATTACAGGCAATATTATTAGGATGCAGATTTACAAATTTTGGCACTTGTGCGTGCCTCCACCAGCAATAATATAACAGTTACCTAGGAGATGGGACAGCGATAATGATAATCCAAAAGTAATATTGCTGTTGCTACAGCTCTGGCTCCAGAGGCATTCTGAATCCTGTCAATAGCCTATGCTAAAAGAGCACATCCACAAAGTCTTCAAAAATATATGTGATAAGTCTGTTTGCTTATTTGCTGAAGAAGTCCTCAGATTTTTTTATTAAATGAGGAACAAAATTCTACTAACTATATCCAGACAAGATGAGCTTACCATTGGCATTGCAGTTGGATGCTGCTGAGGAGAGGTCTCCGTAATTTTGAGACTGGTTGGCACTATTTTATGTAGCAGATGTGAACAGGAAGAGACAGCCTGTTGCTTTATAACTGCCCATATATCAATCAGAGTTTACAGCCCAGACTGATCCTTGGGGTATAACATCAAAAGTAAAACTACCCACCCTAACAAGATGGACTGTAGAGCAATTGCACTGAGGCCCAATCTGTCTGATTGTTTCTTTTAATTCATATACAGTCATGGACAAAAGTGTATAGACAAGTTAATATTGTGCTTTATTTCTTTTTTGACTTGTTTTATTAATATACACCAACCTGTATACATAATGTGTTATAGCATAATACTCACTTATACATAAATAAATTCATTAGACTCCCTTCAATAAAAAATTAATTGAAAAAAACTGGAACTATGAAGGACAAAAATATATAGACAAAGCAAAACAGTTATAGAAAAAAGAAGCAAAGTTCATTGAATTATGGAAAACCAACCATGTTTGTGTTAATATTTTGTAGCATAACCATTATTATCAATCACCACCACCACCATTGTAGAAGTTTCTTGATATAAGATTCATCAATCTGCTTTTCAACTAATAACACATTTGTTGATGGAGCAATGAAGTATGAATTCATTTTCTAAAGGTATTTAGGTAAATATTCATATTTGTCTATATACTTTTGTCCATTACTGTATATCTAGATTTGCTCTTGCCAGTTCTCTGTATGAAGTGTACCATTCCTGGACCACATTTTCTAGTTTTTGTGGGATATTGTTCATTCCAAAAATGCTTGGGATATGATGGTTGAGACATTGGGTGCACCTCTGTATGAAGATTAAAATAATATGAATATTCTTAGTTATCCTAACTCTGCTATGATAAGGGGATCAAAGCCAAGGGCAGCAGGATTTTTTAAAATATGTATAAATTGAGGAAATATATGGTAGACTGGTGGTCCTTTATTGCCCATTGCTTTACTCAAGGAAGAGTGTTTTCAGGATACAACTTATGCACCTATACAGTGAAACAAGTATAATTGTAATGTAACATTTTAAACTTATCCTGTGGTTGTTCCACTGATAAACATCCATGTTTTGTTGGTGGGAAAGTGAAGCCATAGATGTTAGATTTGATGTTTATTTGTGTTAAAAAGGCACCATGCAAACTCAGCAAAGTCCAGGTCTATCTGTGGTAGACATTCGGGACCATTCCAGCTGTCATTGGAACACACCATATAGTGCTAGCAGGAACAAATAATCTGTCAGCAGGAAGATATACACATAAAATATATTTCACGACTAACAATATATATATACAGGGTGACTTCGAAGTTGAGTCATTTATTTTAACAGTGAGTAGATCTGATCAAAAGAAATGTTTTTTTCCTTTACCATTTTTCTGGTAAAATTAAAGTAACAAAGTTATAGCCCTTTGGAAGTTTGAGTACCGCCCTGTCTCAATAATAATATTATGTGCTCGTGTTTGGCAACAACGGATATAATCCGCCTTATCGGTTCATCGCATCGGAAACAAAAAAGCGAAAGAATTTGGAACGATGTTTTTACAATTATTTTATTCAGTTCAGTTATACATACAGTCAGTGTCAGTCGGTAACGCGTGTGAATAGTGGTGTCTGTTGCGTGGCTCAAACGAAATAAAAAATGGCACATGTTTATGCGGATCGGTTTCCCAATCGAGTGCAACCAACCCCTCGTGCCTTTGTTAATGTAGTACAACGGGCTTGTGAATCAGGTGACTTAAGACCTCACAGGGGACCTCACGATCAAATACAGGTCCGCACTGAAATACTTGTCGGGAGGATACTTTATAAAACAAGGTAAAAATTTTTTTTTAATTTTTTTTTTATTTTTACACACATATTTTGGTTTATCTTCCTTCTACAATCATTATCTGAAAATTAATGACTCAACTTCAAAGTCACCCTGTATATATATATATATATATATATATCACAAAATACATGATCAACACGTTTCCAACTCATTTTCCAAATACTTCAAAATATGTAGATTCCAAGTGCCGTATCGTCAAATTTCCTACAATTCCAAAAGCAAACATAACCTCACAATACCTGACACGGAAGGGTAGAAATCTAGAAATACCCCAGCTTTTCTGAAGGAGATAATATACTATGAAAATCAAGGAGGCTATTAAGGGTCGTACAATTGTAGGAACGACTGACGATACCCCCTAGTGTCAAGCTGATAAACTCAAATTAATGAATGCAACACTCATTTTGGCTTGCACTGGTCCATCCAAGGACAGTGAGGTACAAATGCATTGTTTTTATTTACATTAAAAGCCTTATTCAAACATTATGTCAATTATTGGGGTATTCAATGGGAACTACATGAGGAGCTATGCTCAAAATGTATGTTTTAACCATTTTAATACGTTTCGATATATAGAGTTCACTTGTCAAACTGATAGGCAGATTGACACGATACAATTTCAAATAACATCATTATCTACCTAGGCGTTTTTTGTTTTCATTATTTTCCTAAAAGGAGAGAGAGAGAGAGAGAGAAATGCTACTTCTCAATAAGGCATTGCGGTCAATAATGGTTATTTATCGGGTTAGTAGTGGAAAAATATATTGTCATTTTTGTTGTGCTTTGTAAAAGGCAACCAAGCCAAATGTTAGTAAACATGCAGTCCAACTTCTGTGATTTCATTTGGCGGCCAACAAAAAAAAAATGGTGAGTTATTAGCATTTTTTGTAAATCCATGGTTTTTACTGTTTGTCTGATGTTTCATTGCTTCCTTGAAAATTCGAGGTAAAAATTATTCCAATAGTCAATTTATTATAAATAATTTTTAAAGCTTTTTTTGGTGTCACTATTTACCAAAGGTAAGGTATTTTATGTCTGGTATTGGTGCAGTTACTTATCGTGAATCTGCAAACTGTTTGCTGTATGTACTAAAAACAAGGATATGAGCTGTCTGGTTTCATAAACGTAAATCGTAATAATATAAACAGACGATTTAATGTTAGGTCATGTATTTCAAGCCTTCCATTTCCGAAACTACCAATTAAAGACTGCTTAAAATTAACAGATCTTATCTTTATTGTATTAAGGTTTCTTTTGTGTGATACAGAGAGTTATTTAAAAGCCAAATGACCATGATTAAAATTATTCATAATTTTCCAGAAGATCCTCGGTTATCAATAAATTAGTAAGTATCCGAAAAATGGAAAACCCGCGTTATACACCAAACACTTCGTTAATTTGAAATGCTGTAACTCGCATCGAGATGCGGTTGAAATTGACTGATCCATGCGAGTCTTTTTAGTCTTTGTGACCTTTGACCTTCTCTAAGCGTATCGTAAATGGACGTATGAATACTATAATTTAACGTAAAAATAACAATTGAAAATTTCAAGACGTCGGATTGGCTCTACAGGTTAAATACGCCTCAAAAAACGCAACTTTTCCCTAATTCAGCTTAAGCTGTATCTAACACAGGTATTGAGAACCATATGCATAGGACCCTTATACAAACGAAACAGACGCATTTACCGGCAGCTCAGTTTTTTTTTTGGAAAAACGCTCAGACCCGTCGATTTTGTTTTCGAGAGGGACACAAGTTTGGCATAAAATCACGTTAACACGTGCAGCCCCCTGGGCGGGGGTGACACCAACCCTAAAATCTTAAATGGAAAGGGGGGTCGAGTGATACCTTATTTTAAAGGTCATTCAATTCCCTTTATAATGATGTAAAATACATGAGCTTCAGTTCAGCAAGTTTTGAAGATTTATTGATTTAAAGCTTAAAGTAGACTTTAATAGGTACATCAGATTAGTTTGTACATAGTTTGCGATTCATTTGACCAAACTTTGTTGCTAAAATAACTTGTAACGCTTTATTACATAAATTAACCATGGTATATTCCACCGCAGAAAGAGTTGAAATTATTGAAATATTTTTCGGAAATAATCAGTGCGCTAATAGAACAGCAGAAATATATAATGAGCGACATGAGAACAGTAACGTGCATCGAAAATATGTTCTAGAACTTGTAGCTAAATTTCGGGAAACTGGCTCATTCGCCAATAAAAAACGCAACATTGAAAATCCCATAAGGAACGAAGCAATAGAAGTGGGGGTTTTAGGGCAAGTTTATGTAGATCCTACGTTAAGTACCCGCAAATTGGAGACTGTGTGTGGTGTTAGTCGACGTACTGTCCAACGGATTTGGAGGTGGTGTTACCCCCGATTAGGGGGCTGCACGTGCTAACGTGATTTTTTGCCAAACTTGTGTCCCCCTCGAAAACAAAATCGACGGGTCTGAGCGTTTTTCCAAAAAAAAACTGAGCTGCCAGTAAATGCGTTTGTTTCGTTTTCGATGCGCCACCCTGTATATGTGAAACGTATCATTTTTTTGTCCCGAACATCCGTTCACTGTCAATTTCCATCGTCACAGCCATATTTATAGTAATTTTCTTAGAAGTAATAAGACAGTCTTCATTTTCCTTTCAAAAAAAGTGTTTATATTTAAACATGTCATATTTCCAAGGAAATCAACGATTTGGGCCTCAAAAGCGCTAGGTATGAGCTTACTCAACATCTTTGTGATATAAGCTAGGACCTCCCCAGTTGATCTATTATATCATCTCTATAATCAAGCATTGATCTTTGGGGTATTTTAGGAGCTCCCTATCGATTTACAGTTTTTAAGGGAAGCCTCGTCAGTCGTTCCTACAATTATTTTAGGAGGCCTGTATGGCTACCTTGATTTTTTAAGTCCTTTCTCTCCATTAGAAAGGCTGGGGTATTTTTAGATTTCTACCTTTCCGTGTCAGCGTCAGCGCTTTCCTATTGTGAGGTTATGTTTCCTTTTTGGATAGTAGGAAATTTCAGGCTGATATAACAGATGAGATAAATCAAAATAATGAACAATTTGATACAAATAGATATTTGTAACATAACCTCAAAATAGGGCGCTGGACGATACGGCCATAAGAACCAGGTAGCATTGTGAGCAATATGAAAAATGTATACGATCTTCCATAAAAGCTCAATTGGTTTATGCATCTAGATTTATCTTTTATGTCTCTCCTCTAAGGCACTTTTCTTATTTGTGGGTGTGCTAATGTAACACCTTTCATTATGCATGTTTTAAAGGTGTTGATAGAAAGGCGGCGAAGTAAAGAATTTATTTTGCTTTGTTGTTTGTTAAATGGGAAAGGTGTCTTAATTAAGTACGAATTATTTTTTAGCCAGCTGACTTGCCCAAAATATGGACTGAAGAATTTCTGTCAACAGTAGCGCGGCTTGATCCAAAGTTCATCGCGCTACATTGCCAAGAGGTTGGCGGAAAAAACTACGAATTAAGTATGAAACATGTCGAGAATTTCGTGCAGTTACTTATGTCAAGTAATGAACTACGCTTATTCGATAAAATCAGGGTATTTTTAGATGAGGATTACAGCTCTACTGAAAATTTTACAGTAATTCTTCTTTTTTATTACAGTAGTATTAAGAACTGTTGACTGTTACATAAGCTATTAATAAAAAATGTTTATAGTCGGTAGTACGAATGTGTATTATACACGGTATCCGGAAATAAGCATTCAAATTCAAACGCAAACAAATAAGCTGCAATAGAGGAATGTGAAAAAAGTTCACGCGAATTATTTTATTGAAATGCATATTGATACATTCCGAAAATAGGTTTGTGGTGGGTGCGGTGAGTTTTGCAAAGGTCTACAGATCGAGGAGGCCACTTTTTGGTGTATTTAGCGACATACAAAAATGTGTCGCTCAAAAAAATTGTTTAAGATCCAAGAATACCTAACACATCGTAAACCTAGGTAACAAAAAATAAATTGTATTTTTTTTTAATGTCGTGTACGAGCCCGTTCCCACTTCAGTTGGCCTACTACCAAAATATGCCTTTATAAACTAAACATGAAACTATTTACTTATAAAACAATTTATATTCCCAAAAACATTTTAGATACACTCTAGTCGTAAAAAATACATATTTGAAATCACTTAGACTTATAACTAATAGAACATCTGAACAAATAAACAATGTGCGAATAAATGCGCGAAGTTTACAAAGCAACAATTGAAAGATTGCCATTGGGTAACATCACCTTTATTTTTTATTACGGCTGAAATTCTTTGGGGCATAGTGTTAACCAAGTTTTGGCAAACATTTGGTGTAAAACAATCCCATATTTCTCGAAGCTTTTGTCTCAGTTCGGTGATTGTACGAGCAGGATGTTGTCGTAGAACCTTTTTCATCTCGTGCCACAAAGTTTCAATAGGTGACAGATCTGGGCTGGTAGAAACCCATTTTAAAAGTGGTACATTATTTTCTTCCATCCATTTTATAGCCTTTTTTGAGGTATGGCACGCTGCACTATCTTGCTGAAACACAAAATCTTAGCCGGATGTCAAACATTCTTACATCACTGATAAAAGCGATTCTTCTAAAATTGCCAAATATTTGTTTGTATCCACATTTCCACATTTCCATCAATAAAATGAAGTTTTCCTACTCCTTTTGATGACATACTGCCCCAGACCATACTTTGGGGATTTGACTTCACTTTTTTTATAAGAAAACTTACCTTGCAAGTGCTAAATCCCAGTTTTTGGGCCTCTCTATGAGTTGTGGACCTCGAAATCCTCCTTGCAGCAACGTCACTCCACAGAGCACTTAATTGTAAATAATTGGCACGCCTGTTTTTGACACCCTGCTACATTTTTATTATTTATGTTTGATAAGAAAAAAACTAAGATTTCAATAGTTGGGCCAGCTGAAGTGGGAAGGGGCTCGTATTTAGGGAATTTTTACATTTCGACCGGGGAAACTGACCTAAACGACCTGGTAACCCTGTTGAATTCGGTTTCGGGGAATTACACACACATGACACAGTGCTTTTAGTATTGATTGATTAGACATTACAATTTAAAACAAAACATTATTCCCTGGCTTTTATTTTTTTACTTATTTTGTGGTATCGATATTTTCTAAAACGATACGAATCGATACATGGTATCGACACTCTTCGTGGGTCGGAACATTCCCAATCCGTCTGAAATTTTGACAGTAGCCGTTTACACGATAGTAAATGTCTCTTGCGTTAGTAGCGCCATCGCGCGGTGAGGAAAAGTACTTCGTACACTACTCATGCACTTTTAAAAAAATGCTTTTAATCCAGTACCGTGTACAATGTCTCAATATCACTGGATACAATAGTTATGTTCCAACCTTAAGTTCTGGTATCGTACTAGAATCGTTCAATTGCTATTTGATATGCAAAACGATCCCAAAACTGGTTGTAATGCAATTCAAAATCGTCACGTTACGATAACGAACAGTGGTGTAATACCTTTTCCCTGATCGTTCAAGAACGGTTCTTTGAAGGGTTGGAACATACGTATTTTTAATTATCCCTTCAAACATTATTTGAAGTTGTCCACGTTACCCTGAAACATGATCTGATATATATCATCCTAATTTTCGATTTTTTTAGGCGTTGGGTAATTTATATTTTATACACGAAACGTTAGAGAACATTTTGATATGGGATTTTAAGGAATCCCACTTTTTACCGGTACAGGGTAAAGAAATCCATTCTGGCAATATCGAAGCCGTTGTAACCAAAGAAAAAGCCAAGTTCCCGCAAGACTTTTTCCCAGAGGTAATTCTGTTTTATTTGCATCAAATAATTTCTATTAAAGAGGGTGTTTCAGTTTATTGTTGCATAACTTTAAGATTCGATAGAACTTTTAAAATTAATGCATAAAGTCTATATAAACATGGGTCGAAAAATGCGTGGCTTCCGAAATTTACTTTCTAAAATAGTTTTTTTTTTAAATATTTCGAACAATATTCGATGTATAACCAGTGAAAATTGGTATACAAGGGTTTTTTGGTACGACAAAACGAACCAAGGGCATAGTTTTACTGTAGCCGCTAGAGGGCGCTCTCTACTGTACCTGTAGTGCATTAAAATGACCGAAAAAATTTTCTTAGTGCGATTTTTTGCTTTTTGAATAAAAAAACTGATTCTTCGCACTTTTCAACATAAAAAAGCTCTCTTGTGAATTTTCGTTATAGTTAGCCGTTTTTGAGATATTTCGATTTTTAAGGTTCGCTGCATTTTTAATTATTTATGATCAAATAACGTTAAAAAGTCAATATCTCGATAATTTTTAGAAGTAGGCTGTGCCTGCAAATATTTTTGAAATTGAAAGCAGAATAAGGTTAAACGTCAATTAGTTTTGTTGTCTGTTGAAACTACAGGTACAGTAGAGAGCGCCCTCTAGCGGCTACAGTAAAAGCCCATGGTTCGTTTTGTCGTACCAAAAAACCCTTGTGTACCAATTTTCACTGTTATACATCAAATATTGTTCGAAATATTTTAAAAAAAACTATTTTAGAAAGTAAATTTAAACACCCTGTATTTCGGAAGCCACGCATTTTTCGACCCATGTTTATTTAGACTTTATGCATTAATTTTAAAAGTTCTATCGAATCTTAAAGTTATGCAACAATAAACTGAAACACCCTGTACATATGAATTTCATTAGTCGTATATTAATATGTCTCCGTTTTCATTTATAAATAGTTTCATTATTGCATATAATAATATTCCTTTTTTTATGAGCTTTAGATTTCTATGTTTTGTACTCGCAGAGACAATGCTAACCGTGTATTTGAAAAGTCACAGTCTGTATCTGTTTTGTACTGGAATCGATTTTGAAAATATAACCATCCTATATTTATATCTATTTTTCTGAAATGCTTGGTTGGCTCTTGCTATTCATTTTATAATGTTTGGTTGCTGTTATAAATACTGTTTCAATCTGTTTCCGGACATTCTATACAATATTTAATAAACGCTATGTTGAGCTAACTTCAAAAACTACTTACACGAGATACAAAGACTTGTGAGGGGTGTGAATGGCTTGTAATTGCTTCGTGGTATTTATTTATTTTCTATTACCAATATAAATCATACGATGTGATTTGAGAGAATCTAATTATTGTTTTCAAATACCGTGGTCAACTGAAATTGAAAATTGGGTAATCTATGTGATGGAATTAAGAGGTATAGATATTTTGGCAGTAAGCTTTCGATCTATAGCCGATGTCTCTCAATGACCAAAATATGATGCTAATAGAATCCGTGATGCTTCGTCTCAATTTGCAGAGTTGAGCCTATACAGGGTTTCCCTTAATTATATGCGAATATTTAAGGGTGTGAATCTAAATGAAAAATAAATGTTAGTTTGCTTTATAAACTATGGTCCAAAAATGTTGCCTTACAAAAACTCGGGGTGTTGAAGTTTTAGGAAAAAAATGGAAATTAATTAATATTTTCAGAACCGCTAACTTTTTTATTTTTTGCAATATTTTCTTGGAAAAGAAATATGTGTAATTTACGTTATTTGGCTACAGATTCCCACATTCAAATTTTTTTTTTTATGCCCGGATATATTTTTTATTTTTGTTTAAAAAAATGGTAAAGTTACCCGGACATCGGTGATACTTTGCTCTTTAAACTGACCGTGGTGTCAACTTAAGCCTCTCTATAGTTTACTTTGCCCCCAAATTAAGTTTTTAAAAAAATTTTTACAGAAAAAAAACAATAAAATGTTAAAAAACAACGTTTATTCTTTGAGAAACATACAAAAATACCCACAAACTTCAGTATTTCAGTTTACAATATCAAAAGTAGAACTCATTAACTTGACTAAACTTACTAATAGAGACATTTTTCTTTTGAAAAATATTTGGATAGGTAGGTGAGTACCTATAAAAAACCCTATATTATGGTAACTAATCTAAACAATGCATACTAAGTATCCAAAGGAATTCTGTAATATGAAGAGGAACAAAAAACACAAGGAACTCTTTACCTATCTATTAAAAATAAAACTATTATGAAGCTTATTTCATAGCGTGCTTCTAGGTGTTTTGTACCGATCAGCAGCTTCCTGGAGACTTAGTTCCTTACGTCTTATACTTCCTAAGGCATTTTTTAACGTCTCTTGAGTGTAATTTCTATCGGTTCATGTACCCAACTTTTTTTTACACCCGACCCATTGTCTCATCCCTAAAACAAAAAAAAAGATCTTAAAAGCTGCAATTTATTATTTTTTCAATTGGCAAAGTAACCTGCCAGTGCCCTGCAGGGTTACATATTTTTATATTTTTAACTCTACCTTAAAAATCATTTAGGTTTTCGTCTTATTTTTTTACAAACTTTTATTGCAGATAAATACCCTACAAGTAAATAATAATAACATGCCCCTAGTATTAAACATGTATCTGGTACAACCCTTCGCATTCTGGGTTTAAAAAAATGTAAATTTCTTACCATTTATTAACATAAACAGCAGCGCTCTTTTGTAAATGGCAGATTCCTGAAGCACGTGGTCGCCAGTGTTGCCAACTGTCACGCGCGATTTTTTTTATCCGAAAATGTAACTCCTGGCAAAGTAACCTGGACTGGTAAAGTAAGACCGCTGTACGGTACGTAGTTAAAGTTAATAAAGTTGCATATTTTTCAATGCAAAAATTCGTCGATTCATGGTTAAATTATAGACCAAACTGACCAAGTTTGACAATGACACAAGACACGATTCACGCGTCATCTGTCAAAAACAGTGTTGCCAAAAAGATACTAGCAAAAAAATCACCCATTAGAACAAAACACACTCCAGGGATATTTCAAGTGCGCAATTCCATGAGAAGGAGGGCGGAAGCATGCATACTAAGTGAAGGGGGCCGTTTTCAACAATTTTTGTAATCATTTCGTTGGTTTTACTGTTATGTTTATGTTGTCAGTTGCTGTTGTTCATTACCCCTAATGTATTCATTTTTTTCAATTCAATTAATAATAATTTTGCAAGTTAGACAATAGAACGGTTTTTATTTTTTTACTCAAAAATGACGCATCGAAGGAAAGTAATTCAAGAGAGATCATTTGTTTTAAATTGAACGGGGAATTCAAAAATAATTTTTATTTAGCAAAAAACCATTGGCGTACCATTTTTTTCTCAAAAATATGCAACTTTATTAACTTTCACTACGTACTAAATATCAGTGAAATATCTGAAGCGGTTCTGAAAATATTAATTAATTTCCATTTTTTTCCTAAAACTTCAAGGAAACATTTTTGGACCATAGTTTATACAGCAAACTAACATTAATTTTTCATGTAGACTCGCACCCTTAAATATTCGCATATCATTAAGGAACACCCTGTATAACAAAATCCCATTTTTTCAGACCCTGTAGCGTTTAGTGAATCTAGTATTATTTTCGGCACATACAGAGAGTTGTGACTTTTCTACTACATAGTTCTGAGCTGAGTGCTTTTTTAATTGATTAATGCATGACCTTACGTACTACATAGATAATAAAATCTCGTTTACAAACTCTAACCAAATTTCAGTGTAAATGGTCCCGAAAAGGTTTCATGCGTACCAGATGGTCGCTAAACGGTACCATAGTAGACATGGTAAACATTCATTTGTTTCATGATGCTTCGAATATAGTAGCGATGGAATCGTATCCCTCAGTATACTGTAAGACTAGACGCAAAGCGCTGCAATATACATTGCAAAGGTTTCATAATGACCATTATGATAACGCACCGTACTTCCTGTTTGGAGATTTTAATTTTAGGACGGACACCGATGGTGTCGTTAAGGTTAGTATACTGTTGCATGTGTTATTCGATTGAAAGGTTACAAAAATAATTTCCTTAAAGCCAATGTTAATTTCAATGCACTCTTTTTGCTGATGAAAAAATCAAGTTAAAAAATAATTTCCTTAGAGCCAAAGTTAATTTCAATGCTCTCTTTTTGCTGATGAAAAAATCAAGTGTCACATGAAGCATTGTCGGAACGATAGCAATAAAATGATACAATATAAAACTAAAGTATACAGGGTGAAATAACATAAGATCCTGTAAAAAATGTCGTGCAAGGCTTTCCCAGCGATATACAGGTAATATTTTTGACAAAAAATTTGTGCACCACTGTCCTTTTTTCAATTTATCTATTTTTTTTTCGTATTACGCAAAATACTTTTTTGTCTCCTGAGTTCCTTTCATATCACGCTTCGTTTGCAAGTTAAAAAATAAAAAGCACGTTATTGCATGACCTGGTACAATAACATGATAAAATATTGAAACCACCAACAAAGCAATTCACATTAGACAAAAGTCATCTCTTGAATTTTTTAGCACATATTTAAAACTAATTTCGATAAAACAAAATAATCGCATAACGTAATAATTCAGAACAAGTATCAAAAAATAAGAGTGCCATGAAAGGAAAAACAACTGCTTCTCAAACAAATCTGACTTTGGCATAACTTACTTATACAGGGTGTCCGCAAAGTTGGGGTTTTCCTTTCCAGAAACAACTACTGAAATAACAAAGGTAATGTGTAGTGAAACGAGGGCGACCAAGTAAAAAAAATAAAGGAAAAAGTACTCACTCTCCCGTTGACGAGAAGGGCTAAGTACGTCTCTGCCCGAAATCATACCGCTCCAACAGAAAATGAAATCAGCTGATGCGCTACCGAGCAGACGCAGAAACCACATTGATTGTCTTACACTTAATGGCACATCTTCTAACAAGGAAGGCAAAATGTTGCGTAAAAAGTCTAGGTATTGCATCCCGTCCAATCGATTTGGGAGAATAAATGGTCCAATGAGCATACCGTTCACCATGCCAGCCCAAACATTCACCGAAAATGTTTGTTGAAAATGTGCCCGACGGACAGCGTGCGGATTATTGTCATGTTGGTGCAACAACCACTCACAAAACCGCACTCTTGCTGGAAAATCGTCAGGTTGAAGGGCTTGTACACGTTGGACGTGAAACGGATACAGCCCCTCTTCACGCAGCGTTTGCCACACTTTAGTTTTTGATGCTTGCACTTCTCTAGCCACGTCTCTAGTGCTTGTTGAGGGATTCTCGTCTACGCGATTACCTCTACACGCGTGACCGTAACCGTCGGTTGAAGGTTGCATACTGACCTGACACACTGACCTCGACCCAGTTCTGTCGTCGGGTTGAGCCAGTGACCTTGTACCAGTCGGTGATATCGCGGCTACAGGACGGTATTAAGATATTTTTGATGTTGTAGAGCCCTTTATCTCGGTTCCCTTAAGACATTGGTGTATATGGTACTAAGAAAAATTGCTAATGTTTTCAAGATCTACACGTCATGTAAAGGAAAACCCCAACTTTGCGGACACCCTGTATGTTTAAACACATACTTGTTACAATATTTTAGTCTTCTACATGAAGCCGAGAGATTAACTACTTATTTTGGTACACACCCTGTATACTTCTGATGATACTAAGTTAAAACAGCTCACTTGCTAATCTGATTTCAATTTCCTGAGAAAGCATTGCTATATGATGACGAATCAGTTATATCCAAGTATATTGTTCCTTGGAGTTTCCAGTGACAATTGCATTCCATTTTATACGCTAAGATCATTTATCTTTTTACACACACCATTTATAAAAAAGAAAATCATTTGTCTGCCATTAAATAAACCCACGATAATCTTTATCGTAAGTGACTCGGCTGTTTTTTAAACTTGATGTGCTGTACATGTTCTGAAAAAATGCTTTTATTCTTGCACATGAGTAACTTTCATTGAAAAATCAATTATCTGCAATGGAAAAAGGGAAACATATTGCCCATAAAGATACAGATCACTACCAGTATATTATTGACATCTAGAGATTTAGTCCCTAAGGAGAATAACGGGATGGTTCACGCTTGAAGATAAGAATGTTTTGGCCATGTGCTCTATTTTTAAATTATTAAATAATATAATTGATCCCCCCGAGTTGTTGGTAAAAATACATTTTTGGAAATTGGAGATATAATACATATTTTTAGCACATGCCCAAAATCTCACTCTGAATGGGCTTATCTGGATTTTTTTGGGGGACTTCCTATAATGTTTTTAGAACCAGGCTGGTGTGACTTTGTGACTTTTAAATGAAGTGTGATTGTGACTTTTAAAAATGTTATGTAAAGCAATCTTGTAACAATGTCTGTTAGATATTCAAATTTCTTAAAATTTCTATTATAAAATGGTTTACAAAGTAAAAAACTAATGAAAAGTAGTTCTTATGTAAAAATCCCATATAACTAATTTGAATAATCAGAATCACCGTGAAACATTTTTCTCTGTTTGCAGAAACTTACGGATGGACTGAATACAACTAGGATTCAGAACAATAAAAATAATGAATATACTAAACTTCAATTTACCAATGACGAAAGCAAACTAGTTTTGACTGTTGGTAAAAAGGAGTTCAACCATTCCGAGCATCAGACTGTATTTTTGGAACCTACTTCAGAATGGGTGAGTCACGTTACATATTTCATCAATAACTGTTTTTTTTTCATTACTTCCCTGAGAAATCGCTACTATTGACTGCAGTACCTTTAAGTAAATAATGATAATAACTTTGTTTATTTATTGAAGATTTATTCAGGATTAACGCTAGAATGGCAATTTTGTATGATTAATTATTTGTACATTTTTTTTATTCAATTTTCTGTGATTTTACATCATTGTCTATTAAAATTACATCGTTATGTATTTTAGGTATTCATAGTGATTTTTTAATTTCACCTTAAACATTTTTAAATTCGAACACTGTCTAATATCATTATACAATTTTTAAATTCAAATATTCCCTTCTGAAATACAGTTTTGCCAGTTATGGTATTACAATTTTGTAGAGGAAAATCTATACTGCCTCTAGTTTCTTAGTTATGAATTTGTGTTTTCTGATGGTAATAAATTATTTTTTTTTTAATTTTAATATGAAAATGAGAACCAAGTAATACTCGTATATATAATTTTTTACATCCAACCACTGCAGTTCTTCTAACATATATACGGAATCTTAGTATATTTGTTTTTATTTAAAATTATTTTCATAGCTTTATTTTGTAGAATTTGTAGTTTTAAAAATATGTTTTCATTTTTTATAAACAAAATTGTCGAACAACATTTCATTCATTTCAGTTTGACAACAGAACTTTAAGAAATCTTTGAAAGAAATAAGTAACACCGGGTATAATTTACCTCAACAATCGGAATATGTATTGGAAAAACTGCTTTCAATGTTGAAAGATCAAACAGATCAATTTGTCACTTTGACAACAAGTAACTAGACATTTTTGAAATAAATTGGAAATGTCACGATCGTGATGTAAAATTATTTTATGATATACAACAGTTGCCCATTTTAATCTTCCCACCTAAATATCCCGAAAACTGCGTTCTTGAAAAAAGTTTCACACAATAATTGTAGGGTTTCGAGGGGACCATGACCTTGACTACGACCTTTAAGGTCCTTTCAAGGTCAAGCGAATATTTCCAAATGACCCCCCCCTCATCGGAATTGAAAAAAGGAGGAATGAGAGCACATTGGTCATGACCCTGGCCATTACCTTCAAGGCTATTTGAAGGTCAATGCTCGAGCAAAAATGTTCATGAGGTTTGCGGCGATTCCCAAAGGTGACCTTGACCATGCCAATGACCTGGACCATACCGTCAAGGTCAAGGTTAAATTTTCAAAGGCAACCTATGAATTTAATACTGGAAATGGAAAAAGTAGAAAATGTTAGGTCCGAATGTGACCTTGACATAAGTTTGACACGACCTTGACTTCAAGGTTAAGGTCACATTTGGACGTAAACTTTCTTGCTTTTTCAATTTCCTGTGTAAAAATGGGAGCTTTGCTTTGTAAATTTTGACTTGACCTTAGGGTTATGGTCAAGGTCATGGGCATGGTCATTGTTACCTTTGGATGATCGTACACTTTGGAAGATTTACAGAACACTCACAACTGTGCTGTCGAAAATGTTTGCTAGATCAAATTGTTTTCGATCAGACCTTGAAATGGCCTTGAAGACAAAGGCCAAGGTCACCATCGTTTTGCTGTCTCGAAGCCCTACAACTTCCGTTGGAAATTTTTGTTAGAACGCGCAGTTTTCGAAATTTTTTGGTGGGGAGATGCGTAAATGCGAAAATTACAGTCATGTTTAGATGTTGCAATTAGGAGATGAACCCAGTGTTGCCGAACCTACCGATTTTTCGGTATTTCTACCGAAATTGGAGCTTACTTACCGAAATACCGAAAACGTATGCTGATTGTCTAAGTTATATAATAAAGAAGTCAATATTTTTCCGGGGAAATATGGTCTCAAAAAACCTGTGCGCTGCTTTTTTTGCTATTTTGTCCTTGAATCGATTGAATTTACTAAGGTCGCTAAGATCCGACTTGCAAAAAGAAACAAATCGAGTAAAAATCAAGCTCTTGATCAAGATCTAAATCGCAGATGAGTTGTTTTATCGTGGCACTGAAAAAATAGGACTAAAAATTGTATACCTTGATAGCATAATGTTGTCATTAACCTCTGGTTACCCTAGGTAATGGTAGTAACGATATATTCGATATTGTTTTTGCGATGTTAGCCAAAACAAAAACATCAGGTTCAAGCGGTGTTATCAAAACAGAAGGATTCAATGTCAAAATCGATTCGTTACAGCAGATTAGGCGGTAATAAACCTTTTGTACTATGAAAATTGATCTAATTGACCATTTACGATTCACGATGTAACATGAATTGTAAAAACAGTTGAATCTTAAAAAAAGTTTATATGAACACATATCCTAAACGTCTTAACTTTTGAGCTACATGATGTTAGAATTAAAAGAAAAAAAAAATCGTTTGTCTCTGTGTCTCCAACATTAGGAGGCTTATCCCAGTTCTACTGACCTTAAGCAGTTCAAAAATCGGATTTACAAAATTTATTTTGGATCCTGAACATGTTGGCTTTCCATCTTCTGTAGCCATGACCAACCGCACACGCCGCTGTTTCGTGCTCGTTAGCAACTCATCAGTGCCGTATAGGTCTTAGGTCTAGTCTTGGAGACAGTCGAAACGGCAAGTAAACAAGTGAGAATAATCTTTTGAGAAACTCAAAAAACTGAAAAATCTGATGATCGTCACCTACCAACGCCAAAGTTGATTTTCGTATGGAAAATTAAGTATACACGGTGTCCCAATATTCCGTTTCCGTTGGGGACACCTCAAAGCGTCGGTATACAAAACTTCGATTGGACGGAATAGAATCATTAATTCACGTGACGTGATAAAAAATACGCCAGGTATTTTCAGGAGAGTGCATAATTCAAGACGGCTAGGCTGTTGTATTGAAGACGAAGGGGACCATTTCCAACACTTAATTTAGTGAAATTTGTTAGTCTAGATGTTAATGTAATTTAGTATTTGTTGTTATAATTAGTAATAAAAGATTATAAAAAAATTATTTTCAAAGGAACCATTTTCCCGATATTCCTTGTGTGGTCCAGGGATACGCAATAAAATAGACTTTGTTTTCTCGAAAACGAAGATACGAAAAAAATTCAAGAGACAAAAACATCGTTTCTGTTTGCTTAATAACACTGGTCAACACTGGTTTTGCCACACGAACTTTGACAGCTAATTTTGTTTTATCAGTCTACCCTCATTATTACATGACAGCTGTCATATGTCTATTAGCCTCATATTTGTTGTGATACGGTAATACTCATAACTAGTACTACGGCAGTAAATTAGCAGAAACGCTTACAAGTAAATCCTTATAAACATATTTGTTGTTGAATTTGAACACTTTTTTGTGATTTATTAACCCTGTGAATATGTCGAGGAAGTGTAATAATGACCCTAACCCTTTTCTGTTATGTCTGCGGAGAACTAACATTCAAAAAACAACGACGAAATTTTACGAATCTTGTGTTGGAGTGTTATCACCAATGTTTTGGTTTTTCTGTCGCCCATCAAGACAAATCCTGGGCCCCTCATGTCTGTTGCATAACGTGTGTGAAAAATTTAACTGACTGGAAGAAAGGTGCACGACCTAAGCCGTTTGCTGTACCCATGATATGGACTGAACAGCGAGATCACGTTTCAGATTGCTATTTTTGTCTCACAGACATAAAAGGTATAAATTACAAGAAAAAAACCACAGTTATTTACCCTAACTTATCTTCGGCTATAAGACCAGTCTCTCATTGTAAAAAATTGCCAGAACTAATACCAGTTGCAACTACGTCTGTTGAGAACAATTCACAACCGTCCACTTCAGGTGAATGTGTTGACGAGGACGATGACTTTGAGTTAAAAGGAATTGTAAACGAGCCACATTTGATAACTCAAGGAGACCTAAATGATTTGGTTCGGGATTTAAATTTGTCAAAAAAGCAGTCAGAACTATTAGGATCACGTCTAAAAGAATGGAATTTGCTACATCATAATACAAAAGTTAGCTATTTTCGAAACCGTGATCAACACTTCAGAACGTATTTTTCTCAGGATGGAGATTTGGTGTTTTGCAATAACATAAATGAAATTATGAAAATGTTGGACATAGATTTTGATCTCTCTCACTGGCGTTTATTCATTGATTCTTCGAAAGCAAGTCTAAAAGCAGTGTTATTGCATAATGGAAATAAGCTTCCGTCTGTACCTCTGGCCCATGCTGCAAATATGAAAGAAACCTATGAAAATATGAAACTTTTACTTGAAAAAATAAATTACAGTACATATTCCTTTAAAATCTGCGGTGATCTTAAAGTTGTTGCACTATTACTTGGACTTCAGCTGGGTTATACAAAGTTTTGCTGCTTTTTATGTGAATGGGATAGCCGAGACAGAACTAATCACTATATAAAAAAAACATGGCCTACGCGTGCATCGTTAGTTCCTGGGCAAAAAAACGTAAAGTATTTACCCCTTGTACAGCCAAATAATGTGCTTCTACCGCCATTGCATATCAAATTAGGATTAATAAAAAATTTTGTGAAGGCAATGGATCGCAATGGGACTGGATTTTTGTATCTAAAAGAAAAATTCCCTAAAATAAGTGATGCAAAGATAAAAGAGGGAATTTTTGTTGGCCCTCAAATTAGGGAGTTAATAAAAGATTCAAGATTTGAAGAAAAATTAAGCGATTTAGAAACATCTGCATGGAAGGCTTTTAAAAATGTTGTTTCAAATTTTTTGGGTAACCACAAGAGTGACAGCTACAGAGAGTTGGTTAGCGAGCTATTATTGTCATATCAAGCATTGGGTTGCGATATGTCACTTAAGATCCATTTTTTAGACTCGCACCTGGATTTTTTTCCTGACAATTTAGGGGCTGTCAGCGACGAGCACGGTGAGAGGTTCCATCAGGACATTTCTAATATGGAAAAGCGGTACCAGGGCAAATGGAGCCCAAATATGTTAGCAGATTACTGCCGGACAATTAAAAGGGACCAACCAGAAGCTAAATATTCAAGA